TAGAGACAACAAACTTTGACTTTCATACTTTGGAGTACATCTAAACCAATGTAGTTATATATGAAATTCCACGTAGAAGCAGAAACAAGGGTTGAAACGTAAAACATAAAAATGAAGCATTAAAAGCATATATGTCCAATGTAGTAAAAAATACGTCTTCAACACAAAAATGTACATTTTAACATTTCTGACTAGGCAAAACGTTTCAGTCTCTATATACAAACCTATTACGTGTAAAAAAATTTTAAAAGCGGTAAGAAAATAGTCAAAAACGCGTTTCTGATCCATTTTTGTGCGTTTCCAGTTGAAGGAATTCCAAACAATTTCACACCCTCCCTCCCAATATCAGCAATTAGAACATCGATCTCTACGATCAAATCAACCTATAACAAGTCTTAAATCTATCCTCAAAGTTAAAGGATAATCCAACGGTTAGTTTCTCTAGAATCTTCCCTGGAATCAACTGCCCAGCTATAGGAAAACAGGGTTGCACCTTGTCTGACCAACAACATTTCTCAGCGAATGAGAAATCATAACAACGATCCCAATGGTTGGATCTGATCCTAGAAAGTATGGAACGTCTCCTCCAAATTTGATGACGATCCAACAATGGGTCGTATTGTAATCTATTCTTGAACTCACTGCTTTGCTGCAAAACAAAAACTTGGTTGCCATTTAAACCATCCAACTTTCCATTAGTTACAATGAAGCCCTTCAATTCACTTCACATTCTTTTAATTTAAAATGAATTTAGCCATAACCCATTTAATCAAACACCTTCCTCATGCCATAGTTAATCAATTCAAAGATTGCTTCATATTTAACAATTGCTCAAATATCGGGATGATGTCACCTAGATGCGAGCATGGCATATGACATGTTCAAGAGGGACGAGGCCGTTACATCACAACTTCATCATGTGATTACTTTGTTGTTTGACGTGCGACTTAAGTGATAAATATTGACTAATAATCTGATTTCTCGCGTTCAATTGATGAAGAACCTTATAATAAAAGAAATCACAGTAATACTGTTTAATTTGACATCCAGATTTAAAGAAAATGGCCGATAATGAAGTGTAGTAGTTAACTGGTTATACTTTTTTTATGAATGAAGAAGCCTCATTATTTCCTTAGTGCATTGTTGGTTTAGTTGTATATTTTCTCCACTATTACAAGTTTGTCAAATTATATTATCTGCTTGAGTAGTGACCTTTCTATATGAGACAGTTAGTTTGTTGAAGATTAATAAGATTATACAAAAAAAACATACGTTTTTATGCTACGCTTTTAGATTTTACATTTTTTCTCATATTTTCGCTTCTGTGTAGCAATGGGCATTTGACTACATTGTATATATTGCGTAAAAACTGTTAAAAATCTTATAATGAGAACATACACTCTTTGAAATATAACATCATAGGCTTTCAATAACTATCTTTATTCCAAATATTAAGGGCGCTAGTCATAAAACAAACTAATTTGACGAGCTCTTAAATTAGAATAAAATAGTAAATCCCTAGAGTACTTTTATAGTTTTATTATACAATTCACCAAACTTATAAGGAGAATTAGAAATCATCGATCAATTTATTAACGAAGTTAAGGGGTGTTAAAAGCTTATCTGTGACCTCAAAAACACATCATCAAGTTGGCTATCAATTCAATGGGTTGAACTAGCATCACCTTGTGGGACTTTCCCGCTAAAGCTCAACTAGTATCCCTTCCAAAATCCGATTTTTTGCAATAAAAAGATACCTCACACCTTGGCCTTACCCCATACTTTATTTCTCAAAATAGCATGACAATTTCAAATGAAACAATTTCATGATAGGTAGCTTTTTTCAACTTTCTAAAGATACACTTCACCCTTTGAAAACTTTTGTAAACATGAGACTATTTTGCATAATCAGAAATCTTTTAATAGATCAAAAAACATGCATCCAAACATATCAAATGGTCATTATATCTCATTAACTATTGCATCCTTTATAGCCACTACACTATCCTCCCTAAATCAAATGATGATTACTAGACGCAGCGATTCAAAGTTAGATGAGAAGTGATAATGCTAGTCGGGGATGGCTAAAGTGATTAGATGAAAAAAAATCTTTAGTACTTTCAAATTATTTAAGAACATATCATAACCATTTAGCATTGAAAACTTTTTCCATTGGGGACCATTTATCATAATCATTTAGCATTGATAACCATTTAGCACTTTCAAGCCAACATTATTTTGAACCCTTTTCAAGGTTTCACTTGGTTAACTTTTATAGGGTTTTATACTTCATTGCAAAGTGAGTTTTGGAGGAAATCTTTAGCAAACTGTGGTTGTGTGATATTTTTCTCCCAAGAAAAAAATTTAAAGTAAAGAAAAACAGAAAAAGAATGAAATAAGCCAATAAGGAGAGCACCCACAAGTTTTATACACTTGAAAAGTAGTCGTTTTCTTGCCCAATGACTGATATGCTCCTACTGTTTGAAAATTTCCTCTTGTACTCTTCTTTTTATTAAAGTGTATCAAAGCATAAACAACAAAGAAAATTGTGTTGTATGTGGCTATTATTTAGAATGTGTGGAACCTTTAGCTCGATAGTAATTTTCCATCACCATAATGACCTTCTCCCTATTTCCTAGGGATTCCGGCATAATTACATACTAGTTTTTTACCCGCCCGTTGGGCGGTGTATTTTGTTTGGTTATTTTATAATTTGTTATAGTATTCTAATTGTTATTATTATTTATGTTTGTTAAGGTAATATACATGGAATTGTAAATCCCACTTACTTTATTTCATGTATTGTTCCATGAGCACTTGTACTATGCTATAAAGTATTGGTGCTTTAATGTACAACTTAAAGTTGTACCATAACGTTAAATGTAGAATTTCAGGTTGTACCATAAAGGAATTTGTGCTCTTATGTTATGGTACAACTTTATAACTTAAACTTGTACCATCAAATGAAAGCACAAGTTTAAGTTGTACCATAAAACAATTTGACAAAAGAGTATAGGTACAATATGAAGTTGTACCATAACGTTAGGGTACAACTTCAAATTGTACCATAAAGGAAAAAACCTATAGCACCAATGCTATATAGCATTGTAAAATTCCTCATTGTTCCATACCTTTATACCTTTTGTTTATTTATGAACATTTTAATTTTATTAACTGAGCTCACTGTTCTTTATTGATTTAGAATTTTGTTTTATCGAACTCACCCTTTAAGATTATAAACGTAAGAGTTATTCATTCTTTAGCACACAATTGTGATAAAGAAGTTAAAAAATTTACAGACACAAAAGAAGAAGTTAGAATAAGAAAATATGCTTCAATTAATAAAAATATAAGTGAAGAGCTTTTTATTTTCTCTCCCTTCTCATATGTCGGTATATGATAATAGAGAATATTCCGATCTAAATCCCATGAATATCGTGTATTATCACTTACACATACAATTTTGGAATAATGAGGAGACTCATTAGCATCCACCTCCATCAATCTTCCACGTACTCATTTAATTACCTTGAAATATTCTAGCAAACCAACCACAAACAAAACTATCGGTTGTCACTAACTTATTAAAGCAATATTTTCAGCAAATTAAACTGCATATACTTAAACACAATTTATATTTTGTAGAGAGCTACATATCTCCTATAGAAAAGAATTGTGTTTTTTTACCTAATAACAACATAGACAAATAATGAAAGGAGCAGTTTTCAATACAACTCAACTCATTTTATCATGCAGATTCCTTATTTGTGTAGCGCATATATGGATCAATCCAAATAGTAGTTTGTAAAAAAATAATCATGTCAAAATCAAGCTTTAGTTAGAGATTCAATGCAGAAAAATTCACCTTAATGAAACAAATAAATGTCACCACAAACATGTAGAAATTAAAAAAACATCGAAATAGACAACCGGGAAACCACCATTATCATTTACTTTCTTCTTCCCGACCTTTATAAAACCCCAATTATGTTCCCTTCTACTTATAACCTCTTAGCTACCTACTAATTACTAAGCAGATCATCATTGCATGTCAATCATGAACATAAAATATAATAAAGAACCATCACAACTCTACTTTCCATTTCAACATTCAAGAAATCAGGTTGCAATAGATATTCAAGAAAAAACGATCAATTATTCAACCAAAGGAGGTATGCCCTAAGTCCAACCAATTAACCCTTTTATATTTTATATATTTTAATAAAAGTATATGGCGACCCTTCTTCGTGAAAAACAAAGAAGAAATGCATTCACTCATCGAGAGTGGGAAAATTTACCATCCAGCAGTCGTAATCTGGAAGAAATTAAGAAAAGAATGGGAAGAAGAGTATAACTCGGCCAGTCAACCGCAAACAATAACATGTCGTTGAGAAAGTGAGACCAGTTGCCAGCTTCAGATCAAGGAGAAAGATGAATCAGTCGACAACCCTTGGTTTGGTTCACCTCATTTTCACAATGATCAGATGAACTTTTTTCGTTAACAGGCAAAAATATGTTACAACTGCTCAAAATTTTGTCATCTAATCGTTGCCTCGTGTAACTCCTGCCTCCTATTCTCATACAAAGAAAAAAAATCATATAATTACCATTTCCTTCTCTATAAATTATGAGAATACAAATATTAGAAATCTCAAAAAAATTAGCAACTAATAAGAGGGCTTTGTTTATTTTTATGGTGGTTGACATACTTTCTTGATTTCTTATTTTCGAAGTTGGATTTTATTTCTAGGGAGATAATCAAAATGACAAAAGGGACAGAATCAAATTAAAAGTTTGCATTAATAATTAATATATTTTTATTTAATCGGAATAAATAAGAAGTTTTAAAAAAAAAAACAATTATTGCTCTATCAAGTTTATATTCAAAAATTTTGCTATAAAATTTATACTCATTTTATTTGATAGGTATATACATTAGAACGAAGTGAGTGTTTGATAGCAAAAAACATATAGTCTTATCGTTCATTTCTCAAATTTGATTGATTATTAAACGCTTATTTTCTCTTAGACCATCGTTTATATTTTTTTAATTGAAAAATATTATTATTTATGTGTGTGCTTGTTTTTTTTTCTCTCATCAAAATGTAACTTATTATTAAATTTTAGTAAAAATGAGTAGAAAATTTACTTAATCGGATTTAATCAGCTTGGGTTAAACAAATACGATATATGTCACTCTCTATTTCCATCTTTATAGTTTGTTTAATTGAAAAAAAAAAATTATTACTTATGTATGTGTTTTTTTGTTTAAATGTTTCCTAAATAATTAACTTATTTTAATTTTAGTAAAAATGAGTAGAATTATTAAAAGAAGAGAGATAGTTTCATAAATAGATCAATAAATAGTTTTTTGTTTGTAAAAAATTGTCCACCTTGGCAACTTGTGCATTCACCAAGTGCTTATGTGGCAAGAAGTTATTTTTGAATAGCCATAATATTTAGTATAGATAGATAGATAGATATAGATATATATATATAGATAGATAGATAGATAGATATAGATGTTTTCACCCCTTATATCTTGAATGTTTGACTTGGAATTCATCGTTTCTCAATCTATTTTATGCTAGGTTCTATCATCTTTTTATATTTCAGGTCCTACTATACGAGGGAAGGTCGAGGACGAATTTTGGGATGAATGAAGGCTGAAAAAATGCCAAAGTATGAGGAAAGTGCTGAGATCACGTGCTGAGAGATTTTGTTACGGTCCCTAGCCCGTGAAGATTGAACGACGACCATGATAATTGCTAAGGAACTGGAGGTTTTGTATGCCTTGCGGGCAAGTCAATTGTCGCGGTCACCTAACCATGATGATTTCCATATGACCATGAAGGTGGACTAAAACGGCAACAACAAGCTGCGTCTTCGGGCGAGATTACGACGGGCTATCAATGTCACGACCCGTGATGTTAGCAAAGTACTTTATTAGTTTACCGTCACTTCCTCCACAAGTATGCAATTGATTTGACATTCAACAACGGTACCACTCAACAACAATTTTTATTATTCGTGTCTAAAGGTAGAGGGCCGGTCGGTTCGGTTATAATCAAAAACTGAAGGGTTGGTTACCGGTTAACCAAACCACCTCCTAACTCTACCGACCACCGACCGAAAGAGGGCTTAAGGCTTCAGTTATCTCGGTTCTCAGTTAACCGAACCGTCTCCCAATACAAAAACCATCTAGCCCAACCTCCGAACACCGACCAACTTTCGATTATCTCGGTTTTCAGTTAGTGTATAACCGACCAGTTTTGATTATAACCGATTGGTTAACCACTAACCGATTGTCCAGCCCTATTCGTGTCTATCATAAATTTCAAACAAGACATAAACACAAACTTATTTGGGTCAAATTTTTCCAAAGGAGACAAACATTCAAAAAGTTAACAATACAAATGAACTACTTTTTTCACACATTTATTTAAAACTTAAGATATAAAAATAAATATATTTCATGCTTTGTGCTAGTTAATAGTACAACACTAAAACATACCAACAACAAATGCACAACTAGGCATGTAAAAAAAAATATATTACAGAATCCATAGCAGAGGTATTATCTAGCCACAATCTCTCTCTCTCTCATCAGTAAAGATAACTGTAATAACAGAATAACTATATGAATCCACAAATTAGTCTTACTCCTCTGTAATAATGCTATTGCTATCTTGGGAAAAGGAAGATGTTGCTACGCTGCTTTTAGTATTCTATTTAACATAAGCTGCCCCTCAAAACCCATAACCACAACAACCTTGGAAATTAATACAGAGTGGGATGAAATTAACAACTGGGTTTGGGAGGTTAAAAAGGAGAGTAATTAACAACTTCACTAACCAAGGGATATGGAAATGGAATTTTGGGTCATATGATGTGGTTGTTGTTTTTTTTTTTTTTTTTTTCCCTATGTCCCGTGTGTTATCGTCTACCTCCTGCCGCTGCCGCCCGCCTCCCCCTTCACTAACAAAATTTGTTTTTGTTGTTGTTGTCGTTGGTGGTGGATCCAATTCCAAACCCTGACTCATTAACAAGTCTATGGCTTCCCTCTTCCTCCATATCCCACAACAGGTTGCCACCATTATCCTGCAAAACAAAACAAAAAGAAGAAAAAAATGATGTGTTTTGGTTACTCCACGTCAACATTTACAGCTACCAGAGAAAATCCAACCAAGTAAAAAAAGGAAATAAATAAAAACATAATTATATTTCAGCAACATACCTGAGACTGAGAGAAAGCCCCCGGCCTAATAGTGTCAATAAGAAGATGGTAGCAGTTGTTTGCCGCGGCGGAGGAAACCGCAACAGAGACGGCGGCGGCGGTGGTGGTGGGGTTGCATTGCTGACCCGATGGCAGGGGCGTCGATACCTCCACATTACTACTCAATCTCTGCAAAAGAAAGAAAGAAAGAAAGAAGGAAAAAGGCAACCAATATATTTTGGTTGATCAGTCATGTCACGCATTGATGACAAAATGGTTCTCTGGACCCAGAAAAAAAACAATAATTATAAATAAATAAAAAAATTTAACTACCTCTGGTCGGACCATGAACCCATCAAGATCAAATCCAAAGTCATAGAAAAGTGGATTGACAGTAGCCAGCTTCATGGAAAGGAACTGCACACCATTTTCCACAACTAATTAATTCATTAATTAAACATGATGAAGACAGTGCTGCAAATTGCAATGAGACTGACGTATTTGATTAAGGCTAATCAAATCACATTACCTCAACTTGATTCTGAAGGGACTGAATATAGTTAATGATCTCATCCAACATAAGTGCCTTCCCATTTACCTGCAGAGTAATCAAATTCAGAAACCAACAATACCCTGTTCTGTTAGTGCCCAAAAAGTACCATTTTTACTGAGAATGATTACTTGCACAAGAAAAACATAGAATTTGATAGTCGACCTTGTCACAGCCTGGAACCAGGTGCTGCAGCATCTTCATCCTCTCGCTGATTTTCTCTCTTCTTGCCTAGCCATATACAGTAAATACAAAAGTTAATATTGTTAGTTACTGAGCTTTTATGGCTCTCTCAAAGGCCAGAAATCTTTTTATGTTATTATGGAAAGGTTAATATAGAGAGGCAGTGGATTAGAAAGATGGATACCCGCTCGGCAAGGCTGTGGCTATCAGTAGCTTGGCCCCTCCTAGCTCTGACATGAATGTAGCCAGTGGGTGGTCGTTCCTTGTCAGCACCTTTCTTCTTCCTCCTCTGCTGATGTTGTTCTTTCTTGCTCTGCTTTTCATCCCCTGTTTTCCCCTGCTGCAGCTTCTTCGTCTCTTCTTCTACTTCAACATCAGTGATTTTCTTAGCCTTCTTCTTGCTCTTACTTCCTTCTCTCGCCTCCTGCAATATAAAAAAAAAAAACTGAATAATAAGAAAATAATTCAAACAAAAGAAATGAACTGTTTTGGGAATTATATATCATTCACCACCTTGGGCTTGCGGGGAACAGAAGTGACGTGGGAGGAGCCATTGCTAAGGTTATTACAGCTGGAAAGCTTCTTCCTCTTCTTGGTATGATCCGCGGCGGTGGGCTGCGCGGCATTGAACTGAGTGACTTGCTCTCCGCCCTCTGTATTGGAAGAATGGCCGTCGGTGCTCTGTTTTCTGGTGAAACTAGAGGCCTCCTCCTCCTCCTCCTTGCTATTCCTGCTCTCTTCCACACCCCCTATTTTACCACCAGCCGCCTTAGGATTGTTGTGATTAACAGTATTGCAGTCGTGATTGCTGGTAAACGCGTAATGATTGTTCTGCTGCTGCAATGGCAAACTATGATTAGCAGGGTCATCAAACCCGCTGCTGCTCTGGCTGCTGTGTAGTAAGAACAATTCAGGGGGGTAAATTTGGGGGAAATTAACAGCGCTACTCCCGGGTTCCTCCATGAACAACCCAGCTGGTGATGAGATTTTATTGAGATATTTGGCGGGAGAAGTAGCAGCGGTGGTAGCAATGTTTTGATGGGGTGAAAGTGAAACAGAGTCGAGAAGGAAAGGATGAGGGAAAGGGTGCTGGAAAGAAAAGGCTGCCATATATCAAAATTATGAATTATCTTCCAGCCGATCCTTGTGAAGGAAGTGATGATGAAAAATGGGTTTCAGGGTTCTATTTTGTTTTTAAAATTTCTTCTGCTGGGTTTGGGTAGCAGAGGAAGAAAGGCAGGGAGAGAGGGAAAAGTGAGTGAGTGGTGGTGCCGGTGCGGTGTCAAAGTGGTGAGAGAGGGTTATATATAGAGAATGATGAAGAGAAAGAAGATGTGTGTGGGGAATTATTGGGCATTATGTTAATAATAAGGGTTAATATCTTGTTATGGCCTGAACTATGACCATGTAATCAATTTTGGCCAGTGATTTGAGAAATTAACATCCTAGTCCGAACTATGCAGCATATAGACAAAATTGGCCTGGAGCGTGGTTTGACCGTTTGTTTGGACGGTCAACACCGTTGACCGTTAGTCAACTGTCCAGGTCACTGCCATGTCAGCATAAAAAATTATAATTTTATTTTTCTTTTTATTTCATTTACAAAATTGAATAATTAAAAAAAAAACTTTTGGCCCACTCATCCCCACCTTATCCCCTCACCTTCTTTCCTTTTCGATCAAACCCAAACAAACCCTATCTTCCTTCTTCTTCCTCCTTCTTCCCCGACGAGCCGCCGCCTCCATTCTCGCCGCCTCCAAACTGTAACTCATCATCTGATCCCCTGCGCCAAGGAACACCAGTGTTCCCATGCTCTCCCCTTTCTCCCACGAAAACCCCCTTGCCTTCCACCACTGGGGCCCCCGCTCTCTCCGCCGCCGCCGCCGCCTCCGCCCAAGCTTCCCCCGCCGCTGTCTCTGCCTTTCACTTCCGCATTCTCTTTCGCCTTCCCGTTCCGCCGAACTAGGCACAAAACAAGCACCGCCGCCACCAGGAACAAAACCACCAATCCGGCCGCGCTTGGAGCAATGATTCTGATCAGCTTGCTCCGCCGCCGCTTCCACGGCGATGATTTTGAACCAGCTGCGGAACTAGGGCTCGGGGAAGGACTCAATTCCGAGCAGTGCTTCCTGATCTGTTTGTGTCCCATCCCAGGGCGATTCCGCCACAGGAGAAAACAGAGACCTGCATCTCCAAAACAGGGGAGTCGAATTCGAAGCTTTCTCGACGGAAGGGAGCTCGAGGGAGGAGGCAGTTGAGGTTTTCCGGTTCACGGAGTTTGAGGAAATCGGAAAGGCGACAGCTTTTGACCTTGACATGGATGAACGGGATGCTTTCCCCGAACCTGTCGATGAGCAAATTGCCCGAATTCGTCCTGCCGGAGAAAGGGTAGTAGACGGTCAGAGTCTCGGCAAGAGAGCACTTCAGGTGGGCGATGAAGCGATCGGTGGATTGGAGATTTGGGGTTTTCAGGGTTGGCGTAGAAGAGGATGAGTGGAGTGTAGGTTAAGGGGAAGAGCTGGTCGAAGAGGCAGAGCTTGTGTGGAGGTTTTGGTTTTACGGTTTCAGGGGAAGCTGGTGAAGATGATGCAGGCGGCGGCTCTCCGCTGCATTTGAAGTCGGAGAGAATGGAGGTGGCGGCTCGTCGGGGAAGAAGGAGGAAGAAGATGGAAGATAGGGTTTGGTTGGGTCTGATCGAAAAGGAAAGAAGGTGAGGGGATAAGGTGGGGATGGGTGGGCCAAAAGTTTTTTTTGTTTGTTAATTATTCAATTTTGTAAATGAAATAAAAAGAAAAATGAAATTATAATTTTTTTATGCTGACATGGCAGTGACCTTGGACAGTTGACTAACGGTCAACGGTGTTGACCGTCCAAACAAACGGTCAAACCACGCTCCAGGCCAATTTTGTCTATATGCTGCATAGTTCGGGTCAGGATGTTAATTTCTCAAACCATTGGCCAAAGTTGATTACATGGTCATAGTTTGGGTCATAACAAGGTATTAACCCTAATAATAACTATAGGTACCAAGTTGTAAATAGCCTTCGGAGATTAGGGTTGTATTAGCAACCTATTTATATCGTTGTAAACTGTACTGGAGGATTAACGAAATAAGAAAACCTAAAATCTGAGAGGGAGATCCTCTCCGTGGACTAGTGTCATACTGACGATACCACGTTAAAAAAGTTCTTGTGTTCTTTACGATTTATGCTTGATTAATTGACATGGTATCAGAGCCTTCTGTGACTGTGAGGTCTTCTGTTCGATTCCCGGTGACCCCCATCTGTTTCTGTTAAGCACACGGTGTCTGGACCTGTGCCTGTCCAAACTCCAAGCCTATCTGAATGGCTTGAGTTTGAAGGGGGGTGTTAGCAAACGATATATGATCCACGATTGAACCTCTCCCAACAACTCGAGTTATTGGGATCAACTGGTTCTTGACATGGACTACTGCTGCTGGTTCTAGCACTTCCTTGTCCTCCGATATGGTTCGGCAGTTGGTCCAAGAAGCACTTCAAGAAGTTCTGCCTGCCGCTTTGAGTTCTGCGTTTGCTACGGGTGCTGCGCCAGATAATTCTTCTTGTTGGCTTCTTGATTCAGCTGCTTTTAATCATATGACGAATACCCCGGTTAATTTTTCTGTCATCAAGCCTACGACACAGCTGATGTTACAAGTAGCTAATGGTGATAATATTTCTGTAAATGGTTCTGGTACTGCGGTTACTCCTGGTGTTACTCTTCCTAATACTCTTTACGTGTCGAAGTTGGTTCCTAATCTGGTTTCAGTTGGGCAGTTGGCGGAAGAAGGGTGTAAGGTTACTTTTAATTCAGGTGGGTGTGTGGTGCAGGATCAGATGACAGGGAAGGTGATAGGGACGGGAAGTAAACAAGGTCGAATTTTCGTGTTGAATCAATATCAGAAGTCAGTTGGGAGTTCTGATGATCGACTGGAGCAGGATTTGACACGAAGCAAAGGGACTGCAGGCAGGGTGTCGAGTAATCTGGATTGTAATGGGTTTATGGGATTTTCTGTTAAACCATTGGATTTTTCGGTTAAGGCTACTATTTGGGATTTATGGCATTGTCGGTTAGGCCATCCACATACTGCTCGGTTATACAGTATGTTCCGGAATAATTTATTACCAGATCGTATGGATTCATCCGTTTCTATGCGTCCTTCTACATGTATTAGCTGCATTGAAGCTAAGGCTTCTCAGTCTTCTTTCTCCTCGAGTTCTACAGTCTATGAGTCTCCTTTTGATTTAGTTCATACCGACCTATGGGGTCCATCTCCGGTTATTTCTCGTCTGGGATATCGCTATTTTGCTCTGTTTATTGATCATGCTACGCGTTATATCTGGGTTTATTTTCTGCGTCAAAAGTCCGAACTTATCAACTTTGCTCAGGAATTCATTCGGATGATCCAGACACAGTTCAAGACCACGGTGAAGGTGATTCGATCTGACCCTGGCGGGGAATTTAGCACCAACAAACTGCTAGATTTTTATAAGGCACAAGGAATTGTGTCTCAACAGTCCTGCCCAGGAGTCTCACAGCAGAATGGGCTGGTAGAACGCAAGCATAGACATGTGCTCGAATTGACTCGAGCTATGTTGTTCCATTCACATGTTCCTCGCAGTTTTTGGGTTGAGGCAGTAAGCACGGTCACTTACTTGATCAATCGGCAGCCCTCATTGACAATTGACAACCATTGCCCGTTTTATCTCCTGTATCACAAGCAGCCCGACTACTCATTTCTCCGCGTCTTTGGTTGTGTTTGTTTCGTCTTGCTTCCCAAGAAAGAGAGAAACAAACTCGATCCGAAGACAGCTAAGTGCGTTTTTGTGGGTTACAGTGAAAAACATAAGGGTTATCTTTGCTATGATACTGCTGCGCGGCGTATGCGAATCTCATGTCATGTCGTGTTCTTGGAGCAAGTTATGCACTATCCGTTGGAGAAACAAACAAGTGATAATTCTCTGGAATTTCTCGATAGCTTGCCGGTTTTTGATCCTGTTCGCATACCAGCTGCCATGGGTCCGAATGATGCTCCGTCTACTGATCATGATGATGCTTCACCACCTGGGACCCCTTCCATAGTTGGACATCAATCCTCCTCCACGTCTGACTCTTCAGCGTCCCAGCCTTCTACAAATGCGACCGCCGAGCCGCATTCTTCTTCAACAGCATCCTCCCAACAATCTTCTACGAACACATCATCATCTCCGTCCCACTCCAGCAGTTCCATCTCCTCTTCTCTTGGGTCCTCTTTGCATGAGGAGGTGCTAATTTCACCTCCACCATTACATGTCCCCCGACGCTCCCAACGAAGCACAAAAGGCCACCCACCAAGTAGGCTTCTCGACTATGATTGTGTAGGCTTCTCTACTGAGTCTATTCTTGTTCCTAAACATTATCGAGAAGTGAAGGATGATCCAAACTGGAATGCCGCCATGAACAAAGAGTTTGATGCGTTAGAAGCTAACCATACCTGGGACCTCGTTCCCCGTCGCCCGGAGATGTCTGTGATCGGCAGCCGATGGGTCTATGCCCTCAAGATGAAGCCCGACGGTGCTATTGAGTGATTCAGAGCTCGGGTTGTTGCTCAGGGATTCCGGCAGGAATTTGGGATAGATTATGATGAAACGTTTGCTCCGGTGGCAAAAATGCAAATAGTTCGGAGTGTTCTTGCTGTGGCCGCCAGTAAATCATGGTCTCTGCATCAACTGGATGTAAAGAATGCATTCTTACACGGCGATTTGAAAGAGGAAGTGTATATGGAATGTCCGCCAGGCTACGCCAAGGGAAATAAAAATTTGGTTTGCAAATTAAATCGGTCGTTGTATGGGTTGAAGCAAGCACCCCGGGCATGGTTTGAGAAATTCCATAGCACTATTCTGCAGGCTGGTTTTACACAGAGTCACAATGATCCGTCCTTATTCACACGGCAGACGATTTCGGGTATTACAGTTCTTTTAATTTTATGTTGATGACATGATTGTTACAGGTGACGATCAGGACAGTATTCATGAGCTTATTCAGCATCTCCATGCCGTCTTCAAGCTAAAGGAATTGGGTTCTGTATCCTACTTTTTGGGATTGGAAGTTCAGCAGTCAAGGTCTGGTATTTTAGTCTGTCAGAAGAAGTATATTACCGACTTGCTAACTGCGACTGAGTATGCAGATTGCAAATCGTGTACTACTCCCATGGAGCTGAACCTCAAGTTGAGTCGTTCAAGTGGGGATCTTCTTGACGATCAGACCTTTTATCGTAGTGTTGTAGGTAGTCTTATCTACCTCACTCATACCAGACCTGATATTGCCTACACAGTTCAGGTACTGAGTCAGTTTGTAGGCATGGCACGTACTGCTCACTTGGATGTTGTGCATCGGCTTCTTCGGTATCTCAAACATACTACAGAAGTTGGACTCTTCTTTCCTGCCGGAGGGGAGGCAGTAATTGAGGCCTTTGCAGATGCGGATTATGCAGGATGTTTGGATACTCGGAGATCTACTTCTGGTTGGTGCATTCGTTTTGGCAGAGATTTTGTGTCATGGAGGTGTCGTAAACAGGACAGGGTGTCAAAATCATCTACAGAGGCTGAGTACAGGTCTATGTCTGAGGTGAGTTCAGAGATGGTCTGGCTGCAGAGGTTGTTTCTTGAGCTAGGCGTTGCTTGTAGAATGCCTATGCGTCTGTATGGAGATAACACAAGTGCAATTCAGATAGCAATCAATCCTGTTCTTCATGATCGAACTAAGCACATAGAAGTTCATGTGCATTATATTCGTCAGCTGGTGGCAGAAGGGACAATACAGATTAGCTATCTCACGAAGGCTGTGTCTTCAAGCCGACACTGGTATCTATCTGGCAAATTGATGTTACGTACCCAACATCAATTTGAGGGAGGGTGTTAATAATAATTATAGGTACCAAGTTGTAAATAGCCTTCGGAGATTAGGGTTGTATTAGCAACCTATTTATATCGTTGTAAACTGTACTAGAGGATTAACGAAATAATAAAACCTAAAACCTGAGAGGGAGATCCTCTCCCTGGATTAGTGTCATACTGACGATACCACGTTAAAAAAGTTCTTGTGTTCTTTACGATTTATGCTTGATTAATTGACACATTATTATTTGTCTCTCTAAAAAATTTTATTCGTTGTACTAATTAAATTAAATCTACTTTAATATTTTTAGTTTATTTATTTGCCTTTCTAACACTTAAAATCACAGTGAAGATAAGATGTTGCAGAAAGATACTTGGTTAGTGGTTCTACAGAACTTGAACTTCGATTTTACTTGGTTAACAATGCTGCCAAATTTTAATTTTGGCTCTCACACTATTTCAAGTGGCTCTCACACTCTTTCAAGTGCAAGTGAGGATGTTCCAAACTCTTCTTTTACCACACTCTCCATTCTTCAATCTTTGTTTTAGTTATTGTTCGCTAGGTTTTCTTCTATGGTTTTTTGCACAAATAATCGCCTTTGTATTTTGTTATTGTTCGCTAGGTTTTCGTCTATGACTTTTTGCACAAATCATTGCCTTTGTGTTTAGTTATGGTTCAATAGGTTTTCGTCTATGGCTTTTTGCAAAAATCATCGCCTTTGCCCACCATTTTGCAGCCATCTCGAAATACTGTCGGCGGAATCCTAAGTTGTTCCCCGCCACCGTTTTCCAAGGCCACTACAACGAGTTTTGTATCGGGACCGAGTTTCATCATTCTTAGTGTTTTTTTCCCCTTTTTGTTGAGCATGATCACAATTGAACCCAAACATATGGGTATCCTAACTTGAACACAAATCATCGCATTTGGCCACTATTATGCAACCCATATCGAAATATTGTCGGTGGAATCCTGATTTGTTCCCCACCGTCGTTTCTGAAGGCCGCTACCACGAGTCTTGTATCGGGACCGAGTTTCATCCACTTTAGTGTTTTTTACTCTCTTTTTCCTTTTTGTTGAGCATGATCACAATTTAACCCAATGCCGCTACCGAAAATCCATAACATATCTACTCAATGTTGGCGAGTTTTGTATCGGAACCGAGTTTCGTTCGCATTAGTGTTTTTTCTTTCAGTTTTTCCTTTTTGTTGGGGTCACTAGCGAGTTTTATCCGCTTTAGTATTTTTTATCCTTTTCGTTTTGGGTGAGAATGAAAATTGAATACAAATGCATGGGTATACAACCTAATTCGATCCGACCAAAGTGATTTGAACCCGATTTTACAGGTTTTCGACGGAAGTGAGTTTTATTTATTTTTGTAATTGTCGTCTTGTGTCAGGTGTGAATTTGTCCAAAAATTGGTCCTACCAGGTCAAAGCGAGTTGAACGTGGTGTTGACTAGTTTTGAGTCGACAGTGAGTTTTAGCTTTAGTGTTTTTCATTTTGCTTTTTCCTTTTATTTGAGAAAGACATTTGAACCCAAATCCATGGGTATCCAACCTAATTTGAAAAGATTCAGAGAAGCTGTTTCATTATGCAAAAGTTATAGCAGGATCAAATACTAGCCATACAAATTGAAACATTGGCGTCACGAAAGAAGTTTAAACATAAATAATCTATTCGACGATCCTTCTACCTTATACAAGTTCATCGACCATATGCTGTTGTAAATAACAAACCTATGAAAAGAATGATTAAGAATGAAATAAGATTACTTTCACTTTTGTATCACATTATAACTATTACTATTTACAATATTTATTTTTCTAATAAGCGAATCGATAGCGAACGGACTTTTCCTAGTGCCAATAAATGATAAGTTTTTAAATTTCTTGGTGAGATTCATAGTCAAACGAAACATAGGGTAGGAACTGGGATTGGGGTTGGAAGGGACGGACGTTTTCTCCTTTTCCGGCCGGGTCCTAATAATCGTCGGTCAACTTGTAATTTGGGTAGGTTGTTTTTTATTCATCGATCGATAATCGGTAATTTGGGTGGGATTGTTTAGTTTAGGGTGGATAGATATTGGTTGAGTGGTAAATATGTCAATTTGGTGTGTTTTATGGCGACAAAATTTGAATTTTAAGACGACGAATAGCGATTAAGTTATTAATTATTTAACTTTGGTTGATAAAATTAATAGATTAACCTTTTAATTTTAGGTTATTTTACTATGGTTGTTTTAATTTCCTTTAAGAGTAATATACTTGGATTAGGGATGGGAAAATCATCCATCCACATGGGTATCCAACAGAATTTGAATCGATTAGGTTGGAGAAAATCAAATAGATATTAGTTTTGGATGAGTTTTTCGAGATTCCGAAAAAGAGGTTAATGGATCTGGTGCGATTTTGATATTTTAAATATTCGCACCAAATCCACTTGAATAAGTGTTACAACCACGGTTCTAAAAAACACGCCTAGACACTCGCATAGGCGGTAGGGAGAAGAAAAATGCCCCGCCTTGGCCATAATTAACAACAGATAGTGCGTCTCAATGATGAAGTGGCCCCCTTGACGCCTAGTCAGCACTGAGTTGCGCCTCAAAACGACGTCACAATGTCTCTTTTCTACCTTTTGATATGCTACTAGGTTAGAAATAAATCAAAACCGTCCTCCCTTTTCCTTCTTCCCCTCCCAATTGTTGCTAGCTTCTAGGCTGGAGTTAGTGACAAACATCTTTAATGTAGCTTCTTCTTTCATCTTTTTTGCCCTTCTTCTCTCACAATCTACTATGCTATTTCCTGCTTCTTCTTCATTTCTCATTTTTCCAGACTATGTTTTATACTTTATCATGTGTTGTTGATGAGGTTCTAGAAATGAGAGATGGACGCAATGATATTGATTCGTAAACTTGTGATTCTAGGCAAGTCTGATAGTTTGCTACATTTACATTCAATGCTTAGGCTTATCTAGGCATGTTAGGCGCTAGGCAGAGCCTCATCCCTTGCCTTATGCCTAACGCTTTCTTCAAGCTTGGTTACAATTATGATTTAGACACACTCACTTCAACATTTCAATCATTCATATCTCTAATGCGTTAAAATTTTATAAGACGCAAATGTCGTAAAAAAGAACTTAAAAGTAACATTGACATTCTAAAAAATATTCTCACTATACCAAGAACGATACATATTATTGCATGGGGATGGTGGAAAAGAGTTTTTCCGAACTACATACAGGTAGGTTTTGGTATACCATATTATATCCGTAACTACTTTTGGTTATGAAGTTTATATCGATTTCACCCGAACCGGTTGCTATCTCTATCTTGAATATATAGTCTATTGTATTGTACTTATAACATAATTATTTTTAGACACCAATTGTATTTCGGCATCATTCTTCTACTCATCATTGGTGTTTGTTTTGTACATATTAATTTTCCGGGTAGATTGCAATGTTGGTAATTGGGATTACTAAAAATGTTCACTTTTGGTCACTAAAAATATTAAATTCCATTCGTGATCACTAAAATTAGTAAAACATTTCAATTTCGGTCACTCTCCGTCCAACTCCGTTAATTTTTGCTTACTTGGCAATCAACTCTTATAGTTGACCGTTAAATATGTGACATGACAATTAAAAATTAATAAAATAAATAAAAATTTTAATTTTTAAAATTTCCACCTCATTTGTCAACAATTAAAAAGATAAAACTATTCATCGAAAAAAGATGAAAATAATATTTTCCTTTTTTATAACCAACCTGCTTATTATTATTACTCAAATTACATCTCGCGTGCAAAGCCTACATTATAGTTCTCCATTATCACTTCAACTATCCATATAGGTGGGCTAGCACCCCAAACAATAATTTTATTCCAAGCAAACGTGGATGAGTCAATCTATGGGTTGTACAATTCGATCTCCTTCGGATGAATGCCCATCTTATTTGTTTATCACTTGGCAAAGTCGCCTCCTCCATTGATTTCTTCTCTTGCAGAATCTGTTCACAAATCACTGATTAACCCCCTCAGACCTTCCGCTTTCCTCCTCTTCCAGTTCCTCAATAAGATATTAACAGTCACTCTCCACGATCAAAGGTGTAAATCCTCTAGTCGCCGCCTCCTTAATTCCCTTCAATATCGCCTTGGCCTCTGCTTCCTCTGGCAAGCAAGAGCAATTAGGGAATCCTCCTCCTTTGTCCTCCCGATTCCTCCTCGTCTCGTCTGTTTTCTCCGAGTTTCGCTCCACTCGCGATTCCGACGGTCACGACACACATACAACCTCGATTGCTGACGGCCGTTACGTTTACCCGGATCTCGCTGGTGAAGGAGTGAGTGGCGACAGAATACGGATTTGGAAGAGTCGGCGACAATCTTGCCGGCAAAAGAGTGAAAGACGACTGCGAGCTGAGAGGAGAGAGAGAGAGAGAAGTGAATCGGAGGGAGCGTCTTCGCATGTTAATTGCTAGGGGACGCGGCGGCGAGAAGAGAGATTGAGAGGCGGCGGTGGGGGCATGCAAGAGTGGACAGTTAGGGTTTGTTGAATTACAAAAAAAAAATTAATTTTACTTTTATTTTTTTAATAGGGTAAATGAGGTGGAAATTTTAAGAAATTAAAAATTAATTTTTTTTCAAACATTTAACAGTCAACTATAAGAGTTGACTGTCACATAAATAAAAATTAACGGAGTTGGAAGAAGAGTGACCAAACTTGAAATGTTTTACTAATTTGAGTTACCACGAATGTAATTTAATATTTGTGGTGACCAAACATGAGTTTTTTTTAGTAATCTTAGTGACCAACCTTGCAATTTACCTTAAAGACAAATAAATGAACTAAAGACATTAAAGTAAATTTAATTTAATTAGGACGACGAATAGCAATCCTCGTAAATAAACCTAAAATAATTCTGATTTGGTTGGAATGTTCATCCAGTTCTAGCATTGAACCTCTTGAAATGTAATATCGTCCGGCTGGCTCAAAGCAAGCCACTAATTGACACTTGACAGTTTCGAATTTATCTGATGGCCGAATGCTGATTTTAGTGATCTGACCGGTTTGGCAGTTCATTCCAATTTTAACAACCATGAGAAATCCATGCACAATTCGTTGTTTTTTTAAAGTGATTTTTTTTTTCTTTTCTTCCTTGTGTTCATTTGAGTTTTGACGGGTCTTATCTCATTTAATCTCTCTCCAGTCTCCACCAAGCCCCCAGGAGAAAATGATGAGAGAGAAGCATATCACCCTATGCAAAATGAGAAATTATTGCCTACACCGGGAGTACCACGTGAGATTGGTGGGACCGGCTACGGTGCTAATTGTACAATAGTTAGCACTGTCTTAATCAAAGGAAAAACTCTACTAATTTGAATTAGTAGTGATTTTATAATAACCCGTAGTGATTTCGTTATTTTTAGTAACGTTTTTTTGCTAGTTATCACGGTGCTAACCCTATAAGGGTTAGCACCTAATCCCATCCCGAGATTAGTGACGTGGTACTCCCGATCAATAACCAACCGCCAAGTGTCCAAATATTTAATTAACTCGATTTTAGGTGGAGATGGGCACATGTTTGTGTTTGTAATTCCTTATATGTTGATCAATTGGCCACTTTCCAAAACAATTAATTGCATCCGCTACTTTCCTAGAGTACCTATCTTCTTTGTACATTTATTTTGTAGGAATAAAAAAGAGAGCACTCCATTGCCTTCTGCCTGCTTTGGCCGCCGATGGGGTCAGGCCCTCTGCGGTACATGCAGCGTCAACAATTGGAACAAGCAGTGTAAATATTTTTTTAACCGAAAAGCCGGTCTGATTTGGTATTTAGGTTTTGCTCCCCCATACGAGCTCGATGATGTTGGCCGCCGGCCGATTGTTTGCCGCCAGTCAAAATATGTCTCCATTACTGCCATTACCAAAGATGTGGTTTCAAACGCACCTTCGAAACCTGTGTTTATAGTGAGCGGGAACAGAAAGTTACCTATGTCAATCCATCTAATAGAATTGGATTAAAGGATCACTACCTCTGTTTCTCGCAAATAATCCTCTGTCTTCGTTTGAAAGCCCAACGCTAATTGGAGTGAGATTCTTCTGGGAGCTTCCAACGGAACAGAGGAATACGGATGTTGGGACTTCTAGCAGCAAGAGAAGACAACGACTGCCACAGAATTAGTTCGGCTATATTACATGTTTGGTCACTCACTTTACATAAAATTTTCACGTTTGTCACTCGAATTATTTTTCTTTCTTATCAACCACTAACTTTACGAATCATTTCACCGTTAGTCACTGACCGTTACACTCCGTTAAATTTGTCCTACATGGCAGTCAACTATAAAGTTTGACCGTTAACTAGATGATATGAAAATTAAAAAAATTTAAAATTAATATTATTATTCCACCTCATCATTCCACGTACTGTGTCTATTTGATTTATCATATATTCATATTACTTATTTAACAAAAATTAATGAAAAATGGAAGAAATATAAAAAATAAATTAGAAGATGTGGAGTTCACTCCGGAAGCATCGACGTCGGGAAGGAAGATGGGTGAGGAAAGGATGCCTGCATTCCGGCGTTGGATTCCGACTTAATCCTCCCATCATGCTTCCTCTTCAATAAGAAACCTGGAATCAATCTTGTTCGATCTGCAGCGTTGATTCCTATTTCGTCGCCTCTGATGAAAGCCTAGGTTTGGGTTCTTGCGATGGGGTTTTGAGATATTAGTGATGGGTTCTGGAGATGGGGTTCTGGGTTGGTATTCTGTATCCGAATTCAGTATTTTGTTTTTGTTTGTTGCAAGTGACCGCTCCAGCAACGAAAGTATTTTGTATACTGTAACCTTACGAAGATCCAGAGAAGCCCCTACTGCGATTGACGGTGGGAGATGGTGGAGATTCGATCCATCATAGCTTTTATCTCCTGGTCGTCCATTCCTCTTGTGTTCTCCGCTCCGTCAACGCCAATAAAAGCGCAGAGTTTAACAAGTTCAAATCCCCACTACAAGGAAGGAAATGGGCAGGGGAATTTCGATTCACACGGCGACGGTAAAAGGCAGAGGAAGTTCTTGGCGGCCATGAAGGAGCTTTGACGATTTTCATACAATTTCCACCTTCCATGTTGTCTTCCTTGCTCTTCAATTTCAGCTCCTCGACTCACCTTTGGTTCATGTTCTTCAATCTTTGCCTCAGTGATTTAACGAAGAAGAAAGAGAAAAGGAAATAACAGTTCTCAGGTGGATGGATTCCTCAAGAACAGAGGATAAAGCGAAATGTTGAAAATTTATAGGCACCATGAATTTAATTACCCCTATATTCATTCGCTAAGTTTCCAATCAGACAAAGTAGGTGGAATAATAATTTTTTTATAATTTCCACGTCATCTAGTTAACGATCAAACTGTATAGTTGACTGTCACGTAAGACAAATTTAACAGAGTGTAACAGTCGGTGACTAATGGTGAAACAATTCGTAAAGTTAGTGGCTGATGAGAAAGAAAAGTAATTCGAGTGGCAAACGTGAAAGATTTGTATAATTTGAGTGACCAAACATGTAATTTAGCCGAATTAGTTCGATTGGGTTTTGGGAGATGAAATGATTATGTTCAATTGTATACTAATTATTTTCTTAAAGAAAATAACAGAAAAGGAATTAAAAATCTTAATAAACACTTTTCTCTCCACCCAAGAAGGAGTTAATAGATTATAACAAAAAGGAGTTAATAAGATTTTGGACACATGGCAATTGGTTATTGGTCGGGAGTACTATGTCACCAATCCCACATGATACTCCCCGTGTAGGCAATAATTCCTCATATGAAATAAACAAAAATTGAGGAAATCAGATAAGGTAAATATTGGATATTGGGTTTACTATTTAGTTTCATTTCACTAGAAAATATAATTGTTGATCACTCAGTTTACATTTTAATTTCACAATCGGACATAACTCTATTAACTTTATCATATGTAGTAGTCAACTCTAATAATTCGCTTATATATGATTGACAAAAAATCTTTTGACTATTCTGACTCTTTCTTTTTATCAATATTTTGTGGTTGATGTGAGGGGTAGAAATCCCTAGCTTATACAAGTACAACCAATAGTTCAAAGCAGGAAACAGAGAAGTGAATACATGTTCTCCTATAGGTAAAGAGTGACCGAAAGAAGCAATAAAGTCAGCCACAAAATTTGCTCCCCTGTATACATGAGTGAGGCAAACGTGCCACTGTAATGCAAAGAGACATTGTATCTCAGTGACCAAAACAAAGTGCGGATGAGTGGGCACTACAAACCAAATAAGCCTAAGTGTCGTTGGCGAGTCGTTTTGTGTAAAAATATTCCAAATCCAAAAATTCCAGACAATCCTGAGACAATGCGCAACTCCATCCAAATCTACACAGGTAATGGAAACCCCCTCTCCCCATGGTCCATTGTGTCCCCTCACGATGTCACTCGTCACCTTGCTACAAGAAGAGTGAAAGATTGATCTGTCAACATTCAAGCATGCCCAGACGTGTGGTGGTGACATCCAACAAATTAGCTTTCTTTGTAGTGCTCTCCCTTCTCCAAATATTGATAACAACATATTTATACATGTTCTTCCCCTCATTTATTGGTCGTTTGGGGTTGATATCTTGCATCCAAAGCCTATTTTACGATAGGTTGTGTTCATTTGTCATATTGCAGGTCCTAATACGTGAAGAAAGGCTTAGGAGCAAGTTCGGTGAATTGGAAGATGACTAAGACTTCGGAGGAAAACTAGCTGAATTACACGAGGATGGCTTATGGGTGATGATACACGACCATGCTTTGTAAGGAACAAACTGATAACATCGGATTTGCACATGTTTGCACCATCATTTCTTGATCATTTTGGCTTGAGTTTCTGCTTTCTTGGACTATTTTACGCTAGGTTGTGTTCCTTTGTCACATTTCAGGTCCTAGCGTGTCAAGTTTTTGGCGCCGTTACCGGGGACTTTCTAGATTATTAGGAAAGGCAGAAGTTTGTTACTTTAGAATTTTTTTCCACCCTTGCTTTTCACTTGGGTGTTTTTTTTTTTGTTTTTTTTTGTTGGTGCAGATCTGAATCATGGATCCTAATGGCTTCTCCAACCATTGGGGGTATCCACCACCATCCGAGTGGTATTACCCCGAGACTCCCTGGAGTAACCAAGGAGGAGAATACTAAGGATTCGGGTTTCAGTACCAACCTCCCTACTACGAAGAACAATCAGACCCTTGGGTATTTCAAGAACAATCTCCTTATCAAGAAGAATTCCTCCCACAACAAGAAGGACCATCAGATCTTGGGTTTGCCACAGCCTTCACGGGCGATCCGGCAGAGCCATGCTACACTCCACAGCCAGATCCAAACTATCACTTGAGGCTTCTCGTGGAGCAGATTGCTCGAGTACCTGAGAGATCCTTTCCCGAGATGGATCCTCATATCCAGGCCATTGTCCAAACTGACTTCTCATTTCCCCGTGAAACAGAGGATACCCTTCGGAGCATAAAGGAGCACATAGAGGTCATTAAGAAAGCCGGTTCACAGTTTTCTCAAGACAACCTTTATGCTGCCATACAAGTAGAGGTGGAGGAAGAAGAAGGCAATCATGAGGATGTTGAGGAGCATACAGAAGTTGTCAAGGAAATCTCCCATGATAATCATGATCAAGTATATCCTCTGGTGGTAGATCACAACTTTCCCCATTTCCGCTCTGACATGCTGGGCCCGAGCGAGGAGATGCAAGCTGAACTTATTGAGAACCTTGCATGGCGACTTGCTCTCCAATCAGTTATGGAAGAAGAAGATAGAGAAAGGGTGAGGAAAGAAGTTGTGGAGGATGAGGAAGAAAGCAAAGAAGAGGTAGTTCTTGATCTTTTCCGAGGAGAGAGACCACATTTTGAAGAAGGAAGAGGGGTTGAAGAAGCGAGTGGTGTCCAGGCTGAGGATGAAGTTGAGGTGGAAGAGGCTTGCACCGGCCCAATAATACAAGTAATATCCCCACCAAAATTCGAGGAACTGCTTAGCAAGGACCTATTTGCAGTGTCTCTTTGCCAGACCAAGGCCACATCGACATCGGTCCCTCTTGGTGGATGCGATGGTGGCCAATCTATGTTGTCATATATGGTTTGGGGAAATGGGACGAGAGAAGAGAAGAAGAGGTCTCGAGGATGGAGACTTCATCTGCATCAAGTGCACGAGCTTCCATCACTAGTCATACCACATGCTCGTGACTTGCGACTCCACCTCATTGACGAGAACCTCAACTTCAAGGAGTTTCTAGCATGGACCGAAACTTAGGAGCCATCGTCCGGCTCACGACGTGAAAGAAGCGCTTGTTGGGAGGCAACCCAACCAGTCGGTTTGCATTTCTTTCTCTATTTCTCCTCGGTTGAGTCAGTTTTGTTATTTGATTTTAGAGTCAATAACTCAACCTTTGTGAGATTTTGTGTGGTGTTTGTGTTCTGATTACTCTCTCTTTCTGGAATGCACCGCTTGACCCGTCCATCATCATTCACCCTTGATCTGGTAACTTCGTTCTACTCTCCTTATCTTTCCTCCATTGAGGACAATGTCGTGCTTAAGTGTGTGTGTGTGGGGGGGGGTGTTTGATTATGTATGCGGGTGAATGTTTGGCTGTTTGTGTGCTTGGAGCCTAGTCCACTGTCCAAATTTGAGATTTGAGGGCTCCAAGTACTGCTGTTTGCTTGATCATATTGGCACTGTGGTTTTAATTGGTGAATTGAATGACTTTCGACTTAATGCATGACAACTGAGGTGTGACTAGGACAACCTATAATGATGACTGAGACGTGTAGTAGAATTTTGTAGGGGTTTGGTTTTTCAACTGTTTGCTTACCAACTGTGACTTGGATTGATAACTTGTTCTTGACAGTTGGTTGTGCATCTAGTTCAGGGAATCAGAATGAGAGATAGAGCATATAGGTAGCCATGTGAGATTTGAGCGTGCTCGTTCTTTCTTGTGCGATAGTTCCCTCTTCCATGATGTGTAGCATTCACGTTGTCATTAGCTAAGATGTTGGAGGCATAGGATTAGCCCACGACCAAATTGACTGTCCTGATGTGTCATATCCTCTAGTCAGCCCCTTTGAGCCGTGTGTTATCCTTTCTTTCAGTCTACAATGAAAAATCACCCTTTTGCATCTTTTAGAAGGTTCCACAGAGTGGTTTTTACATGTTCTCTGATGTTTCTGCTAAATATAATGTGAGGGTTGGAGGTAGTGCTTAAAAGTTGGGCATATGTTTGAAATATGTGCAGAGGTGGTGGTTCTCTTAAGGAATGAAAAAAAAGAATGAAAGAAAAAAAAATGAGAGCAAAAGAGAGCCACTACCAAAAATCTGAATAGTGCCCATTAAGTAGTGTTTCTTAGCAGTCTGGCTTGGAAATGCTGACATTTATATAACCTCCTTCGCTCGTGTGCTCGTAAGAATTTGACTAATGCAGAATGGCAGAAAGAAAGTAAGTGGTTTGATTGACTGTGATTGTGTTGGGTTTGGAATTGTGGAACCTTGTGCTACGAATACTTCCACCACCTAAAAGGCCTTTTCCCCATGTCCAAGACCCTAGCCAGTCATCTGAACCTGTGTCTAAGACCTCCGGATTAGTTAGTGATGACACCTCATATGTGAACTCTAGCATTTAGAGGCTGCCGTCATAGTGAAGAGATGTTAGGGATTGAGAGAATAAGCATGCGCATTTTCTCATATTGTCCTCACCCCACTGGTCGAGAGTGAGCGATTCATTTTCTCATGTTCTCTATAATCTTGTACCCCGGTGAAGACCTAGATTGCTCGGTCTCTATTCTGATATCTTGAGTTTTGTGCATGAGGTGACTGTCTTGAGTAAGTGGTTGAGTCAAGTCTATGTTGATTGATGAACAGAAGGGAGACTCCTCCTTTACTCAATTTTGCTGCACTCGAATGTCCTCTGTGGTGGTTGTCCAGGTTGCGGTTGAAGTTGTTCATGTGTTGATGTTTGAAAGCCAGTGTGATTCCCATGTTTTGTGCCTATATGATTTGTCCCCAATGTTGGTATGATTGAAATTGTGAGCTTACCTTGTGTCTGACTTGGTTTGCTTGGGGACAAGCAAACGGTTAAGTGTGGGGGAGTTTGATAACATCGGATTTGCACATGTTTGCACCCTCATTTCTTGATCATTTTGGCTTTAGTTTATGCTTTCTTGGACTATTTTATGCTAGGTTGTGTTCCTTTGTCACATTTCAGGTCCTAGCATGTGAATTGAAGCATAGGCACAAGTTTCAAGTCAATCGGAGATCATTTGGCAATTCGAAAGAAGAAACACGAGCATGACCTAAGGAATAATGGACTTCTACCTCATATTATGGACAAATAATCATGGAATTTTGTCATGAAAAGAAAGAGCACGAGACTACGAGCGTCTGGGATCAAACGGCGACTGATTCGGAGTCCGGACAAGGGAGAAACGAAGCATTAAACAGAGGCTGAGCAAGCCACACGGGCACACCTAAAAACCCACACGAGCGTGTGACCTGGCCATGAGGCCATGTGGGATTTACCGAGCACTCACACGGGCATCCTGGGGAGCCATACGGCCGTGTGGCCCCTGCCCGTGTAGCTTGCCTGGTTTCCCATTAATCGAAACTCCGCGTTTTGGCACTCACACGGGCAGCTGGGTAAGCCACACGGTCGTGTGGCCTGACCATGTGAGTCGGGAATCTCTGGTTTTAAGCCAAATTTCGAGCCAAAGGAGAGGGAGAGCTGGGTTTTGGTTTCCAAACACCCAAGGGACAAACCCTAGAGAGAGAGAGCGACTTGGGAACATTCTTGGAGCTATTTTGGAGGATTTCTTCGCCATTGGAGCTCGGGAATCAAGCTTAGAGATGGAGATTGAAGATCTAGATAAGATTGCTGCAGTCTCTCTCTTCTCTATGGAGTAACTTCCCTTCACTTAGGTTTTGAGGAACCCTAGTTCCATGTGCTAGGATCTTTCTTGTATGAAGTTTTGGATGCTATATTGTTTGATTATAATCGATTGAGGCATGATTTATAGAGTCAATTGAAGCCTGATCATCTTCTCTTGATTTCAGCTTTAACCTATGATAGATAGAATCTGATTAGGTTAAGAGAGCTTCCTTGATTGATAGTGGTGAATTGGTTGTGCGAGAGTCAATCAATTCACTGCTTTGTACTGTAATTCATTCCAGTAGTGGAGATCTGTGTGAATCGCCTTAGCAGTCTATCCCGGTGAAGGCTAGTCGCCTGCCGGGTATTCTGTCTAAGAGGGCTTGGTCAGCTTAAGAGATTCCAAGCTAATTTAGCATCTTCCGCAGTTTAATCAACTGTAGACCAACCAAAAGTAATTGCAACTTGGACCTAATTGAGGAGCTAGGGGGAATCATACCTAAGTGAGTTCCCAACTTGTAATTAGTAGAGTAGTTAGTAGAGTAGTTTATAAATCAATCCTTAATCTAGTTTGCTAGATAATGAACTGAAGCTGAGTAATAGTAACTCTAGAGACCCGAGGATTCGATATTTATTACTTGTGCCACTATACTGCAGTCCCTTTCATTGGTTACACTTGGCCATTGTTAGGTGTTGTGTCGTAGCGTGTCAAGTTTTTGGCGCCGTTGCTGGGGACTTTCTAGATTATTAGGAAAGGCAGAAGTTTGTTACTTTAGCGTTTTTTTCCACCCTTGCTTTTCACTTGGGTGTTTTTTTTGTTTTGTTTTGTTGGTGCAGATCTGAATCATGGATCCTAATGGCTTCTCCAACCATTGGGGGTATCCACCACCATCCGAGTGGTATTACCTCGAGACTCCCTGGAGTAACCAAGGAGGAGAATACTATGGAGTCGGGTTTCAGTACCAACCTCCCTACTACGAAGGACAATCAGACCCTTGGGTATTCCAAGAACAATCTCCTTATCAAGAAGAATTCCTCCTACAACAAGAAGGACCATCAGATCTTGGGTTCGCCACAGCCTTCACGGGCGATCCGGCAGAGCCATGCTACACTCCACAACCAGATCCAAATTATCACATGAGGCTTCTTGTGGAGCAGATTGCTCGAGTACCTGAGAGATCCTTTCCCGAGATGGAGGCACGCGTTGTGCTTATTTGTGTGAATGAATGTGGATGTTGGTATTTAAATATGAGAACCACGGGAGGTTGGATCACTACTGGATGCAGTAGATGATTGGGTCACTACTGGATGACGATAAGTAACGCATCAGTTGATCGTGTGTTTTTGGTTCACTACTGGACAGCGAGATGTAATGTCGTTGTTGACCGGGCTTGGTACTGAAGGACGAGACAAAACGGAGTACCATTGCTTTAGAGGTAGGGACACCGGACGGCGAGACGTAACATGGTGATGCCTAGTACTAGTGTTATGTGTATGAGTGAAGGATAGGAGTAGAGAACTCCTATAAGTTAATTACAGAAAAAATTATAAAGGGTGAAAGCGAGAACGACTTTTAAGTAAGAGGAGAAATTCTAATAAGGTTAGATTTGAATAGAATGCTTAAGGAAATGATCTTAGGTTGTAGTAACGAAGAGACTAACCCCTTTTCACTCACCAGGTAGATGAAGGGTTAGCAGACGAGTAGTTAAGGGGAGGCAAAGTGTCGGCAACCTCACTGCATTAACGAAAACTTAGGGAGCTTAGTAAGGATCCAGAGTTAGAATTGTTCGTTATTTATATTTCATGATTATGACTTATGAGTATAAACTGGAGGTTCTGAGGTTAAGTTGTATTGACTATGGATTGCCCAAGTGTGTAGCACATTTCATTAGAATTTCTTTGGAAGTGATTCGGTTGTATTTAATTTTATTGGAATTTTTAAACATAGTTTTTTGGTCGGCTATTGAGCCATGAGTATTTTAGTATGTTTAAAAGGATCAGGGCGTTTCACTGTTTGTCGATACCGAACTTAACTCGGTAAACCGAATACCGAATTTATACGGTATATGTTATTAACTGGATACCTGTTTTCCCTGCTCGACTTGCTAGCTAGTAGCTACTACCTATTTAAGAACAAAGCGTCTCATATGCTCTCGACAATAACATACACAGCCAGCAAACTAGGGACTGGGGTTTATCCATTAGTGGTTAGGATATAGTATCATGTCCAAAACTCCGGTTAATTCCTTATCTAAATAGAAAAACTCAAATGGGCGTACGGTAGTCTAACGTACGCCCGGGCATACGCTAGCCTGAACCATATATATAAATATAAATATAAATATATATATGGCGAGTTCTACGGTCCCCTTAGTAAAATCCGGGGTACCGCATATCTTGAGTATGAAAACACTATTTAGACTTTGAATTGATCGATCTTTCGGGCATGATACTATACTCTAACCTTTAAAGATCAAAATCTAGGTCTTCATTCTCCCAATCTTATACTCCAATATCAATTTAATTAGAAACAATAATCGACGGTTATGATTCGTCCAAATATAGGCACAAAAAGGAATGCACCATCTTAGGGTTTATAGATTATGATTTAGATAATTAGGATCTAGGGTTCACTCATTAAGGGTTAGGGTATAGTATCAAACCCAAAAATCCTGTTAATTCGAGGTCTAGATACCATTTCCATACTCAAGGTATGCGGTATCCCGGATTTCACCCGGGGTACCATAGAATTCACCATATATATATACATTGCTTTGCTCCTCTTACCGGCTGCAAGCCTGCAACACTCACCGCCTACTCTCCTCTGGGTCGATGAACAGTTGGGCCGCTGGGTCGAGCCATTAAGCTCCGGCAGCGAAGTAGGGCCAACGAAGGTCGACAAAAATAGAGCCCGAAGGAAATGAAAAAAAATTTGATAGGTCGTACTGGGTCGTCTCTGTAGTTCGAGCGTGCGTCGATGACAGAGAGGACAAAAATTCTGCTTGTTTTGGACGGGCGGCCGACGACGTTTAAATTCGAGTAGTGGAGGAGGGATCAAGGTGCGTGACTCATCCTACGACAGGCAGTGGAGAGACGAGAGAGCAATACAAAAGATTAGTATTTTACTAGGTTAATTACTTACTAGTTATTACTTAATTAGGATTGCTGGGTTGGGGTCTTAGGGGCCGACGCGTTTGGCTTCACTTCTCATATTCGGTATTGGATTACCGAATGACCGACGATAAATTACCAAAGATATGTCGGTTGTTTACACCAAAATAATCTTCAATTAAAATACCATTAAGGTGGTTTTGGAAACTAAGTGAATTTTCTATTTGGACAGTATATTACTGGGTAATAGTTGGGGCAAGGTGACCACAAGTACTTGGTCACCATGTGTCAAGTCCCATGGTAACCATCCAGCCTCAAAGTGGATGGTACCATCTCAACCCCATGGTTGATGGTATCACCCCAAATATCATCGATACCATCCAATCCTATGATGGATAGTACCATCTCAAATATCATGGATACCATTCCAACTCTAAGGTGGATGGTACCGTACCAAATATCATTGATACCATCCCAACCCCAAAGTGGATGGTACCATTCCATATAGTGGACATCATCCAACCTCTTATTGAATGGTGACCATCCCATGTCATGAATACCATCCAATTCTAAGGTGGATGGTACCATCCCATATAATGGACATCATCCAACCTTAGTGGATGGTAACCATCCTTTATCATGGACACCATCCAAAGTACTAACTGGATGGTACCATCCCGCATTATCGATACAATCCAAAATACTAGTTGGATAGTGATAAGCCGTTAATTGCACATGTTTTTACCCCTATTCTGGAGCCGTTTGAGATGGTAATTCTCGTGTTTTAGGCCGATTTCATGCTAGGTTGTGTTTGTTTGTGATATTTCAGGTCCTAGCAAGTGAATGAAGGTTTAGGAGCGAGTTCGGGGTCGATTGGACGAAGATCGGGCGCGAGGCAAGTCAAAAAGGAAGCCACACGGGCACACCCACAACCCACACGACCGTGCAAGTGACCACTTTGGCCGTGTGGGATTGTGCGAGCCTTCACACGGCCAGCCCTGATTGTCACACGGCCGTGTGAAGTTGCTGTTTGGCCGTGTGGAATTCTGCGAGGCTTCACACGGCCAGGTTGGGTGAGCTACACGGCCGTGTGACCCTGGCCGTGTAGGAAGCCTGAAGTGCAATTAATCGGAACGCGGCGTTTTGAAGTCACACGGGCAACTGGGTATGCCACACGGCCGTGTGGGCCTGCCCGTGTGAGTCGGGAATTTCTGGGTTTTTACCCAATTTCGGGCTGAAAGTGGGAGAATCGAGTTTTGAGAGCAAAAACAGAGCCCTAGAGAGAGAAAGTACGAAGAACACATCCTAGAAGCTATCTTGGAGCTGGGTTTCATCAAATCAAGCTTGGAGATCGTCATAGGAGTGGAAATCATCATCCCAGAGAAGATTTTCCTCATCTTTATGAGTATGACTACTATGTATTCTGTTTTCCTCTCTCTCTCTATGGAGTAGAACCCTTCTCTCACTTGGATATGAAGAACCCTAGTTCTATGTGTTAGGGATTTGATTGTAATGACTTGGGATGATATTACTGCTTGGTTTTAATCGAATGATGCATGTTTATTGAGTCAATTGAAGTCTGATCAGCTTTTCCTGATTTCTGCTGCAACCTGAGATAGATAGAATCTGATTAGGTTGCTAGAGCCTCATCATTTGGTAGTAGGAGATTGGCTATACGAGAGTTAGCCAGTTTACTTCTTTGTACTGGAATTCAATTCCAGTAGTGGAGTTCTGTTCTTACTGCTTCAGCTTTCTATCCCGGTGAAGACTAGTCGTCTGCCGGGTAGTTAGTCTGAGAGGGCTTGGTCAGCTTAAGAGATTCCAAGCTACTGTCGGATCTTCCGCAGTCTAATCAACAGTAAATCAACCCAGGGAAATTACAATTGAAACCTAACTAAGGAGCTAGGGGGACTCATTCCCGAGTGACTCTTCTTTGCTTGAGAAAACCGTACCAATTCCTGCTTTCTTTCTGCTTTTGCTTTAAACAACAATCACTTGACTTAGTTGGCTAGATAATAGATAATCACTGAGTAAGCAGTAGATCTAGACCCCGGGTTGATAATATAACTTGCCACTTTACTGCATTCCCGGTCTTCGATTACACTTGGTCGCAGATTGGTGTTGTGTTTTGGCGTGTCAGATAGTTCCATCCATGATGAAACAAGATGACATGATGAGGCGTCTAGAGACTTCTGACGATGACAACTAACTTGCATAGAGGCTAAGTGGAGCTACTTTTCAGGAGGAGGAGTGAGAGAGCAGTTGGACGAATTTGGGCAACAAAACCTAAAGAAACCTTCTGGAGCAAGGCAGACCATCACAACACAACACAAAGACAACTTAGCTCAACTGTCCCTTTTTTCTTTTTCTTTGTAGTTTGTGGAGCTCTCCTCCATGAAGGATCATTCATAGTCGTAGTCTTAGTTGTATTCGCGGAGCTCTCAAGTAATCTCCATAGGAGTAGTGTAAGGTAACTTAGATTCCACACACACCAAACAACCTCGCTCGGATATTTTTTGAAGAGGTGTGGACCATAATAACAATATTCACCTTCATAGAAGTCATGCACAATCCAACCACCGTTTTTTCATCGTTAACAAATTGGCACGCCTAGTGGGACACGTGTGTTTGGTATGGCTTCGCGACTGATACAACAAGAAGATGATCTTTCACATGATTTTTTTGGAGGAGCAGTTGGTTAGTGTCGAGATTGACCAAGTTGGAGGGACCTCAGGTAACAGTGTTGGATTAATGATGTCACTCTTGGTTTCAAGTCCAGATCCATATGAAGCAAAGCCCTCACTCTGCCAAATGATGGAGGAGATTCATTAAATGGTGGCTGGGCTCTATAGAATCGACCAACAGGTAAATCTTCACATTGGCTCTTTAAATAAGCATTTTGCTAATATCGAGCAAAGCTTTGATATAGCTTGTGATAGGATGATTGATAGGTTAGTGATATTGAAATTTAAAAATATGAAATTATGCACGATGCATCCATTGTACCAGAAAGAATCTTGTTGTTGAGCGACAAGAATTTGGTGAATGAAAAAATTGAAACAGTAAGCAGTGCCCGTAACACCTAAGGCAAATCCCACATTGATAAAGCACGGGAGAGATCCATGGTTCATAAGTAAGAAACCGGTCTTAAATGGCAAGACGGGTTCTGAGGTGAAATGGAGGAGTTATTGTGAGAACGCCGAAATCAAATGTGCTCAGTGTGGAGTACAACAAGGATGGGTGACCTTATGGGAAGTCACCTTGAATTGCACCCCAAGTAAAAAAAAAGTGAGGGTCGAGGCCCAAAGCAGACAATATCTTCGTTAGCAAAAGGTAAGGGATGTTACACTGCCCAAACTCGTGGTTTTGGCAATTAACCACAATTGGTTGATGAGAAAGTTGGGTGTCTGCCTATTTTGATGGACAGTCCACAATGTAAAGGTAACAGTAGTGGTCAATCCAACTGTTCTCACTTGACTAGTAAAAAACTTAAAGAACCTGCATATGCCAATGATGGAATTGGTAGTGGTTTAGATAATGTCAATAAGGACTCGCCCACTCATTTGGATTCAACACTGTTGTTTACAACAAGCAATGCAAAAGTGTCTTGTTCTGGGAACATCATTGTTTGCCCGACCTCAAAAGTATAGTATTGCTTGCATAAGCCATTAGAAAAAAACGTATTTGTCCTTCTAGAAATATCAAAAGTGAAAAACTGGTAAGCAACCCATATGTGAATACATTGAAAAAGAGAAGCACAATAGGAAATTTGACAATAATGATCAAGTTAAGCTGCTAGGGGGGCATGCCATCCCATTTCTTGGCAATATGAATATTTTTCACACATTCCACCAAGTTAGCAGATGTGGCAATGATGATTACCAAAAGTAATTCTCAGTGTTGGGATGGTGACCAGATGCCAAATTTCAAAACAAAAAAATTTGGTCTACCTCGATGTGATCATTTACTGCACATTTTATCAAAGTCTCCAACAAGAGAAAAAATTAGTGTCCCAAAGTTTGGACAGGGGGCAATTCACAAACCAACAAATATTGATTGGGGGCATGTCAAACATGTTGGACGAATAAATGGAAATCAGAGTTGCGCAGCGGAAGCGTGGTGGGCCCATAACCCACAGGTCCCTGGATCGTAACCAGGCTCTGATATCAATTGAAAAAGAAGCTAGGGCTTGAAATTAGGGATTGGAATTGTAGAGAAAGGAAAACTAACAGAGAAGAAATAAATGGAAGAAGGAGAAGAAAAAGACTAATTAGCTCTTTGCTGATACATAAAGAGGCTTGTGTTTTGGTTATCCTTGTCATAGTTGCCATTAGCTTGTATTCTCGAACTGATGAGTTTCTATGCATATCTTGTATACTTATATTTGAGGGCGTGTACTGCATTATTTTTTCAATGTGTTTATTATGGAAGAGCTTGCAAATTGAGGGGGAGATACTCCTTATTGCATCTCTTGTTTATGTTAGTCAATAAATTGAGGTTAATGTCAGTCAATAAATTGAGGGGGAGATATGCTAATGCTTGTGCTTCTTTGATCATATATTCTTAAGAACTTTCATTGTTTTGGTAGAAGAGGTTTTTGTCTATAGTTACAGGTGACTATCAATTCGCAATCTCTGATTTAGGGGGAGATTGTTGGACGAATAAATGGAAATCAGAATTGCTTGGTCAAAGAATTTCCTTTTCCATCTAAATCCGTTTCAAAGTTTCATATTGTGGGACGACATCAGTGCTGCAATTTAGAGAATAGAAATGGAAGGCTTGACAGAAATTGAAGGAACTTTCCTTCTCAAGAACAACAGCAGCAACGGCTTGTTCCAATGGGATATATATATATATATGCACTTTACTATCTTTTGTTGACCAACTTTTGTAGTGGGAAGAGGTATAGGTCTTCGGTTTACAAAAGGGTTCAGCTCTAGAGAAGGTAGAGGTTCTCTAAGCTGGGGCTTGCGGATCTGGAATTCGGCAGTTTGATCAGTGTTCATCGTTTCTTCTTGTCTTTTGTAATTGTGTTCTTTGTGTCAAAATAGAAAATTAAACAAAGGGTCTCCCAGACTGTATTCTGGGACGTGGAAGTAAACCATTGCACTTGGGCAAACCACGTTAAAAAGGTCTTTGTGTTCCTCAGTTTTCTGCTGCTTGCTTAGTTCCCGTTCTTGTTCTGTTTTCGTCTGGGTTTCTTAGCTCGAACAGATGAATGTTCTTGCTTTGAGAATCTGCCCGCCAGTTAAGAGCACTTGAAACGATTGGGCTGAAAGTCTCTAAGCCTGATTCCTTCTTTTATTAAGTCTTACAAATCTATCTAATTGGGCTTTGTTTTATTCTTAAGCCCATTTATTTTAAAGAGAAGGAACAAGGACGTTATCTTCAAAGAAGGAAATCTATTCCTTCTTTTCGTCTCCTTCTTCCATTCTTTTTCTTCTCTGTTAGTCTTTTCCTTTCTCCACAATTCCAATCCCTAATTCCAATCCCTAGCTTCTTTTTCAAAACAACTTGCAAAAAGTTCAACCTACACATGGCTTGAGTAAAGGTACAAGCATGGAAAAGAATAGACTGGGGGCACGTCACCAACCAGAAAAGTTGGATTGGTGGGCATGCCAAGCAATATGCAACGTGCTCAAAACACTCATGATTGCATAAATTTAGGAGTTCAAAAGAGGATAGACAAGGTTGTAATATGTCAACCAAACTTATGGGTATGGTGGCATGCACAAGAAGTTTCAATATGCATAAAAAAAATGGTAAAAAAATGGGGAAAGGTGGTTGTGGGCTAAGTAACAAAACTTTTAGGGTCTGGAAGCAAAGACAAATGAGTCATGTATGTGGCAGTGGACTTGTAAAGTTTAAATACCCATCCCCTCAAAGTAATGTGAAGAGTAGACATGAAGCAGTTTGGGGAAAACCAAAGCAGATATGGGCTTGTGGCTTCCCTTCGGATCCAAAAGAATTGAGAATACATTATGTACCTCATAGAGCAACTCACAACCACATGGGTCGATGTTAACAACCAGATGAGCTGGTTGGGATAACTCGAGCAGAGAGGCATAATATCACATGTAAGGATGGCAAAAATCATTTTGGAAAATGACAACCTTTCATTAAGATGGAGAATGCCTCTTTAGTGTATACATCTCAATTGAAAGAAGGAAGTCATGTGATGTATGGATGGCTTGTGTGGTTTGACCAATGGAGTTGGTAGTGAGTGTATACCTATGGATCCTTAGTTACTGCTAAAGGCTGTGGAGAGTGGTGATACTTCCCAACTCTTGTCATAAAATATATAATTAAATAAAGTGGTAAACAAGCCACTCAAGTTGGCTTTTGAATGGTATGACTCAAGTAAAGAATACCATCTCAGTTGATGGATGCATGGAAGCATCAATTTATATAAGAAGAATTGGAGTGACCTTGTCCTTATAGAGATGAGTTTTCTTTTATTAGTGGGACACTGGATAGCCTTCTATCGTGTTTCATTTACTTGGCCAGAAAGGAATTGGATTGCTAATGTGATTTGTTGTCTAGACAAATATGGCTACATAATCCAGTGTTTGTTTCGACTGGTCGTGTACTTTGTATAATTGGTGTCAACAACTTAGTTCATAATCTTTTATGAACTAAGTTGGGGGGGGGGGGCATTTGTATTAACTAAAATATTTTTCAATTAAAATACTACTTAGATGGTTTTGAAAACTTAGCGGATTGCCTGGTTGACCGTATGTTGGTGAATAATAGTTGGGGCAAGGTGACCATCCAGTATTTGGTCACCATGTGCTAGTCTCATGGTAACCATCCAGTCTCAAAGTAGATGGTACCATCCCAACCTATGGTGGATCGTATCACCCCAAATATCATGGATATCATCCAATCCTGTGGTGGATAATACCATCCCAAATATCATGGAAACCATCACAACTCTATGGTGGATGGTACCGTCCCAAATATTATGGATATCATCCCAACCCCAAAGTGGATGGTACCATTCAATATAGTGAACACCGTCCAACCTCTTATTGGACGGTGACCATCCCACGTCATGAATACCATCCAATTCTATGGTGGATGGTACCATCCTATATAATGGACACCATCCAACCTCTTAGTAGATGGTGACCATCCTTTATGATAAACACCATCCAAAGTACTAATTGGATGGTAACATCGCGTATCATGGATACCATCCAAAATACTAGTTGGATGGTCCCATCCATATTGAAACACGATGACATGATGTGGCGTCTAGAGACTTCCTATGATGACAACCGACTTCGTAGAGGCTAAGCGGAGCTACTTTTCGGGAGGAGGAGAGAGAGAGCAGTTGGACGAGTTTGGGCAACAAAACCTGAAGCAAGACAGACAATCATAACACAACACAAAAGACAACTTGTCTCATTATCTTTGTAGTTTGTCATTTACAGAGCTCTCCTCCATGAAGGATCCTCCATAGCAATAGTCTTAGTTGTAGTCGTGGAGCTCTCAAGTAATCTCCATAGGAATATTGTAAGATAACTTCGATTCCACATACACCAAACACCTTCGTTCGAAGAGGTGTGGACCGTAGTAACGATCGTCACCTTCATAGAAGTCACCCGCAACCCAACCACCCATTTTTCTACCGATGACATCGGTATACCGCTTCTTCCATTTCCGCGTCCGATTATCGATAAATACGGTTAACGGTTTAACCGTTAACCGCAATACCGTTTACCATCTCTAGGGTGTTTGGAGTAAAATGAAAAGATCTCCTGCTGGTAGGGCTGGGAAACAGTCCGGTTCGGTTAAAACCGGACCGGATTAACCCGGCTTTTTGAAACCGTATTGAACAATCTCATGACCGAAGACGGGATTGGATTATTACCCGGTTTTAACCAAACCTAATTGGATACAAAACGGTTTGGTCCGGTTTTGTTTATTCCCTAGCCAAAAACGCTGGCGTTTAAACAAAATTGATAAAGAAAAATTAACTCTCACCTCCCACTCGGTACACACTCACAAAATCCCCAATTACCCTGACAAAACCCCATCCCCTAGTCTCTTGTCGCCGCTCTCTTCTGGTAAAATATCCCAATCCATATTCCCCATCTCTAATCCCTAGCTCCGATTCTACTTCCGAGTTCATCCATCCATCACCTTTCCTTCTTCATCTTCCCACCTCCCTCTCCGCTGTGATATCTCCCCGAAGTTGTGCTCGCCGGCCCCGCATCCTCTTCCTCCATACACGATATATCCACCGATTGGCGAGTAGAGCCTCCGATCTGAGTCCGGAGATGGTGATTGACAACAAGAGTGCGACAACACCTGCATGCACCGCCACCGTCATACAAATCGTGAACAGAAGTGCGACTTCCCTTGCATGCACCACCACCGCCTTCAAATCGGGGGCGGTTTCAACTCTGAAATCATCGTCTCCATTGTCGTTGCTATCACCGTCGTCGTTGCCCAAAGCAGTGAGGAGACCTCGACCACGACCAGAATGGGCAACTCGGTGCCGTCGGGGAGGAGAGAAGAGTCAGCGGCTGCTTCGATGGTTGAGCGGAGATTTCGACCGCTCGTCTTCTTCTTCGAGACCAGCCTATGGGAGGCGGCGAGATAGGTGAGTTCGTGAGTATCAGATTGGGTGGCCTTGACGATTAGGGTTTTGAAATATTTGAGCTTTTGTGTTTGAATGGGCCTATATTTGAGAGGGGATTTGGGCTTCAGGGTTGGGTTGGGTGCAAGGCTAGGCTGATCCAGTTTTTCGGTTTTTCCCGGTTTTAACCGGGTTATATCTGGTACGGTTTTTCTCCAAATACTAGCAACCGGAATCCGGATCGGACTGGGTTGTATCCGGTTTCCTGTTGCAACCAGGACGGTTTAAATTGGCCGGTTTTCGGTTTGACCGGAAAACTGTAACCGGATTTCCAGCCCTACCTGCTAGTTTGTTGCTGAAAATTATAACTGATAATGAAGGGTATTGCGCAAGATGTGTTGATTTTGCTAGTATGTTAGCAAGCTCGAGTTTTGGTAGTAGATTCTGTGTACAGGGAGTATAATGAGAGTAGTGAGTAGTATTGAGTAAATAACCATAACAGTGAACTGTAATTTTCTCGACAAGCTTGATTTAGTTGATCAATTGAAAGCTTAATAAGAGAACAACAATTATCAACTAAAGCTAGAGATCGGCTGAGGGATGGCTGTGTGTAAGCACTTGCACATGAAGAGCCGGGCTTCTGAATCCATCCAAAATTATAAATCGTAGCTGTTTGCAGAAACAGGCCAAGGAAACGTCAATTTCCCAGACGAATCACACCCAATTGATCTGAAGCTTCTACGTCCATATATAGATGTACAGTTAATCGCCGCAAAGTTTGGCTACCGTCAACTGCGCCTATAGTATAGTGGTGGAATCGACCCCCCAGTCTTACCTTTCCTTTGTTTCGCTTTCAGCGGGATATAACCGCGTTGCCTCCATTTGAGCTTTGATTTGATGGTGATTACCATATCATTTGCAATCTTATTTCCATGTATATCCCCTGTCATTGATATAGATATGCCTGGATGTGAAGGACAAGTTCAATTTGGTGACAAGATTAAATGGACGGGTGATAGATTGGAGGGTTGCAGAGTACACTTTTGGAGTGACCTGACCGGAACAGCTAGCTAGGAGCTGTGTGGAAATGAATGAATATATACTAGTTCAAATGGAGTACGGGACTTCCACGGAAACGTGCCTTTGATTCGGGCGCAGCCATATATATGTATAGTCCTGAAACCGACGGTATTTTTCTGTTCAAGTGGGGGTTTCCCCTCTTTTTGTCTTTATTAAAAAAGACAAGATTGATGTGCAGTGCAGACCGATGGTGTTACTGTGATAACTGTTTTAACCGGTAGTATTTGGTTAATTTGGATAATTGGTTGTGTTTGATTAAATTTTTTAGCTTGTTTGATTTCGGTGGTTTGGTTTGGTTTCAGACACTTCTAAGTCCTAACCAATCAAATCAAATTAACCAGTTAAGTAATTAGTCATGTCTATTATATACATATATTTGGTTAATATATATTATATACATATATTTAATACTTGAGTGTCAAAGTTCCCTCCCTTTTAGCCTCATAAAAATAAAGCTCAATATTGTTCCTCTATTGTATATTGTATATGTAGAGTGTAAACCGCAACATATGAAAGTCTAGTTTAGATAAAAACTCATACATTATCTTGAATGAAAATTTGAAAGGAATGTCTTTTTCAGCCTATGATAATAGCTAATAGACTAAGTCAATTTACACAAACACAATAATTCATTAACCCATAACATTGACATATAATTTGTTTGGTGAATAGTTCTATTGACTGTAAGATAATTGTATTAGTTACATATATTTATGTTAAGGTTTAACTATAACTATGGGTTATTCATTATATAAATTGCAAATTGATGCATTAACCTGAAATTTTTCTCGCTTAATGATAATGTGATGTTATATTGTTATTATGGTTTACCAATTAACCAAATTGATTAAACTTTAGTTTGGTTAATTTGATTGTTATATTAGTTTGGATGTATTAACTATAACTATGGGTTATTCATTATATAAATTGCAAATTGATGCATTAACCTGAAATTTTTCTCCCTTAATGATAATGTGATGTTATATTGTTATTATGGTTTACCAATTAACCAAATTGATTAAACTTTAGTTTGGTTAATTTGATTGTTATATTAGTTTGGATGGTTTGGTTATGGTATTGTATTCCATGATTAATAAAATTTGGACTTATTTGGTTAGGTAATTACCATGGTAACAATTTGAACACCCATAGTTAGGAGACAAAGATTCGAGCTAAAATGGATCAGCCCAATATCACAAATTATCCCACGATCCGGCCCTATCATTATCATTCCTAGTGATAATTGTATTAGTTATTAATTTACGGCGGTTTGCAGAATATGAGTCTAAATCTACATATTGTTAACAATTTAGAGATTATAACTCTTCGAATTATTGAAAATATATTTTAAAATGTTTATTATTTGATAACTGTGATTGTTATGAAAGTAAATATTCTAATTTTATATTAAATAACATGTTTATTCTTAATTTTAATAAATTTGAGTGCTTCGAAAAATATTGAATTTTTTTATAAATATATTTAATGGGATAAATAAAAAAAGGAAGAGATAAATTAGGACGAAAAAATAATTTAATGATCAATATATAAACTCAAGGTTTATTCTCCTCATTTATTCTATCTCAATCTTCTTAAGTTATATTACTAGTAGAGATTTCTAGTTTACAAAAACAACATAAGCTAACGCATGAGTAAATATCTTGCCAACACAAATAAGTTAGGAAGACACAAATCTCATAGATATCATGCAAGATCGAAGGGCAAACTTGTTTCTTGTCTTGATGATCTAACAATTACCATAGGAGCAATTTTTCGCAACCCACAATAAACCTCGAGATCAATATATTAAATCATTAAGAAAAACATGTTTAGAACACTCTAAGTTCAACTCCATAACAACACTAACACGCCCCCTCAAACGAAAGTCACTCACAAGGGCTTGAAATTTGCACAGGTCTGAAGACAAGAATATCATGTGCTTAACAAATGGGGTCACCGGGAATCGAACACAAGACCTCTTGGTCACATAAGGCTCTGATACCATGTCAAGAACCAGTTGATCCCAATAACTCGAATTGTTGGGAGAGGTTCAATCGTGAATCATATACCACAACACTAACATAGAACACTCAGCAACGAGCGTGGTCGTCGCCATCCCCCTTCTTGTTTGTTATTGAGCTAAACTAATTTTAGAAGTAATAAGTTGATTCTAGGGGTTAATTGCATCGGTGACACTTAATTCTTGCAATTGTTGCATTTCAACCACTTAGGGGTGTTTGGATTAAGGTTTCTAATTTGAGTGATTTGTGAGAGATTTGACCTCAAATTTCTCAACTAAAAAACCGGATATTTGTGATTAAGGATTTCTATCAAATTTCTTGTTTGTCTAGAAATCAAGGTTTTTAATGAAAAATTAAAATACAATATTGTCATGTTCATCTTCTTCTTCGTTTCTTCCTCGGCTACTCTAGGAACGCTGAACCCAGATGCCTAGCGTTCTGTTTCCAGAATTAGCCTTCTTTGACTAAGATGACGAGGACAACCGATGCAGAAATCACAGGAACGAAGAATTCTATGGGAGCTGGAAGCCATTGACGGGCAGATTGGAAAGACGAATGACATTCCGTTTCCAGATTGGATCAAGCTTGTGACGGCGGTGGGAGAGCAATACAGTTCTAGTCTGAAATTTGCCACCACAAGCCAGGTAGGAAGGTCACCACGAGCAATACAGTTCCCGTCCTGTCAGAGCGCTCCAATTTCCGGCTCCAACTCACGAAACCATATTCGCCAGAAGAAAAAGAGGAAGGTCGAAGGATGTTGTTGGACGCCATTCCCAGATACCTCAAGAGAAGCCCGACGCTGACAAGAGAGAGTTGAGGAAGAGCAAGTTTTGCCGGCGAACTGAACTCTCCAGAGAACGATGTGTGAAGTTTACTGGGTAGTGGAAGGAGAAGGAGGAAGAGCCAAATTGGAACAAAAAAAGATGAGGGATTTCAAAAATAGCTAACCCCATCAGCTATTTTGAAATTCCACATATATGGGTTTTTTAAATCTTTAATGGCCATAATCCCAGTTCTATCCAAACGTGTTATTTGATTCAAATCTCTCATTATGTGGAATTGTTTTAAAATCCTACATCACCATTCTGCCACAATCTCCCATCCAAATGACCCCTTAAAGTAATTTTGTTGCAACTAAAGGCTGTAAGTCGTATTACAAGTGCATCGTCACTACTTGCGTCCTCCGACATAACGGTAGGTATCTAAATGATTATTTGCCATGCCACGTAGGCAGTACATGTTAGCAAATCTAATGAGTCATCAAAACCTGGGCCCACGACTTGGCCACTTCTCCTACTCTTTATCTTCTTGGAAACTAACCCAAAAATCTCATTCTCTCTTCGTCCTCAAAAACTTTGAAACCCTTCCTAGTTCCTACCCATTCTCTCTTCTTCCATGAAACAATTGCAATAAAGCGATCTCCTTTCGTTCTCTCTATTTTTTCTTTTTTCTAGAGTACGTCTTGACTGAAGCTCATGATCATGCTGACAACTCCTGTCAATTTGTCGCCATGGGCAGTGGGACATGAGGAGTCGAGGATCTCCCATCGCAGCCCAATCGAAGGTGTTTGAAATCTTTGCATTTTCTTTCACCATTGAAACGTAGAAGAGAGAATGACTCGAAGGACGAAGTGCTCTCATCGTAGACCATGACGTCGGAGTAGCCGTTGTAGGTGATGGTCCCATCGGAGCTGAGGCCGAAACAAGTGAGGGTGTATTTGGGGAAGTAGTTTTCGAGGTCGTTGATGCAGTTGTCGCAGGACGATGCAATCGACGTCGACTCGATCGCCCGGGTTGGATCTTGTAACTTGGCTTCTGACTTCGGTGACCTGGTCGATGATTTCGTGGCCGAGTAGTACTAGTGGGTACGTGGAGGTACTGACTCACTCCTACTACTGTGACCCTAGAAAATGGCCAAGTGCAACCACTTCCTAAAGCGTAGTATAGCGGGTTTGGGTTTAAATGTCAACCCGGGTCCTAGATTTGATGACTACTCAGTGAATTCTTGTTATCTAGCAATAAAACTTTAGTGCAGGTCTAAACTAACAAACAAACAAAGCAACTAAACGGTTGTTTTCAGGTTAAGAGAGGTCACCCGGATATGGTTCCCCCTAGACTGCAGTTAAGTCGGATTGCAATTACGAAGTTCAGTTTCTATGATAGTTATACTGCGGAAGGTTCTTAAGCAGTCTGAAGTCTCGACTAAAGGTCTCCAGACCCTCTCAATCTGAGTCTCTAGCGGGCGACTAACCTCCACCAGAGTAAACAGATTGAGGCCCTACGAACAAAACCTCTACTACCTAAGTGAATTCGGTACAGAATAGTGAGTTGGCTCCTCGACTAAAGTCACCAACTCCCTACCTTCAATCAAGGATGCTCTATCAACCTAGGCAGATATTCTCATTCTAGGTTAAAGCAGAAACAACATGAATTTGATCAGGATTCAAGTCATTCAATCATTCAAGCCTCAATCGAATATAAACAACTCATAGAATCAGTACTTGGGTTCATACAATCAAACCTAACATACAAATCTAGGGTTCTCCATACCCAGATGAATGGGAGAACTACTCCATGGAGAAAGAAGCAAAAGCAGAATCAGACGCGGAAATCATACTGTGAAGAATGGATTTCTGCTCCTGGACGTTGATCGGCACTTCTCCAAGCTCAAGCCAAGCTCCAATGGTGATGGAGATCAAGCTAGGGCACTTGGGAACTCTTGTTCGTCGCTTTCTCTCTCTAGGAATCGCTCTATCTCTCAAAAACTCGAATCCCTTGATTTTCAGCCTTCTTTTCCCTTAAAACTGCTGTCTGTCGCGATACCCGGTCGAAATACCCGGTCGGGTATTTTGGGTCTCGACCGGGTATAAATGAAACGCACGTTTTGCTTCAGGGAAAAATCCCTGGTCATGTCCAATAATCCCCGACCGGGGATTTAAGCTTCACGCCCGGGCCCCCCTCTGTTTCTCACGGGTGCCAAAACAATAAATACCCGGTCGGGTATTTGAGCCCCCGACCGGGTATTTTCCTCCTGCAGCACACTTCAAGCCTCACTTGCTCCTTTCGACCCGAATCTCGTTCCTTCGCCTCGATTCCAACGCCGGGTCCTGAAACATGACATAAACGCACAACCTAGCGTGAAATCGGTTTAAAACACGAGAATCAACCTCTCAAACGGGTCAAGAATAGGGGTGAAAACATGTGTAATTATTGGTCTATCAAACTCCCCCACACTTAACCGTTTGCTTGTCCCCAAGCAAACCTAACTCAAACCAATGCAACTCTCCAGACCTCTATAGCAACAAACAACCTCGATCGTAGGTAGAGGATTTCCTAGATCATTTAGCAGCTTACGAGGTCAACCGACGCACAAGTCATCTCATAGCTTCTTCGGCGAGAACGCTAGTCTCGAGTCGGCATCATGGCAAATAGTGAGCAGAGGACAAATGAATCATGGACGAATGGACTCTCAAAAACAAAAGATCATGGACTCACCTTCTTAAGGTGCTCTATTTTCTTCTTGAAGATGGTTGGAACCCCTTTTCTTTCTGTTTTGCTTGTTTTTTTTTCTTCTTTTTTTTTTCAAGGGTCCCAACCTGCTTTTCAGAAAATGGGGGCTCCCACCTAGCAGAGGTTTTGCGGGAGCCTGGCTCTTACCGGCCATGCTAGGAGCAGATGTCTCGAGCCTCGTGCGGGGGAAAGACATGTAAGGGGGCTGGAGGTAGTAGGTGGAAATTGGGAACGGGTTCCCGTCTCCCCTTACACACTTTCGCCCTATTCGCACGGGAGACGTTATTTCAAAGCACATTTTCGAGCACCTGTTATTTTCAAAACATGATACAAGAGTCCATGACAAGTAGAGAGTCCACAACACCACACAATTCAAGGGTCATAAGATCACTAATTCACACAATCAACCAACACAATATGAAGAAGAAAGGAGACTTCCTAAATGCATCAACATCCTCCATAGTGCTACACTACCTCCCTAGGTTGCATATTACTATAAAGACCGTCAATTCAAAGCATACTGAGCAGGCAATTGCAAGGAACACGTACTTGGAGCCCTCAAATTTAAAATTTTGGACAGTGGACTAGGCTCCAAGCACGCAAACAGATCTAATGCAGTCAAAAGATAAACATCCCCCCCCCTCCCCACACTTAAGATCGACATTGCCCTCAATGGAGAAGAGGGAAGGGAAAGGGGAACGATGTTACCGGTATGCACGGACTGCAGAAGACTGGAAGCGGACCAGTCGGAGTGAAGCGGACTGGAGAGAGGACCAGTCAAGACAAGCACAGCGAAAGGAAACCCAAGAGCTCAAACACAATACGTCAGGTCTAATGGTCAGCCCAATAGTACAGCATCCAAAATAAAAAGAAACTCAACCAACACAAGACAGGTTGCACACTGACAAAAACAAACACACTCAAAACATGGCATTAGGAGCCGCCTCCTAGACCGGTGAAGTCGATCTGGTTCATGAGGTCGTCGTCTCCATCATCCGGTGGTGGTGGTGGTGGTGGTGAATGATCCCGCCGGGTGGTTCAGTGGTGCTCCCCTGGGGGGTGGCAAGCCTGGAGCAGGTGCTCCGAGTACTCCATCAATCGGCGGCCTCGATCTCTCTCCCGCTCGATGAGAGCACCCGTGACTCCCATATGGGTCTCTAAGCGGCCGAGGCGATCGTCAACAACCGTCAGCCTGGACTGGTACTCGGCCTGGTGGGCCGAATACTGCTGGTAGAACTGGACCTGATGGTCCATGAGCTGCTGGTTCTGAAGACCGAGCTGCTGGAACTGGAGCCCCATCTGCTGGAACTGCTCCGTGAAGAAGTCCACCGACGGGCCAGAAGCCGCCGACGGACCAGAAGGACCAGAGGAGGAATCACCTCGCGCTGGACTCCGTCGTGGCCGAAGGTCCCCTGGTGGAGAGAGCGGGGGCTCCGGCTCATCAGCATCCATGGCCCCGCCAACATCATCATCATCATCCTCATCCTCCTCGCCAGAATAGTCAGCGTCCTCCTCATCGTCATCAAGATCCACATCCTCATCAGGAGGTAGAGAAAGCCCATCCACCCAGGTGCGGGTGCCATCACTGGCCAGGAGGAGTGCATTATGGAGCACTTCCCGACCGAGGGGGGTGGAGCCGCCCTGTGCAGAAGAATCTGTGAGCCCCTGGAAGCTGATGTTGAAATGGCGCGCTAGACGGGTGATCAGGGGACCACAGTAGAGATGGTTGGGCTTCCCGTGGCTTCGAGAGAAGGTGGTGGCCACGAAGGAACCCAAATGCAGCATGTGATCCGGGTCCCTCATCGAGAACATGGCATAGAGCACCCGCTTCGGAATCTTGTGCGAGCCGGTGACGTTGGGGACGATGGAGCGGGTGATGAGCAAGTTCAGGATGTGCCACTGCGGCTTGAGGGTGCGGACGTACGTCTGGCCAGCGTCGAAGTAGTCGAACGCATAGGCGAACCGGGCAATCTGCGAGTAGAAAAAATCCATGTTCCAGTCTGTTGGATTCGGGACCTCGATCACGTGGCGGGAAGATGGGTGATACTGGATCCCCAAGGCGGAGGCCAACCCGTCAATGGTCAGCTCTCGGGGATAGCCACCTAGCCTGAATCTCACTGCAGAGGAGTCCCGAGCCGCCTTGCTGTCGTACTTGAAGGTGGTGTAGAACTCCCACACCAACTCAGTGTAGGTGGGCTCGTCGATAGCCAGCAGCGTCCGTCAATCGCGGTGGCTGATGGCGGCGGTGAACTCCTGCATGCAGTGGAGCTGCTCGAACACTGTCCACTCCAGATGGTGGTGGCACTCCAATTTCCCCCGAGTCACCGCGCGAAACTGGTCCGCGTACTCTGGGTGCAGGCTCAGGACCTGCACAAACTGATGGTCGAGGGACATGCTCCTGCAAAATCAACAAACCAAAGGTGGAGCCAAGAAAAGACTTGTCAGGACCAACAGCATGGGTTCATTACTTCCCCCACACCTAAGGAGCACCTAGGCTAACAGTTGTAAGCACATACGGTTGAATCGCAAGCAACCCAACCGGAATCAAGGAAAGAAACACGGAACCAACCACATAAATTACACGGGCAGCACACACACCATAGATAGAACCATGCATCCACAAAGCATCCCTCACCCTTTTCTAAATCATGCATGCAAATACAGTTCTCGGTCCTACAATCTACAGTTCGATTTTCCAGGAAAGAGCAGTTAACAAGAAACACACCTGAAAACGCAAGGAGAACTGTAGCTAAGGCACAACAAACGGATGAGGGACGCGAGACAGAGGCCAAAAATGACCAGGGAGGCTCGCCGGAAAACCACCGGACGGTCGTCGGAAAACGACCGGCGGCGGCGAGGGGCGGCGGCCGCAGAAGAGAGAGGGGAGAGGATTTGAGAGGAAGGGAGAGGGGAAAATTTTGAAAAATGAGGGTAGAGAGAGAAACTGACCGGGGGTTTGCTAAAAATAGCAAAAATCCCCGGTCGGGGGTCAAAAATACCCGGTCGGGGGTCAAAAATACCCGGTCGGGTATTTTTGATTCCACGACCGGGGGTTCCTAAACGCGGCGTGTCAAGGGAAGGGAATCCCCGGCCTTGAGCCAAAAATACCCGGCCGGGTATTTTTGGGTCAAGGTCGGGGGTTCTTGAAACGCAGCGTCTGAACTTGGGAAAATCCCCGGCCGTGAACCAAAAATACCCGGTCGGGTATTTTTGGGACCAGGTCGGGGGTTTTCCATTTTTCACCTCGAGAAACAGAAGGGGGCCCGACCGTGAACCAAAAATACCCGGTCGGGTATTTTGGCCCACGACCGGGTATTTGCCCCCTTCCGGCCAAAAAACTCATTCGCCCAAATTTTCGACCTCTCCTGCACGACAGCACCAAATCGAGGCATAACAGACGACCGAACTTCACCACAGACATGCAACTGACTCAAGACGACACAAAAACTCAGAAAAAGGGAAAAAGAAATGCAAACCGTGGTGGGGTTGCCTCCCCACAAGCGCTTCTTTACCGTCTTTTAGCTGGACGCCCATGGTGGATACTCACGGAGGTGCAGGAACAGGTGCCTCCAAGAGCGGATCCACGTCGCTCTTGAGGTACAGCTTCAGGTTGTGGCCATGCACCCGACGGGTGCGACCACCAGCATTGGTCAGCTCGACCTGGCCATCCGGCAAGATGCAGGCGAGTGAGTACTCGGATGGCCAGGGTGGTCGTGGTGCAGGGGGAGGAACCAGCTCGTAGTGCTCTCCACCCTTCTTCCGTGCAAGCTTAGCAGCCTGCTGCTTCGGCCGCCACTCCTCCTTGATCTTTTTGTTCGGAGGCGAGACTGGATGGAATGGCGGCGAAGGAATGATAGGAGGCTCCTGCAAAATGAGAGGTGCAGAAGGATACACGACAGACTCGTGTACCTGATCATAAATGGCATGCACAGGTGTGACAGCAATCATAGCACAGTGATCGAAGTCAGTCACAGAAAAAGTAGTTTGTTTATTCCCAGCACGCAGGATCAATTTACCATCATGCACATCAATAAGTGCTTTGGCGATGGCAAGAAATGGTCTACCTAGAATCAAAGGCACATCCACATCCTCATGTATATCAAGAATAACAAAATCAACAGGATATGTGAATGCACCGACATTGACAAGCAGATCCTCTACGATTCCCCTAGGATGCACAATGGAACGATCAGCTAGCTGAATGCTCATCCTAGTAGGGCTAAGTTCACCTAGGTCTAGCTTTTTATACAACTTATATGGCATGACATTTATGCTAGCGCCTAGGTCCGCCAAGGACTTGCCTACATGCATGCTGCCAATAGTAAGAGGGATAGTAAAACTCCATGGATCCTTGCGCTTTTCGGGCAGCTTGTTTTGCAGGATAGAAGAACACTCCTCACTGAGCATCACTGTCGAAAGATCCCCAAGTTTCTTCTTGTCGGTGAGGAGGTCTTTCATGAGCTTGGCATACTTGGGCATCTTCGACAGTGCCTCCACGAACGGTATGCTGATGTTGAGCTACTTCAACATTGCCATAAACTTGGCAAACTCAGTCTCCAGCTTGTCTTTGTGGAGGCGAGTGGGGAAGGGGAGCTGGGGTACATGCTCCTTAACCACTGGTTGTGGCTTGGGAGCAGGGGCTTCCTTCTCCACCCGCACTTCTGCATCGTCGGCTGGAAGTGCTGAAGCAGGTAGTGGTTCCTCCTGCCTGGCCGGGGCAGGATCAGCAGATATGGTCTTGTTGCTCCTGGTAAAAATGGCATCCAGCTGCTGGGGCGGTTCCCGTAGATTGGGGATGGTAGTGGCAGGTAGAGTGCCCGGTGCCCTGGTGTTGTTCTGGCGGGCTATTCCTCCAATCTGATGTTGGAGGTCCTGCAGTATAGCACCTTGGTTCCTCTGACCTGCCTCCAGCGAGGCGATGCTCTGGTCTATCCTGGCGAAATTCGCCTGGTTGGTAGTCATGAATGCCGCTAAAATATTCTTCAGCTCGGCCATCTGATTATCGGGAGTCGGAGCTACTGCTGGCTCGACATACTGACGCTGGGGCTGCTGGAATAGCTACCCCTGCCTAGGCTGGTAGGGCTGCTGCTGTGGTGGGGGCCCCTGCCGAGCCTGGAAGGGATGCCTTTACTGAAAACCACCTGCTGGCTCTGAGAAACCAGGCGGTTTAGTGGAGTTACTACTCCAAGCAAAGTTGGGATGCTGGCGCCACCCCTCATTGTATGTGTTACTGTATGGATCGAGGCGCCGCGCATTGGCAATGAAGGCAAACTGCTCTTGAGGAGTAGGAGACTTCCTCATGGCCTGGCAGTCTTCCACTAGGTGATTTGAGCTCTCACACCACTGACATTGAGCTACTGCAGGTGTAGCCAAACCTCTGTCCGGAATAAGACTGCTGGGCTGCTTCAATGTCTGCACTAACTCAGCTACCTGCTGCTCGAGCTCGCATCTGGTCTCCATGGCGTGCACACCACGGTCCCGGGAATGTCTGCCTCTGCTGCTCTGCCCCCAGGAATAATCTCTGGCAGCCAAGGTATTGATCATCTGGTTCAGTTCGGGTGGAGTCTTAGTGAGAATATCCCCTCCTGGGCATAGAGACTCAATCACCCTCTGGCTGTCCAGAGAGAGAGCACTGTAGAAGTTCCCCACTGTGAATGCATCACTGAAGCCATGATGGGGACACTGCCAGAAATATCCCATGTACCGCTCCCATGCATCACGAAGTGACTCATCTGGCTCTTGGCGGAAGTGAGTGATCTCCCGCTGGATCTCTGTAGTCTTCGATGCCGGATAGTACCTGTGCACGAATTTGTCAGCCAGATCGTCCCAAGAGGTGATGGACAATGGGGGCTGGGTCTCCAACCACCTCTTAGCATTCCCCGCCAGAGAATGGGGGAAAAGGTGAAGGCGGATTGCATCATCGGGGACACCATTCAGTTTGAACCCGTTCGTCAGCTGCAGAAAACGGGAAAGATGTACCCTGGCCTCCTCATCCTTCAAGCCATGGAACTGGATAGAGGATGTAATGAGCTGAATCCAGCATGGCTTGATCTCGAAGTTGTTTGCTGGAATAGGCGGGTAGAGGATGACCGGGCGGATGTCAGCAATCCGTGGAGTGTAGTAGTACTCCAAGGTGGGACCCGGCGACGGGTGATGATGATGAGCCCCATCTACCTGGGGTATGGGGTTGTTCCCCAGGACCTGATTCACCGGGGGAGCCTGCTGAGGATTCCCCTGGTGTGGATTGTATTCTCCGTCCATCCCGTACTCTTCCTCAGAATCGCTACTCAGGTGGCCGTTTATGCGCTCTTTCGTAGCCAGTCTAGCTCGCTGTTGTCTCCTGAGTTGGCGACAGGTGCGGTCAATCTCTGGATTCAACGGCAGTAAACCTCCCGACTGGCTACGGGTCATGCACTACCTGCACACACTCAAGCAAGCAAACCCGTGAAGGCACAAGTGGGACAAAGCAAACAATGCGAAAAGAAAAGCTAAATTAACATAAATCACTTTTCTTCAACAACATAGCCGTCCCCGGCAACGGCGCCAAAAACTTAGCCCTCGACCGGGTATTTTCCTCCTGCAGCACACTTCAAGCCTCACTTGCTCCTTTCGACCCGAATCTCGTTCCTTCGCCTCGATTCCAACGTCGGGTCCTGAAACATGACATAAACGCACAACCTAGCGTGAAATCGGTTTAAAACACGAGAGTCAACCTCTCAAACGGCTCAAGAATAGGGGTGAAAACATGTGTAATTATCGGTCTATTAGGTACCCCATTCGTTCTTGATCATGTGGAGATCGGAGTGGCAGACACCGCAATAGAGCACTTTGAACTTCACATCCTTCTCCCCTGTTGTTCTGAATGAATGAAAAAAAGAGAGAAACGCATAAATTAACAGAAAGAAAAAGCAAATGCGCATTAGGCATGGATTTGGATTAACTAGATTGAGTTGAGATGCACCTTCTAGAGAAATGGTAAGGGGAAATGACACTAGAAATTGTTTTGAGGAAGAAGAGAGATTGAGTAGGAAGGGTTACGGAGTTGTTGGGGAAGAAAAGAGAATGAGATTTTTGGGGTTTCGGGTTAGTTTGCAAGAAGATAAAGAGCAGGAAGAGTTGTCAAAAGTCGATGGGCTCTGGGTTTGATGAGGCCAGCACATGACTCAGCAGATTTGTTGACACGTACCGCTTGCATGGCATGGCAAATAACCATTTAGATACCTGTCGCTATGTCTGAGGACGGAAGTGGTGACGCAGCCGTAATACAACTTACATGCTTTAGTTGCAACGAAATTATGATAAGTGGTTAATGTGCAACAATTGTAAGAGTTAAGTGACACCCGGAGCAATTATCTAGTGATTACCAAATGTGGTGAGACCTAAAGTCATTTGGAAGATAACTCTAACGCCCTATTCATAGTATATTTCCATAAGGTTTTGGCTCTTAAGTCAGGAGCTAAGAGTACATCCTTCTCCAAGTTGGTTTAAGAATCCTAACATGACTTGATATCTAAGTATGTGGTTCTTGGGACCACTTTGGGTATAGCCAACCTCGACGATTGACTACGATGCAATGTAAAACATATATTGCTAGTTCCAATGCAATGTCATTTATACATTCATCCCAACACAATCCAACTACAATGTGTAATTACAACATTTATGCTCTAACGCCCTTACATAAAAAAAAATTTCCTTTTTGTGATTTTAAGACTAGTGGGCTTTATTGTTTCGAATATTTGTTTAAATTAATCTTACTTAGAATAATTTATCCAATTTAACAAGATGAATATTGATATATTTTAACACATATTCGAGATAAAAGTTGATAATGTTTACATAACATATTTCCCACATCCACACCATATACTTTGGATATTCATTGGAGAGAATATCAATATTCATGTTGTGCGAATATTTGAACTATATTGTGTGAATAATTTAACTAAATTATATTAATATTTTTATTTTTATTCATAAAATATATGATTATTTTATATTAAAAAGTGTAAAAAAAAATATTGATATTCATCTTGGTAAATTGAAAAATATTTTATGTAATATTGTTTCAAAATTATGTTCCAAAAAGTAAGTAACATCTACGAGCCTTCAAATCACAAAAAGAAAGGTGTAAGAAGTAAGAACATCATATGAGTTTTGCTTGTTAACACTTAACACGGTAGATATATTTTTCCGTGAGACCAATTCTATTGGTTGGAGTATTCATATTTCATACACCATACTTAGAGCAATGGGAATTCTACAATAATAAAAAAGAATTAATATTCAAAATGTCATAGTTTCATCACCAAACCAACATAGATAATATCATGACTTTATAAACGGCTAGGGTTTACCAACAATAGTAAATGAAATAGAGGGACAAGCAAAATGGAAATTACTACCTGTGGGACAAAACTTTGAACGGGATACAAAGCGTGTTTGTTTCAAAAGAATCTGTAATGGGGTGATGTTTCTGAAGAACAGTAAAAAGAAGGTGTGGTGCAATTATTGGGAGCCAAAAACTAAGCTACTATTATTTGACCATCTGAACTCACTACTTAAAAAAATTGATAATAATCTCGTTGAGTTCGCCACATGATGAACTCTATCTCTGTTGTTCTTCAATTCTTTATGGCAGCAGCAGCAGGAGGAGGGGCAGCTCCACCTGTAGTTGGGCTGGACAAAGGAAACGTGCAACAGAGAACAAGAAGTCATTATGCAGCTTTGAAAAAGGAAATGCAATCTAAACGAATGAAGTTGCAGAAACAGAAACCCACAGTCCCACAAACACTTTGAACGCATCGTAGATGCCCCATTGCGCCCCTGTGAGGGTTCCAATCATGACGATTCGGAGAGGGAGCCCACGGGTGAAAAGCCCCCACAGCCCCAGCTGCTTAACCGCCTGCAACAACAAGTGGAAAAAACAAAGTATATGATTTGGTTACAAGGGGAATGGTACGGAAGCTGGAGAGGTGGAATTGGGGTTTGTTTCGGCTTACATCGCCAGCCGTTGCACCCTTGGCGTTGTTGAGGAAAGAAACCAGATTGTCAGCAGGGTGCGAGACTATAGCACAGAAAACACCTGCGACGTATCCACCAGCGAAGCTGACCCCGAGCTGCAAGTTCTTACTGCACTGCTCCTTAGGGGTCGGGATTGCATGCTTGTATATTAGCTCCACGATCGTCTCAAATGATGCGAACTTCATCATCGTGTCTGCAAGCGTATTCTGAATTCTTATGCAAACCGAAACAGGAAGAAGAAGAAAAAAAAAACTGCAAACGAAAAAGCCTGAAGTCGAATTGTATAATGCTTACATGGAATCTGGCGACCCCAAAGAGGAACAAGCCCTTTGTACAATCTGCAGAACGACCTCGTTAGACAGCAGGAAGGGTAATCAGGAACATCAAAGCACAAAGAGTAGGACTCAACGAGCCGGTTATTCAATTACCCAGCAACGCCTTCTGCCTTGACAAATTTGGGGAGTCCATCAGACAAACCGCGGGCAAAGCCAGGCTGGGTTTGGACGCGAACCTTCACTGCCTCCAAGGGGCAGAGCGCCACATCGGCGATCACCTCAGCAGATGCAGAACCGGCTAAGTAGATCAACGTCTTGTACTTGGCAGCGAACTCGGGCCCGGCCAAATCGGAGTAGTACTTTTTGAAGAACTCGTAGAAGCCGAATTTGCAGGCGCCTTGAGCGCTGTAACCGAGCAGCGTGGGCACCCATCCCCTGAAGAAGCCTTTCACCCCTTGCTCTTTCAGCAACACTCCGAACCCGGATGTAATGCTCTTGTACTTGGCTGGGTTTATCTGAATTATATATATAATCGACGAGAGATTCATCGCATTTGGAAACAAAAATTTAGCCACAGCAGAATCAAAAATTGATATGCAGGAGAAGCAGAGAAGAAAATGACACCCACTGCATAGCAATCGAGTTGGTAAAGCAGAGAAGAAAATCGGTTTGCAAAGCAGAATTGAGGGAGACAATCCATTAACTAATTATTAGCAGCCAAACAAACAAGATCCATCACCAATTCACCATGCATTGTGACAGGAATCTCAAAAGAAAAGATACGGCTACTGGTTTCTAAAAGTCGTGGAATCCATTGGGGAAAATGATTGCATACCTGCATATTGCATTTCACTAGATCGAGAGGGGTGACGGCCATGTGAGTGAGGCCGCAGCTGAAAATACCGCCGGCTGTACAGGCAGCGTAGAAAGCGGGCGAGTACATGGCTATCTTCTCGCTCGGGGCAGGGATCGCGAACCTCTTCGAATCGAAGGATACGCGGGAGGGAGATTCACGAATCAAAGGATCGAAATCGAGAAGCTTGGTGGTGGTGGTGGTGGCGGGGGAGGAGTAGAGGAAGCTGGGGATGAGGGAGCGGGGATGACGATGACGATCGGGGACGGCCATTATTGATCGGATTGAGGTCGCTGTTAGGTAATTGGGGAGATTGAAAATGCTGCTGGTCCTGGTGTCTCTGATCCCAATACAGGAAGGAAGGAAGGAAGGAAGAAAAGTAGGGCTTGAAATGGATGGGGGTGGGAGGCTCTTTCTGAAACGGCTTTCCTTCGTTTCCGCGGGATTTATACGAGGACTGGAGAGTCACTGGTCTGGCCACCTGGCTCGTCGCCTTTTCCCCCTTTTTGTTTGTTTTTTTTTTATTTGGTACCAACGGGCAACGGTTGCTGGCTCATGCTTCGCGCCTGGCATTGTAGAATTCGGAGTTCGTTTTGATTAGTACCGGAAATGGTGCGGTCTGGTCCAGACTAGATCATACATATGATTTATAATCCAGATCGAGAAGTTGAAGTATAGATTATGGACCAGACCAAATACTATATTCACGGTCCATATTTAGGTAACACAATTCGTTGGTTTGGGCCCAACGCTTCCAAATTGGAGCGCTAAAACGCGGGTCCAGTTGAAAGCACAGCAGCGAATTTGTTTGCTTTGGAGCGCGGATTTTTGATGGAAGAGCGCAATTTGTAGCTCTTTAACAACCACCACAAATGGCATTCGAATGCAGTAAAATCGTGGAAATGCAGAGCTCTCGCCTTGTTCACAGACCAATACACTACATGTCTAAACGAATCACTAATCACAGTCATCCATGCATAAAACTCAAGTAATTAGAAAAAACGTCAAAGCAATCTAGGTTCTCACTGGGGTACATGATAATATGAAGAAACAATCACTCACCCTTGACTAGTGGGGTGGGGACAATTTTGATGAAAAAAGATGTGCATACTCATACGCTTGTCCATTTTTCACCATGACAGTATCATCTAGGACATGGGGAACATGCATTTTTGAGTGGTGGCACATATAGCATGAGGTTCCACAATTTCAACATCCTAGAATCACCTACAACAACCAAAGATCACTTACACAACCTATAACCATATGTTCCTCAATTCCAACCCACAACCACTCACGAACAACCATTCATAACACACTTTCTTCGCTAAAATTGCTATCAAACATTTTAAGTACAAGAGTGAAGGAGGTAATCAATCATGTAGGTGTCTCTAAGGTTTCGTGCAAAGCAACACTCGCCACCTCCCCACCTTCCTCTTCGATCCTACTTGAGTCTCCATATGTGTTTTCATCTTTTGCTTGGTCAATTTTGGAGAATTGGGCTTAAGTTAGGGTATCAATAACCAAATCTAGACCCTTCATTTAGAAAATACGGGTCTAAGAATTGAGAATTAAAGCCCATTTTTATTTTTCCTAGGTTTCTTAATCGTCTCATATCTTTTTCGTGTTAACTCGGATTTTAATTTTTTTTGCACAGATGGAACGAGTTCATCGTGCTCTACAAAATGAGATCAATTTTCAATATTTTTTTAGAAAAAAAAATTCTGGCCTCTCGGTACCAACTGCATACCATATGGTATCTTCTTCGTTTTTAATTCGTTTTTGAAAACGTTTGCACAGAAGGGACGAGTTCATCATGATCTATTGGATCTACAAATTTTTGGGTGAACAAATTACAGGACAAAAAATACCACACAATACCATACAATACCACCCTGGTATGGTATATTGTGGTACACAATGTTAAAAGTCGTAAATGACAGTTAATATACTTCTACTATCATGTATTCAACCATTCTACAGTCTTGGTTTGTTCATACCACCATGGTACGCTTTTCAAACCATAGGTATGCTCTTATTCCAATACCAGTCAATACCATATGGTATAGACTGGTAAAAAATGACTCAATTTTTTTTTTGTTCGAAAAATATATCTAAGTGGATATCATTTTGAAGAGCATAATTAATCTGATCTAACTGTGCAAAAAAAATCGACTTAAAACGAGTGAGAAATCGTCCGTTAAAGATTAAAAGGATGGGAAAATTAAAGGCTTTCCAGGAGAGAGACGGATGTTGATGTCATGTTGATGAGGACGGGTTACTCATGGTTATTCACCATAAGGTTACTGACCTGATCCGTTCCCGGAGAATTGGATCTAGGGTTCTTAGGTAACGAGAATTGGGATGTTTGCATGAATGATGAAATTAGGCGAGGGAAACAATGAATTATAACGAATTGCATGTTTTTTAAGTGATTGATGGGTTTATTGAGCGTTGGTGGGCAAAAATTTGCATGATATGATGTTTGAATTGAAATAAAAATTCTCACCAAGTGTATGCTTTGAATGTAACCTTGGTACACTTTTGTACATGTCGAATGGTGGATGTCGAGGCATGAACTAAGCTTCATTTGTAGCCTTTATGATCTTTGAAACACCTAGTTTCATGCCTCGATGTGTTTTTTATTTGATTGAGCTTAAACGTTGGTCACTTGACCTTGTGAAAAGCCTATGAATGCATGTTGGTTATGTTAAAACCTAAGTGTGGGATAACCAATTTTCTCTCCATTGTGCTTGTCTAGTGACTGTTTCCAAATATGGTGCATATTGTTTGGTGATTTTGTAGGATGGTTGACCCTACGCACTCGTACATTCACCATTTGGTGGATCATCCGGACTGCAGGTCCTGACATGAGTCATGGCAGAACGGGGATATAGGGCCCCATTGGTACCTCGATCTGTACATGTTTGACATGTTCCACTGCCGGCTACGATCTGAGCAGCTATCGCTCATCCGTGGTGGTGCATACTCCTCAGTATTGATGAGCCTATCTACCGGGAGTTGTGCATGGAGTTATACTCTATTTTGTGCAGGAGCAGCCGAGAGGTCAGAGGAATCGGCCTTATGTAGAGTTTTACCTGTGCAGAGTCCATCATACCATCGACTACGACACTTTGGCCGATTACCTTGCTTCTTTGGGTCATAATCTACCGATTGGCAAGCACATTGTGAATGACCCTAGTAGCACTTTGCGGTACTGGTTTTATTTTGACAGTATTGGAGTTGAGACTCCAAGAGTTATTAATGGATAAAGGTTGGGGCGCCCTTTAAACGTACCTTTTTTCGACAAAATAAATGTAAAAAAGCTACAAACCTATGTAACTCACATGAATAGAAGTAATACAAAATCTATAATCTCATCCACTACTATAGCACCAAAAATCTTATGAAAGCGCCCAAGTTTTTTAGGAACTGAAATATGAATAAGATCTTAAAAACAGAACCCTTCTTCCACCATGTGAAATGATCAAGCAAAACGAATCAAACAATCGCAGCAAAATAAAACCAACATCCTACCGAGAACTCACAAACCGCGAGCCTTCAAAATTAAAGACAAAGAACCAAAATTTCCAACTGCCTCTTTTAAATTAAGAAGAGAATCGAAGTAACTTGTAAAGAGAAACAATTAATATGTTCTTACCTTCGAATTCTGTAGCAATATGTGATATTGTTATACGCCATTCTTTTCGAATATTTTGTATACACGACGAGTTTCAAGAACCCTATTCTGATCTCTTGCCAACAACATCATCCACGCCTACGAGTGGTAAATCAGAAGGAAAATATGAGTTTATGAAAGGAGATAACCACATAGAGAGCAAATGAAAGGGTATGAAAATCAGTGGAGTTGAGAGAAGCGTCGATTTGCTTCCTTTGCTTTGTCCACCGCTACTATTTGGGAGACAATGATGTAGGGAAGTTGAAGATTAAACCCTAATTAAGTCCATGTCCCTCATCCTTTTTATTTAACAGCTAAAAAACAAATTCTAATACTTGTAAAAATTTTAAATCTCAAAAGAAAAAAGTAGGCGACATTCTCTTTAGGCTCAAGATACGGTGCATAATCATGGTTTATGCACTCATCTGTAATTAAATTTGAACCCTTCATTCAGAAAATTGAATTCAGATATAAGGATAGAGAATCAAAGACCATTTTTATTTCCCCTTATTTTCTTAATCGGCTTATATCTTCTTCGTTTTAACTCGTTTTTTTTTTTGCATAGATGGAACGAGTTGGTTGTGCTCTACAATATTAGATCCATTTTCAATATTTTTTGAGAAAAAAAAATTTCTTGCCTCTGTACCAATTGCATACCATATGGTATCTTCTTCTTTTTAATTCGTTTTTGAAAATTTTTGCGCAGAAAGAACGAGTTCATCATGATCTATTGAATCTACAAATTTCTGGGTGAACAAAATACAGGACCAAAAAATACCACACAATACCACCCTTGTACGGGGTGGTATCTTGTGGTACACAATGTTAAAAGTCGTAAATGACAGTTAATATACTTCTACTATCATGTATTCAACCATCTTACAGTCTTGGTTTGTTCAAACCACCATGATACGCTTTTCAAACCATAGGTATGCTCTTATATCAATACCAGTCAATACCATATGGTATAAACTGGTAAAAAATGACTCAATTTTAGTTTTTACAAAAATATATCAAAGTGGATATCATTTTGAAGAGCACAATTAATCTGATCTAATTGTGCAAAAAAAATTAATTTTTGACTTAAAACGAGTGAGAAATCATCCGTTAAAATTAAGTAGAGGAAAATTAAAGGCTTTTCAGGAGAGAGAAGGGACATTGATGGTGATTGGGTTATGCATGGTTATTGACCAGAAAGTTATTGATCGGATCTGCTCCCCTCCCCTTAGAGCTGCCAGTTAAAAATTTGTATCCCGCCTAGATGCGGGGACGACTAAAATAAACCCGCAAAATTTTAAGATGTTGTCCTCTATGTCACTAGGACTTTCATTTCCGAAGACAAGTAAAATTTGTTGTCCTTTATATTTGTCCCTAAACCTTCTTAATTTTGTAGTAATGCCCACGTTGACACTATTGTATGCCCATCGAGTTTTATTATTCAAACCATAAATTAGACAGAGTTTAGAGCATTATACTATACCTTAACTTCAAATGGGTGAATCTCGACCTCAATTTTTCAACTTGAAACATAAAATTCACTAGGTTGGAAGCTCGCGCTTCGCGGCGGGGCTATTGATTTGTTGTTGTAAAGTGGACCTTTTTTTAACTGAATTATAAATGGATACTAAATACTGAAATAATATGTTCCTTAGTACCCGGTAATCGAAATTAAGGTAGAATGAAGGAAAAAACTTAAGAAAAAAATGTTGAGTCATAGTTCGATTATTGTAGACCAAGAAATAAAAATCACCCCCTCGTGTATTTTGTTATTGGAGTTTTCCTCTCGTTTATTCTTCCTTTTGGTTCAGTAATATTGCTGAGAAAGGAGGAGATGGGCAGATGGGAGAGAGAGGAACGAAAGAGAGAGTGTGTGATGAGTGGTGGAAAGTAGGGGTGAACAAACACACCCGCAAACCGATCCACCCGTCCAATTTGATCCAACCCACACGTATTTATCGCTAAAACGAAGTTTTTGGGTTGGGTGAAGGTTTTCTTTCGTACAACCCGCCTCTTTTGGGTTGGGTTTGGATTTTGGATTACACAACCTGTAGAACCCAACCCAACCCGTGTTCCAATTATTGGTATGAGTTCGTATTCAAAAAATATTTAACACTAGATTCAACTCGATAAAGCGGAGCAAATTTGTAAAAAAATCCACACTCGACCCAATTCATTAATTACAAAAGCGGGTAAACTTTATTCCCGACAACAACGGTATCGGGTCGAATTAGCTTGAACAAACATGAATATGGGTTCAATTCAATTGTCATAAGACGTGAGTTCAATTAGGGTTCACTACCAAAGCGACCCGAATTTTTTGAAAACTGGATTCAACTTCTTCTGTCTGGTTTGATAAAACGGGGTGAGCTTTTAACAAAATCCACATGCAACCCAATTCGTTGATTACAAAAGCGGTAAAACTCATCCCCGACATAAAATTCGTCAACACTAGATTCAACTCAAAAAAGCTAGCCAAGTTTGTAACAGAATCCTCGCCCGATCCAATTTGTTAACTTGTTAAGTAAAAAAACGGGTAAAATTTGTTCTTGACAACACCAGTATCAGGTCAAATTAGCTTGGACACACATGAATTTGGGTTCACCTGTCATAAGAGGCAGGTTCAATTTGGGTTCAATCCCAAAGCAACCCAAAATTTGTGAGCACACATGAATTAGCATGAACTCACATGAATTTGTCTGACCGGTTTGATACAGCGGGCAAGTTTCTACAAAATCCACACGTTACCCAATTTGCCGATCACAAAAGCGGATAAAATGCATTTTGGACCCAATTCGATGATTACAAAGGTGGATAAAATCCATTCACGCCCTCAAAAGTGTAAAGGGTAAAACTAGTCCTCGACCCAAAATGCGACAACACTGAGTTTAACTCGATAAAGTGGGGTTTTGGGTTCAATTGTCAAAAGAGGTGGGTTCAATCCCAAAGTTATCCAAAATTTGTGCACACACATGACCTTCTCTGGCCTGTTTGATAAAGCGGGGCTAGTTTCTAACAAAATTCACATGCGACCCAATCCGTCGATCACAAAAGAGGGAAAAAATGTGTTCTCGCACCCAAAAGTGACAAGGGTAAAACTCATCATTGACCCAAAATAAATCAACATTGAATTTAACTCGATAAAGTGGGGTGTGCTATTAACAAAATGCACACCCGACCCTATTCGTTAATTTTAAAAGCGGGTAAAATTTATTCAAGACCCAAAACTCGGTAACACCGGTAAAGGGTCAAATTAGCCTGAACAAACATGAATTTGTGTTCCATTGTCATAAGAGACATGTTCCATTGGGGTTCAATTCCAAAGCGACCCAAAATTTGTGAACACACTTGAATTTCTCTAACCGGTTTAATAAAGTGGGCGAGTTTCTAACAAAATCCACACGCGACCCAATCCGTTGATCACAAAAGCGGGTAAAGTGTGTTCTCCACCCAATTCGATGATTACAAAAGTGGATAAAATTCATTCATGCCCCCAAAAGTGTCAATGATAAAACCGTCCTCGATCCAAAATACGTCAACACTAGATTTAACTCGATTATGCGGGATTTTGGGTTCAACTGTCATAAGAAGCGGGCTCAATTTGGGTTCAATCCCAAAGCGACCCAAAATTTGTGAACACACGTGAATTAACTTGAACACACATGACTTCTCTAACCGATTTGATAAAGCGGGTCAAGTTTCTAACATAATCCACATGCGACCCAATTTGTCGATCACAAAAGCGGGTAAAATGCGTTCTCGTCCCCAAAATGCGAGAACGCTAGATTTAATTCGATAAAGCGGGGTGTGTTCTTAACAAAATGCACACTAGACCCTATTCGTTAATTATAAAAGCGGGTAAAATTTGTTCTTGACCCAACATTCGGATACATCGACACCGGCTCGAATTAGTTTGAACACATATTAGTTTGGGTTCAACTATCATAAGAAGAAATATTTAAAAGATGGGTAAAATTTGTTCCCGACCCAAAATTCGACAACACCAAAACCGGGTCGTATTAGGTTGACACACGAATTTGAGTTCAACTATCAAGAAACAATTAAAATATTTGATTAATTAAGGAAAAGTAAACAATAAAATAATCCTAGGTAACGTGACTCTACCAAATAGTAGTCCAAAACTTGATTTTTAAAAGAGTTAAAGGTCGCGACTAAAAGATCTAACTCCCTAAAGTCTCCAAAATTATTTGCATGCTCAACACAACAACAACAAAACCAGTAAAAAATCATTTTCAAGGCGAGACAAAAAAAAAAGGTAGTAAAATGATCGTAAGCGTGATCGATAAGCGAAGGAAAGACAAAAACTCGCTCGACCCAAAATTCATTAATACCAAGTTCAACTCACTTTATTGACTTAAGAGTGTAGAATTTATTGTCGATCTAAAATTTATAAAAACCGAGTTCAACTCGCCTCATCCCAGCAGCTCCCTAGTACCTTCTCCACCGTCTAATGGGATTAGGTGCTAATCCTTATAGGGGTTAGCACCGTGATAACTAGCAAAACACGCTACTAAAAATAACGAAATCACTACGGATTATTATAAAATCAATACAACATCTAAGCTAAATCACTACTAATTCAAACTAGTAGTAGTTTTTCTCTTGGTTAGGATGGTGCTAACTATTGTACAATTAGCACCGTAACCGCTCCCTCTAAGTGATTGGTCTGAAGGCCAACACCTCCCTCACCATCGAATCAAAATGAAACTTGCGTTAATCCAAACGCCAGAAGGAAACATGGCCTGGGTAAAAAATCGAAAATAAGAGATGAAAGAGATTGATGATGAGGCAAATCCAAAAAAAGACAGACAAGCAGAGAGCAGAGTGAATGCTCTCCACTCGTCCACTATCCCCTAACCCCTCCTCAGCTCCCACTAAAGCTCCCTCCAATTACCACACCTCTTTTCAAATTTGGATAGTCCAACTTCCAGCTTCGTCCTTTCTTTCTCTCCCAGGGACTCTACTCCAAAACCCTCTTGCCCTAACCTCTATCCTCCACAAACGGCTTCAAACATTTACCCCAGTTCTAACAAATTGCTACGACTTCCTTCTTCCCTTATCTACTTCAGTAAACCGTAGGTTGAGAAAAGGCAGGCGTGGAACTCCAATGGCTTCAGTAACATCAGCTGCTTCTTCTCTTACATTTGGCCTCTCAAACACAGCTCTTCAGGTGACACAAATTCTAGCTTATGGGTTTTTTTTACGAGACTTTCCAGCACTTAAACTCCCCTGTTCTTCCTTTCTTCATCCCGGTGGGCAATGCAGATGAGTCAGAGCAGCAGTGGCCTAGGGTACAACTTGGTGTCAATGGGTGGTTCTTTGAGTAACAAGACCGCCTCTTTCCCTTCTCTAAGAAGTCGTCAACGTTCCCGCATCACTTGTGCTGTAATGTTGCTTTTCACTCTGAAAATAGGCTAAATGGAGAATAGGGTAATTGAAATTTGGTGTAATAAACTGTTGGGAGTGACAACTGGGTTGCAGGCAAAAGCAGAGACAGTGGAGAAAGTGTGCGAGATAGTGAGGAAGCAGCTGGTTTTGCCTTCGGAAACAGTCCTCACCCCTGACTCCAAATTCTCTGCTCTCGGTGCCGACTCCCTCGACACTGTAATTAATTCAACCCACATCGTATCATACGACATTTTCGCAACTCTCCCGCCTTTGATTTCTGCAGAAAGTAAAAATGCTCGTGCAATGCAGGTGGAGATAGTGATGGGGCTGGAGGAGGAGTTCGACATCAGCGTGGAAGAAGAGAGCTCCCAGAACATAACCACCATCCAGGAAGCCGCTGATGTGATTGACAAACTGGTTCAGAAGAAAGGTGAAGCTGCCCCAGCTGCTTCCTCCACTTAAATTCATTTTTTTACACTCACTAATCCATCCCCAGCAGGCTTCTCCGTTTCGTTACCTAGCTAGGATCTCTTCGTTCGTCTTTCTTTTTGCCTGTTCTCGGTTGAAGTTGAACTCTCTCTCTCTCTTTCATGCCTGCTTCTGGAATTAATGAGGAACGATTTTGTTGTAAACACTTGTTTGGCCCTTACTTCCCATCTGGAAAAACCAGGCCGTATGAGATTGCATTTTTAGATGAGAAATACGGCAGGAAACCAAATCTGGTGAAAGAAGCTAAGCCTGGTTTAACATAACTTATCTGATATAAGTTCTTTCTTTCTTTTTCTAATAAAAAAAAAATTATATAAGATTTATTTTTGGGTTTTATTTGAACAATTTAAGTTATTGATTACTAGTTTTGTGCCCGTCCAATGGGCAACTAGTTTCATTTGTTTATACTTTTCATTTATCATCTGACATTTTTTTTATGGTATCGAATTCTTACTTTTTCATATTTATTTATTATTGTTATCTATTTTTCATGTTTCGTCTGATATGAAGGCACTACATTTAAGGTTTTAATCATGATCAACAATAATGTCAAACAACATTGTAACTTCATCACTGCTTCGAAAATAGTATTCATGACCATCTGATCTTTGATTGGCCAACAATTTTCAACGTCATAAGTTGTACTTGGTTTAAACTAGTGTACGCCACCTTATCGTACTCCTATCGAGTTTTGGTATTTAGACCATGAACTAACAGGGTTTGGGACATGCATGATACTATACCATAGCCTCTAATGGGTGAACCCCAACCTCTAATTCTCCAATCCAAATCGTACGATTCATTTAATGCAAAAATAATAACCAAAGATTAGTATTTGTCAAAATATATTAAAGTGCAACTAATACGTTGAACGAAGGTGTATATTATACCTTGAGCGCACGCTAGTCTTTTCCACCATTATATTAAAGTACAACCAAACTATTCTGCTATGTTTCTATATATATTACTTTTAACATTTTATGAATGATATCAAAACAAAATGTTAGTTATAGATATACTTTCTCTTCGCTTCCCATTATCATCCAATATTAAATGTGTGACTAACTGTAACTGAAATTGTGTGATAACTTAATACAACCGTAAAGATGCCCTATTGTGCAATCAGTATAATAGATGAATTTACAGGACATCGATCAAGGTATGATCCTGCATTGGTTTTACATGATACCAGGCCCGGGTACGTCCCGCGTTGTTATACAGAACATCGATCAGGGTAATGATCCCGCGGTGGATTTACAAGATGCTAATCTAGGTAAGGTATGATGTGTGCTGGTATATGGGACATCTACTGTACTACCCGGAGAGTGTATGTCTTGGCAAATTAAGAAGCAAAAAGCACTAAATCAACCTAAAAGTCATGTGATTAAATCCTCGTATAAAGATTACTTATGATGTAGTTAAGTGATAACTTCCAATGATGTGATATGCAAAATGGGCATGTCGATGATGATGGTTTTGTGATGGTTTATAATGGTGTTTTATACAATGATTTACTATTAGATGGTGTGATGTTCCACTATGTTGGGACGGGGTTACATAGTGATGCCAGTATGATGTGATACTTAATGCATACATATTTATATAGTGAGTTATCAAGAGACTAGATGATGGTCTTTATGTCGTGAATGTATGATTGTTTTGAGTTTGAGATGATGAGTGTGATATGACATGTGGTGATGAATGGATGTTTATTTGATTGAATGAGATATAACATATCAGGTCTATCTTGACAGTTAAGTTATGACTGAGAGGTGAGTGACGGGAAATAAAATACTCCATGTTCTACCACGGTCATTGGAAGGGACAATAAGTCCTTTCGAGCTATACTGTTAAAGGTAACAGAGAAGAATTAGATTATTATCTTATGAGTCGGGTTATCCTGTGAGTATAAATGGTTAGTAAAAATAGTAATATATGTATTAGGGTGTCACATTTGATGTAAGAAAGGATTAAAATAGCTATTTACATCTTAACCATTATATATATATATATATCGAAGAGTTTAAGATTCGTTTAGAAATCTTGCTTAATTTAGGTGTTACTCAAAGTTGCAGATCTACACATGTAGGAAAAAGAAATGAACTCATGTCAAACAATAAAAAGAGAAAAGAAAGGAATTATAATTAAATCGGAGAAAAGGTAAAGACAATATGTTATATGTTTTATAATTGTGCATGGAAGAAAATTTAATGACGAACTAAAAATGAAAATCGAAAGAAATTAGGGAAGGCTACCTATAGAAGGGGTTTGGTCGCTTTGACCACCATAGGTCCCTATTCATACATCTACCTCGATTTGCTTGAAGGCGCATACTCGTATAACCTTAGAACTCCATACCTAGCATAGAAGCGTAAAGTAGGCTAATAGAGAAGATTATGGTGGCTTACCCAAACACAATCAAAGATAGAATAACAATAGAATCAACTAGATAAACACATTCACTCATTCAAACCCTAAAATTAGAGATGACAATTGGTCGGGTTGGGGCGGGTTTTGCCAAACCCAAACCCAAATTCATGGGTTTATCCGCCAAAAAAAACCGCGATAAAACCGGTTGGGTTTGAAAAACTCAAACCCAACCCAACTCGTTGGGTATCCGCGGGTTCATGGGTACCCGTGGATTTTTGTGTAAAAAATTTACAATGACAAGTTTCTTTCGAAATAAAAGTCTAAAATAAATTTTCTCATACAAATTATCCATACAAAAAACACAAATCTAGAGCATACAAGTAAATCGCAAATTATCAATACAAATTGTTCAAAATTAAAGATAAACATCTATAAACAACATGATTAATTGAAAGCTTCTTCCTACTTGTCAACTAAGCTTCTTCACTCTCCACTCCACACTCCATAATATCAAATTCATTCTACACAACTAGAAAAAACAAATTAGACATGTCTCCACAAACATAAATAAGATTAGTTCTTTAAAGAAGATATATTGTTTAGAATATTAAATATACCGGAAAAATGAATTATATGGGTGCGGGCGGGTACCTATGGGGCGGGTATACCTGTAACATCCCGAACCTCGAATAAATTTTTTTTCCAGATGGCGGGCGTATAATATACGTTTCGAGGCTGGAAAAAAATCTAGAAGTTATCCTATACGAGATAGGATCAACGAAATCACTTTGAAACTCTCCAAGCATAAAAAAAATGCAATAAAAATAAATAAGGGGCTACTAGGAATCGAACATGGACCCTTGCCCACGTTCAAGGGCAGACAATTGCCCAAACCAGTAGACCACACGAAATTTATGTGTACAAAATACTACATCCTGTTTCATAAACTAAATCTGCGTCGCTGCTGCAGCTGTAGATAAACTCGTACCAAGCGGTGCAGCCTTTGAAACTCGTCCCTTCAACTCCATAACTGACCTGGGGATTTAGAAGGCGGTCTTTAGCTTTATGAGGGTCTGCCTGGGCCTTAATTAGGAGTGATGAAGATCTGAAACAAGAATTAATAAGAGGGGGAGACTCTTTTCTTCTTCTTCCTCACTTCATATCATCATTTTCATACGACAAGAAAAGAATGGAAGGAAAGGATAGTTGACAAACGCCTATCATAACCTCTGTATGCCCAGCAAAGGTTTAGAACCCACAAAAATCCCATTACGAAGCCAAAATCGTCCAACCAACTCAACGGAAATTCTTCGCCGAAATTTTTGCCGTAACCTTTTCGTCAGCCAAACCAGCACCATTAAAGGTAGTATCAGCTACGAAGCTTGATACCGTTGCGAAGAGAAAGTCTCCACGAGCATCACAGATTTTACGGAATTGAATTCCGAGCTCAGACGAGAGAGAAACAAGGCTCAGAAGTTGGTACGTGAGGTAAATGAATTTTCAGTTTTCTGCAGATTTTGGACAGCAGAAAATTCAAAATTAATCCCTAATTTCGTACTAACGATGATCAGCTCGCAGTTTCTTCGTTTGACGTCCAAACAACGAACCGTTTTTGCCTACAGGACCGTAGAAACAAGTAGAATATTTAGGAGCCAATCTCTGGAATTTTAGAACTTAATTCCCGACTTGGAATCGGCTAAAATTAAGGTGTGTGGGGATTAAGAGGACCTTAATTATTGCCTCGATTATTTATGCTTGATTTGCATATTGGATGGATGGATTAGTGTAGTTGATGACTTGGTTGCTGATATGATTATTTGGTGATTGTTCTTTATTGTTATGGATTTTACGGTGTACATATCGGTATTTTACAAGTTTCACCGTAAAAATGGATAGTTGGGTTTATTGAGTTTAAAACGGATCTAAGATATTTTTGTATGTCTAAAATGATGTTGGGGCAGATTGAGCAGAAGATTTCACTTGAAAATGGTTTGCGGATTAAAAACTGCATAACGGTGAATTTTACGGAAAGCTCGGTAAAAACGTGTTTTATTTATCTTTAAGATTTTGATCACTTTAAAATGGTCAGTATGGATTGTTAAATGGGTTTTGGTCTGGAAATAGTAAATTAGACAGTTGGTGGAGTTTTTATCTTTAAAATGGTAAAAACGAGCTTAATACGAGATTTGCGGTAAAGACCTAGTGTAATATTATTTTCATGGTTTTGATTTGTTGAAAAATATAAAAACTGGACATACCTGTTTTAGGATGATAAATGAAGGTTCTTGTATTTTTGGGAGATTTTCGGATTTACCGTTTTGTGGGAATTTAAGTTACCGTAAAATAATGGTTAATACGAGATTTTTGATATTTTATTGTCTAAATTGATTTTTATGACGAGAACTAGATTAAATGGATTTTTGTGTCAATAAATTCATTTACAAGAATTGTGTGAGGATTTTAATGAAGGAAAGTGAATTTTGAGATAAGGATATTTTTAACCGCAACCGGGTTATTTATAATTATTTGCGTTGGCGCTATTTCGTGAAATTGTTGATGCATTTTGGATGAGGAAGGGTGACATGGTACTGCTGAATAGCTTTACTGGAGAATGATTTATGTGAAACGTCGAGTTGATAATCGACGGGAAATATATATATGGACTGGTTAATCCGTGAGACTACATTGATTCCGGATTGTTTGTGACGGATGAGAAAAATGAAAATGGTTTGATTCGTGATCATATTAATTCACATAGATGTAGAAAGGGCCTGCACTTACCCTCACCCCTTGAGAGTGGGTAGATTTAGCTCGCTTATGCGATTGAGTGTTGTGGTTGCATGAGCACCACGGATGAGTGTTGTGGTTAAAAACCACGGATTGAGTGTAGTGGTTGCATGAGCACCACGGATTGAGTGTTGTGGTTGCATGAGCACCACGGATGATGATTTGCTCGAGCGAGGGTAAGTGTATGGTGACCTTGGCGCCATTAATAATTAATCGGAATTTTCATATCATGCATTGATTATGTGTGTTCGTGAAATTATGTGATTATCTTATTTGATAAATTGATTTGGTGATGATGAGTTGGTGGATTTGATAAATTGATCGGTAATTTATATATGATTATTTAAGATGGCATCTAGAGTACTAAATTATGCTTGATTACGATTGTTTGATTAGCTGATTGTGGTCCCAAAATTAGGTCGTGGGAAAGATCCACACACACAGCTTAGTTGCTGACCCACGTATGTTTTCAGGCTCGCAGGTGCAACTAGGATCGGACTACTGAGGCTGCCCTATCCTTCTGTACTACCATTATGAGGTAGGTTGGAACACTGTTCTGTCATGGTCACCTAGGATTTCTGCTTTGAGCGTTTTCAATAATAACCCACATTTTGTAAAATTCAATAAGTGGGTTGGGGATCGAATAATGAGTTTGTATGATAACGGTTTATGTTTGTGTTTAATAATCGGAGATGATGTTTGAGATGATTGAGTTCAACCAGTAACACCAAGGATTTGGCTGCGCGGTTGAACCATGGGTTCAACCATAGAGATTCTGGGTGGGGTGTTACAATACCTAAACCAAACCCAACCCATGAATAGTATAGCGGGTTTAAATCCGAACACGAGTTTTACCCGCATTGACCGGATTGGGTCGGGTAGGGTACCCGTGGATTCGGTTTTTGTTGTCATCCCTACCTAAAATATCCATACATACATAGTAAGTTTGGAACCCCTAGTATCTTAGAGGACTACTCTATAAAGGAGGGAAGAAGATACATAGAAGAAATTGAAGAATACTTGAGATGGAGGAAGATGCCTCCTCTCTTCTAGCTCATTCTCCTTCTTGTCTTCTTCTTCTCTCTCTCTAAAACCAGAAATTATTCTCTCAAAATCTGCTCATCAAAAAGGGTGAAAGGAGTCTCCAATTTATAGGCAATCAGAGTACGAACATGTTTGCGGCCAGAAGGGCAGAACTTGAAACGCAGTCATACTGGCCTTTGGAATTGAGGAAATCACAGCCTGACTTCGCGGCTGCGATCCGCGAGTTGCGGTCGCAATCTTCCTCGCAGTCAAAATGCATTGTCGTCGTGATTCGACTTGGGAAACTCTTTGTTTCTCCTCGGCTCATTCTTCGCAAAGTTCGCGCCCTGAGACTTCCAATTCGCGGTCGCGATCTTGGGCGTCCCGGCCACGATCTTTAGCTTGTCGTTGCGGTCCAGAATCTCGGCCGTGATCTTTACTTCTAGGCCATGATCTTCAGTCTTCTGCTCCTTGCTACACTTGTGATCTTGTTTTGTACCTAATTCACATATATCGTCTAACACACCCTAAAATCACATTGAATTCAAAAAGGAACGGAATAGGGATGCAATTGACGGTGTTTTAGTATTTATGCACATGAATTGACACAAAACAAACCTCAATTGACGGACGTTATCAAGACGCATTTCACAAATTAGAAAAAGAACGACGATGTTTGACCTCCAATCTGATACCTTGCAAGGGGTTAACCCGACCAATATGTACGACCTGTTTTTTTCATCGGATCAGAATCAAAGCTGGCCAACCGACAGGTCGACCCGGTTGACAACCTTGCTCCTGAGTCACTGCTGGTTTCTTAGCTCTCTCCTCGTCCTCGATCCCTTCCTGATTCCTCTCCCGCGAACAGCGCGGCTACGACGTCAAGTGTACCTTGAAACGCGTTGCCGTTTAACCCAAAAACCGCCTGTTTTTCTTTCTCCATCAATTCCCATTTCAGCCGGCGCTGGCTTTCTCTTTCTCCCTTTGCTTCTAAATTCTACCTCCTTTGCCCCCCAATTCGCCGGCCGTGATCCGGCTTCCTCGAAATCCTCCGCCCACCGTTGAACAGCTTCACCTTCTTCACGCTTCCTTACATCTCTCTTGCAGTGGCGGTCTTGTCGTTGCTGCGTGCTTATGGATCGGAGGAGGGCCGGAAGTCCGGTGTACGGGCGGCAGTGGAGTGGAGGATCGAGCAGCACTGGTTCTTCCTCTCCGGTGATGTCGCCGGCGCATCCGAGCTCCAGGCTGGGAGCTGGCATGTCAACCATAAAGCGCACACAGAACGTAGCCGCCAAGGCAGCTGCTCAGCGGCTAGCTCAAGTCATGGCATCGCAGACTGCCGATGATGAGGAGGATGAAGACGATCTAGGGTTTCGGTTCAGTAATCAGGCAGCTGCTCCGCCGTCTAGCTTCGGTAACAGTTTCAATCAGAACGGAAAGAGTAGTGCTACTCCAGCCATTTCTTTTACTAGAGGGAACAGATCTCCATCCCCTGCGGTAATTCAGCTCTCTCATACATTTTCTAATTTTAGCTTTTCCTTGCTCCTGAAGCTCGCTTGGCCTTAAGAATACTATTGAAATCCGGTTGAAATTGCTCCTGAGCAGGTCTTCCTTCTATGATTTTGAGCTTCCATCTTATTCTTTATATTTGACTTCCATTATCTTCTGTACCTGATGAAAGCTGATTCCGATTTTGTATTTTTGCATTAGTTAGGTCGAAACTTTGTAGAGCAAGTTAGTCAGCCTCGATCCTCATCAACAGGGCGATCCACGATTTCTGTTCGAACTTCATTGATGCCGTCTAGTAAATCAACTTTAAGGACTCCCGTAGCTATACCTGCCATTGAGCCTCCAGCCATCAAGACCCGAGATAAAAGGTCGTTTAACTCACTATCACGTAATTTGATGTACTATGAACTCCCATCGGATCAAACAGTTGAATTATCCTTTGCTTTTGGGCTGATATTTGTCCTTATCTGCAGGTTTAATGCTGATGTAGGGCAGCTTAAGAAAGATACCGGGGATCAGCGTGAAGCATCTGCACTTCGTGATGAAGTATGTTTCTTTCAAAAATTTTGTGTTCAATCCAACTATTGTTCCAGTGAGTTCATGGATTGAACATGTGGCACGACTAACTCCGTTCTGTTTCCAGCTTGATATGCTACAAGAAGAGAATGAGGGCATACTTGACAAGGTTTGTCAGCTAACCTGTGATAAATTCATTATTCGGCATTGTTTGCTTAGTGCCCATGAGTTTATACCTGAGCTTGCTGTACAGCTGCGGCGTGCTGAAGAAAGACGCGAGGAAGCAGAGGCTCGTGCAAGGGAACTTGAGAAACAGGTTCTTACTTTTGTTCTTTTCATTTTTTGGAATTTTGTCATTCATATATATTGGTTTGTTCTAAATCTTATGCATTTGAATTTCTATAACAGGTAGCTTCCCTTGGAGAAGGTGTTTCCCTTGAAGCTAAACTCTTAAGCAGGTGAGTCTGATTGCTCCTGTATCCTGTACCAGTTACCTGATGTCAAAGTCCTGAATTTGATACCTCTTATTGTGCAGGAAAGAAGCAGCGTTGCGTCAAAGAGAGGCAAGGCTAGGGAAACTTGATTGCCTGTTTCTGTTAATGTTTGACAGCATCGTTTATTGTGTTTGATTGAATGGTAAAATCTGTCACAGGCCGCTTTAAAGGCAGCAAAGCAGACCAAAGATGGCAGAGATGAGGAGATTGCTTCTCTTCGCTCAGAGCTTGAGGTAGTTAAACATTGCTATTAGCTGGGCTTTGTTCAGATGATTCAGTTTACTTCCGAGGAGTCATGCTTCTTTTCTGCTTAATTCATTCATTCAGAATATAAAGGATGAGACAGTAACAGCTGTGGAGCAGCTACGGGAAGCAGAATCTGAAGCTAAAGCACTACGCACGATGACACAAAGAATGATTTTGACTCAAGAAGAGATGGTCCGTGCATCGTATTTTTCACTCTAAATTGTTGATTCCAGTTTATGGATTCTGATTATGTACTGATAATAATTCAGGAGGAAGTAGTTTTGAAGAGATGCTGGCTTGCTCGATACTGGAGTCTAGCCGTGCAACATGGTAATGAATTGAATACATCTATTAGGTGCTTACTAGGGAGGTGATTTATTTATTTACGACATTTAATGGAGATAACATGTTTTTAGTTGGTTTATCTTCGACTGTAGATCATTTCACATTCTACTAACCCGTTAGAAGTTGGAACACAGTGTATTTTTTGTTAGAGAGTGGTATAAGATCCAGCATAACCTTCTCCCAACAACTCGAGTTATTGAGAGCAACTGGTTCATGACATGGTATCAGAGCCTAGAACCGAAAGGTCATGTGTTCGAATCTCTACGACCCCCAATATTAACCGTTGTCTTTCAAGCACATGCTATGGTGGACCTGTGCAAACTTCAAACCCATAAGTTGGCTTTCGTTTGAGGGGGCGTGTTAGAGAGTGGTATAAGATCCAACATAACCTTCTCCCAACAACTCGAGTTATTGAGAGCAACTGGTTCATTACATTTTTAGCTTAATTAATGCCAAAAGGGGAAGAACCTTTTTGTTTTTATCTGTAAGTTGTATGCTATCACAGAAGACGTCCCTTCCATTTGATGATATACTTTCAAATATGCAAACATGCTTGAAAGATTATGTGTTTCTTTTCTTTCCATGTCTTTTTTGTTTTCTTGAGGACAAAATAACGAGCATACACCGTGCTAGGGTTCCTAAAAGCATGCAATGTTCATAGTGTCGCAACCCTATGACTTTTGTCTTATGGTGAAAGATATGTTGACTTTTCTGTATCTTGTTATGTACCAGGAATTTGTGCAGATATAGCAGTGCCAAAGCATGAACATTGGTCTGCTTTTGCTCCCCTTCCATTTGAGGTTGTCATTTCTGCTGGGCAGAAGGCCAAGGAAGAAGTTCGGGACAAAGGCTAGTTGCTTTAATCCTAACCTATTTCTCATTCTGCTTATTTTTCCGCATCTGCATGAAAGTTTTGTCGGTATTAACCATTTTGTTTGTAATGATGCAGTTGGCAATAATTCGGACAGGAGTAAGTCTGCTCGTGATTTGAGCGATTTAACAGGAGAAGGAAATATTGAGAGTATGCTTTCAGTTGAAATGGGATTGAGGGAATTGGCTTCTTTGAAGGTTAATTTTTAAACTTCTGAAATATGGGACTCCTATGAGTGATGTTTTCTTCAAGTTCTTCTCTGCACTTGATAAGAATAAAAAACAATCAAAATTTTATCCTATGTGGTGATAGCGATTGGTCTGCATATCATGGTTTCAGGTTGAGGATGCTGTTGTGCTTGCGTTGGGCCAGCACAGACGAGCAAGTAAGTTGCTTAAGTTTCCTTTCATTTTGATCAAATTTACATCGTAGTAACTTAACTTGCTTTTGGTAATCATTGAAAGCTTTTATTTTAGTTTATCATGGTCATCATGATCTTTGTGATTTTCCCTTTTTGTTACATTACCTGCTGCCATCCCACAATCTGTTGTGATGATTGATTAATGTCAACATGAAACCCTTGGAACCAGTATTAATCATGAATTGCCAGCTGGTTGGGTTCTTATGTTTTAATGATTGGACCTCCTTGGACTGTCAGTTTAACAATGACAATTTTCTGTTCATGTATAAGAAAATATATTGCATTATTACTGATGCTTGTCACATTTTGCTTGTCAGATTTGAGAACTCTTGGTGATCCCAAGTATTCTGAAGCCGTTGGTAAAAGATAGAACTCTCATTCTTATTCTTCGTACAGGACTTGCTTTAGGTCATTAATTAAACTCTATGATTAATGCAGGATTGAGTGAAGCGGAGGCAGAAGATGTTCTTTTCAAAGAGGTCAGTTACCTAACCATGTTTTTGTCTTGTTGATGATCGTGAGAACTATACTGCTTGTCAAGTGTTTTCCCATATATTTCATTTCTGTCCCATCCCATTATCTTCCTTTGTAAAGCACATCTCGGTTGATAAGGACTACTGTTCTCAGGGTATTCTATGGATTATAATAAAACCTAGGAATGAGCAACCTTTATTCATTTCTTTGCTGAACCTGTGGCTCGGTACAAACTTTAAAACCAAAACAGACTAGCCGGGAATACAGATATTAAGCTGGCTGGTTTTAGCACATAAACTAAATTGTTTTTTCCAGCACTCGAAAACATAGATGAGGAAGCATGATTCGCGATGCCTGTTTTTCTATGTCCAGTTTCTGTATCATGTATCTGAAGGGCATTGTTTCTTGTAAACCATTTTCATCACCATGCATGGTTCAATAACTTGTTCAAGTACTGACATTGACTGTTGGGCTTTCCTTGTAATCGCTGCGTACACCCAACTTAAAATGTTGATGCAAAGCTTGGTTTCTAGGGCGAAGATCCTTTCTAGTCAAGTGACTAAACTCCTCCTAGCCCTTAGATAAAGGTTTACAGACCCAATGGTGAAATTAAGCACTTAGATAGAGGTTAATAGATGCAATAGTGAAATTAAGGGAGAGATTTTAAGTGTTGTGGTATTTATGCTATAAGGAAAAGTTATTTAATTTTCTTTTCTCTTTTGCTCTCTTCTCACCATCTCTCTGCATCTCTACCCCCTTTCTATTTTTATTTTTTTTGTTTTTCACGATAAAAAAGAAGACAATTTTGATGGGGCTTTCTAAAATATTTTATAATCAATACACAATATTTACAAAACCTACTTATAATCAGTTATCTTCTTACCCTCAGAGTCGAGCAGTCTCGTAATCTGCTGATGTTGAGTGTGAATTCGAACTGGTTTATGGAAGAACGCTGTGTTTGAATCTTCTTCTTGAATCCATTTGGCCCTCGCTTTTTGCTTCTAGAACAACTCTTCTGTACGTCTAGTCTCATGGCACTCTACCCCCTACCAAACTTCATTCTCAATTCTCTTTGCGGTAGGGTCTGATACCACTTCTAACTGAGCTCGCTCTAATGCATTTTCCACCAGTTTAGCTCTGCCAGAGACATCAGAATATGCTTCCTTTTGAGCCTGCTGAGCCCATTCTTAACTTTTCAACTTTCCATACAGAACATAATGGGGAAAACCTGTAACAGAAAACTTCCAAGCATCCTTAATGATCTACTAGTAGATTGGATGAGTCCGCCAAAGTTGGAAATATTTAAACGGCTTGGGAAGTTTAGCCAGGGGAGGGGAAGTCTTCAACAGATTGCCTTAATGATCAGACACACTGGGTGGGATAGTGCTAGCTGAACTTTTTCGGAAACTTTTCCAACCAGGCTTCATTGACTAACAGTCGATCAATCTTACGTGCAATGGGGTTAGCTCTCAGTTTATTCCAACTTCTAAAGTCCTTCATGCTTTGAGTTATCAACTGCGAATTGGAGGCTTCATTTGCTTCTGCAGTGGCGTTAAAGTCATCCAATACTGTCCAAGGAGTTCGACTGTCCTGCAGTCCCAGCATTTCATGTTATAGTGCTGCTCGTTTTTGCTCTTTATTAGGACTATAAACAAACATTAAGATCATTGTGACCTTACCCACTACCAAAACCTTCAAGTAATGCTCACCCTCTGCGAACCTTGTAATACCAGTTTTCCAAAAAAATCCAAACCTACCAGATTTTGATTTCGAATAGTTTTTCATATGCTTCCATGAAGAAGAAAGTACATGTGGTTATTGTCTTACTACTTCCTCAACTGCTCCAAGGCAGTTGAGTGTTTATCAAGGGCATTGAAACCCCAGATATTTCAGCTGAGAACATTCAATTACCTTTACGCTTCCCCCTTCCTCCGCCCTTGGGCGATGAAGGAGGAACCAAACTTCTCAATTCTTATCACTGATTGTGGTCGAGTCAGCCAGGAAAAGCCAACTGGTTAAGCCTACCAACAGCCTGCATACTAGAACTACTTCCCGACTCTTTATTATTTTTAGTTTTCTGCTTTAACAACTCGAGTGAAACCCTCATCATCCTGTTGTTCTACTGCTGGAGGAGTAACATTGAGGACAGGAACTACTGATTCTTGCAAAAAACCCTCCAGTGTCTCAACCTATGAATCAACAACCTTTTCCTTTCCTTTCTCTTATCCTTACTGGTCTCGGCAACATGTCAGTGACCATGTACTGCTCTTTTTCCAATCATTAGATTGAAATAAAATTGAATGGTTGAAATTTACTTAGTCAAGTGACTGACTAAGGTTCCGCCGTAGACAGTTGATCTTGCCCCTTGGTTTACAGTACAAACATTTTATTGAGGTGTATTTTTCGAATTTGTTTATTCTTATGTGAATAGGCATGGCTAACATATTTCTGGAGAAGAGCCAAAGCGCATGGTGTGGAAGAGGATATAGCAGAAGAACGTCTTCAAGTCTGGATCAGTCGTAGCGGGAAGACGCCCACTTCGCATGATGCTGTCGATGGTATACCTGCCTCTCTCTTCCTCCACTCATACAACATAGGCCCTATCAGAGGGAAACGGCCTTAACATATGACAATGTTTTGATGTTCTCTGTGTTGCACGTCCATTGCTGCAGTTGAGCGAGGATTGGTTGAGCTAAGGAAGTTGAGCATAGAGCAACAACTTTGGGAAGCATCACGAAAAGAAATCGACCAGCCCTCACTTGCCAATCATAAATCTACGACAGATTCGGACAACTCGTCGTAGGGCAACTTTGTGGAGACCTTTTCTTTTCTTCTTACGATGATTATACGCCTCCCTAGGGTCTTTATCTTGTTTGTTCTTCTGTAAGTTGTTGTATCGTTAGTTTTCTTTGTTCTGCGCATCATTTGTAATTCTTCTTTTTTCGACCTTCTATTTTGGTTCATAACCCTCTACATAAATGTAATTGATTTCCCAGTGACAGTGGGATGATAGGCGGATAGATGCCTATGTTTGCCAGATTGCGCATCGATAGAGATCATGCACAATTTAGTTTGAATGTAAGATTATTTTCTATATACAGTAGTTATCTTCTTCCCGAGGAAATCTGATTGATTGGTATTTTGTGTATATGCTCAAGAAATCCTGAGTTTCCATTACGTGAGAAGTGTACAAACCTACGAAAAAAGGCAGAAATAGATTGCCTGGAATTAGGATGCTGAGATGGGTGAAGGTTGTGCTGCTATATCATACACCCGCAAGTGCAACCTCGAAAAGGTGAAACTTGGGCACAAATTGACGAAAGGCAAGGTGAGTGAGTGATTTTGTTAACACGTCCACCAACTCATCGATAACTGGGAGATAGCGAACATGAAGCTGATTTTTGTTTACTCGATCACGAACAAGTAGAAATTCTATCTCAAGATGCTTGGAGCGAGAATGGAAGACCATATTATGTGCCAAGCAGGTCGCTCTTAAGCTATCACACCATAACACAAGAGTTGCAGGCAGCCGAGTTCTAGGAGGAGAGCTTGTAACCAGATGACTTCAGATGCCAAGGTAGCAAGAGCCCAATAGTCACATTCAGTAGAAGAACGAGACACTGCCTTTTTGTTTACGTGTCAACCAAGAAACATGAATGGTACCATAGAAGACAGCAAAGGCCGTAATGGATTTGCAGTCGCGTGGACATGAGGCGAAGGAAACATCCGAGTAACCATAAAGTTGCGGCTTTGTTGAACGGCTGAAAACAAGACCTTGAGTTGAAGTACCTTAGAGAAACCAAAGAACGTGTTTGACAGCAAAAGATATATTGGACCAAGTGAAGCTCAAGTATTGAAGCCCCCCAATAATGTTGTGATATAATCCAGGATCAGAGAATGCCGCAGATGTGTCGGAGGCACTGTGAATGAGCTGATCAGCTCCTTAATTTACCTATGTTGACTGAGAAGGAGACCAGCCTCCGTATGATTGACGTGTTATGAAATCATAAGAATAGAGCATAAAACATAAAACAAGAGCAAAAGTAGAGAGAAAAACATAAGAGAAGAGTTCTTCTTATCCATGTGTCTTAATACATTTGTGTGCTCTATTTATAAGAATAAATATATATTCTTACAATTCTAACATCGATATACATAAATAATAAGAAAAATGTGTCGTAAAGACAATTCGAATATAAAGAGATGAGTGACATATAATTTGTAACATACCATGAAAATTTAATATGATCATCCACAATAATACATATTTTCATAACAGTGCCTAAATCTTTTTTAGTAAGAAAGATAAAATAAAAAAAAACATTGATAAATGGTTGCAAAAGTGAATATAGCCGAGAACTCGTGCTAGTGCGTGCGCACAAATATTCATGGTTGCAAAAATGTCCACAACAGTGCCGTGTCATAGTGACGGACGAACTTGGGAGCCATTAGCCATTTACTAGTCGGGAAAAAAATTATAGCATGTCACCCAAGGTTGTCAATCCGCGGGTTGACCCGGACCCGGTCGAGCTAGTGGGTCAAGGATTAATGGGTCAACCGTTTTAGCCTGATTTGACCCGGAAATATGGAAAGAGTCATTATATTGTACTTATCCTTATAAATTACACCAAAATAACATACCGTACTTAGATCTAGCATAAAGTGAAAATTCACATACACTTATATACATCAATATTCAACTTAGGATTCTAAATATTGAGTTAGGCGAAAAGAAAAATTGGAAAATATGCCCATTTCGCAAACCAAAGAAAAAAAATGACACAATTTGACCTTCAACCCTGTACCTTATAGCGGTCGACCCGACGGGTGTGTGCGGCTCGTTTTTCTCACCGGATAAGGGTCAAAGTGGGTCGACCTGCGCGGGTTGACAACCTTGATGTCACTGCAACAACCACCACTAAAATTCTACGCTGGCCACGTCGTAGGATCCTGATATCGAACGGCAGAATATGGGGCTGTGAGATTCGTCGGAGTATTGGGCTGTGGTTATAGCAACTTGTGGGCGACGTGGACTTCAATATAACGGTGGCCGAGGGATGGGATATAGAGTGGAAATAAATGAGAAATGGGGAGGCCGAGGGGGTTTGTGGAATGTCGACGATTTTTGGTTTATAAATAAAATCATGCTAGTGAATTTTATTGAAAAGTTAATTTGTGATTTGTTTTCTAAATTTTTTTTGGTAATTATTTGTTTTATAAATTTGAAAAATAAGTATTGATATTATTTGTTGAATTCAAATATAAATGCTTTGATGTTGATGTTTAATATTGAATTTAAATATAAATTTACATTATTCCGTTACTAATACAAATTATAAATAGATTATTATTAAATATATTTTATATAATTAAATTAAATTTTTTTAAAATATTTCTACTTATTTTTTTAAACCAATCGTATCAAAAAATTTGGGAAGTGAGGAAGAAAACTATTTTTCAAAAACCAATTCTTTTATAAGCGTAAATCTGACATTTTTATTATATTTTTACATAATTTGTTAAACCAACCACATCAAATAATTTGGGAATTGAGGAAGGAAAATATTTTCCAGAAACCAAAAAATTGTCTAACACAATTTGATATTGTTATTATATTTCTACATATTTTGTTAACCCAATTCATCAATAAATTTGAGAAATGAGGGAGGAAACTATTTTTCAGAAACCAAAAAATTGTCTTTTATTGGCCTAAATTTGATATTTCTATTTATCTATAAAAATCGTCTATCCTTCGTCCCAATTCCTAGCTTGCTTGCCGACCATAAAAAGAGAGAGGGTCTCGCTGTTTCTATCTTCCTCTTCTTCTTTCTCTCTCCATTCATCGTACTCTCAGACGGCGAAGGAGCTTTACCCTTTCACTGGGGTTCAGGTGAGGTGATTCTATTTTCTGACTAAAGCTGCGAGCTCTTTCCGCTGTTTCCTTTTCCGCGGTTCTTTCTGGTTTGGATGTGCAAATGAAATTAGGGATTTTGAGTTAAATGTCGATGATTCTAATTGTAACAGGTTGACGTTGGATTCTCGATGTATTAGGGTCTGCTGATTCTTCGTATTCTTGAATTGTGGGTAGTATGTGGATATGTTATCCAGATAGGGATTCCTAGCTGCTGTTGGTGTTTGACTTTTTGTTCTTCTCTTTCTCGGTCAAAGAGTCTCGGTATAGACGTTGGTCTTCTAGAGCTAATCGGAGGCTGCTGCTCCTGATGCAATTATTTTTGTTTCGTCTTCTAAGCTGTTATCGCTGAGTTGGGTTCTGTTTCGTAGCTCGAGTTTGAATTGTTTGGTGGTGTCTTGGCTTGAGGCGTTAATTTTGTTAGCTGGATTTCAGTAATTGTTCAAGTTCAAGTATTGTTCCTGAAATGTCTTTATGATTGATGCCATCAAGTGAATAGCTGAATTCATTTCTGGATTTGCCTTTTTTATATGAATGAACAAGCTTGACACTTTTGGTAAAATCCATCTTTTGTTTGATGTATATACTATATCGGTTGGCCTGCTTGTGTATGTAGCAATCTCTAATAAGTACTGTAAACCAGTTTTGGTCTCAAATTCGATCGTAACTTTACTATGTCGTTTGTTCTGATGGCGTTGTGTTTCCAATCTTGAACTAACCTGCCGTCTCTTTTTATCATTATGAATTGCAGGTCTTCTAGCTGTAAAATGACGACAGTTCTAGCTCGTCCTTCTCTGGCTCCTCCCTCGAAGGGAATCCAGTCTCATGGTTCTGAAAAATCAAGGAGGACTGCTGTCAAGATGATGTCTCGGTCGCAAGCACCTGTATGCACATTGACAGGTTTCTCAGGATTGCGGAGCTACAACTGCTTAGACGCAACGGTGAAATCTGGACAAGATTTTCATTCCAGAGTTGCTATCACTATGTCTCCTAAGCAGAAGAGAGGTAAAAAATTTGCAGCTAGAGCCATGTTTGAGCGGTTCACAGAAAAAGCTATAAAAGTTATCATGCTTGCCCAAGAGGAGGCGAGACGGCTTGGCCACAACTTTGTTGGCACAGAGCAAATCTTATTAGGTCTTATTGGTGAGGGCACTGGAATTGCTGCAAAGGTCCTTAAATCTATGGGAATCAATCTTAAAGATGCTCGTGTGGAAGTGGAGAAAATCATTGGACGAGGTAGTGGATTTGTTGCTGTGGAGATCCCATTCACTCCTCGGGCAAAGCGTGTTTTAGAATTGTCACTTGAAGAAGCCCGCCAACTTGGTATAATGTTCATTCTCTCAAACCTTTCTGTCTGATTATGATTTAAAGCAGTTTTCTGAAGCATTGTATGTTCCATTCCCATTTCTACTTATCAGTTTCTTTAGTTAATAACCAAGGTGACGAAGTTGTTTTGGTATGGTTTGAAAGTTCATTATGCCTTTAGGTAGAAGTGTATATTAGATGACTGGCGCTTGGAAATTATATAGGCATACATTTATGCAGAGAGTTTAGCTTACCATGGATCCTTATATGTGTGTGTAGGTATTGACCCTATTATTAAGTCCAACTTTCAATAATATGTGAGTTCAACCTTTTGTGTAGGTCATAACTACATTGGATCTGAGCACTTGCTCTTGGGACTTCTTCGTGAAGGCGAGGGTGTTGCAGCCCGTGTACTTGAGAATTTGGGTGCTGATCCTAGTAACATAAGAACACAGGTGAGTGTCGCACCTTAATTATTGATGTAATCTGAAGAAAGTGTGATCAGCATCTTATTTTTGGTTAATTGTACATTTTGCTTTAGGTCATTCGAATGGTGGGTGAGAACAATGAAGTTACCGCTAATATTGGGCCAAATACCAGAGACACAAAGATGCCAACTCTTGAGGAGTATGGAACTAATTTGACCAAGCTTGCAGAAGAGGTAATGATATTGCTATAATTCATGTCAGTTTTGTATTGGAGCTGTAGAAGCTGATTCATTATTCTTTTCCAGGGTAAATTAGACCCCGTCGTTGGAAGGCAGCCACAAATAGAGCGTGTCATCCAAATCTTGGGTCGGAGGACTAAGAATAACCCTTGCCTAATTGGAGAGCCAGGTGTTGGTAAAACAGCAATTGCTGAGGGTCTTGCTCAACGAATAGCAACTGGGGATGTTCCTGAAACAATTGAAGGAAAGAAGGTGGGCATTTTTAGTTTAGTTTGATTGGTGTTATAATTTGTTGTTACAGTAATAGTATCATGCTAAAGTAACTTCCATCTCGTTTGCTGTCAATTATCATACTACTCACAAAATTCGAGATTGTTCTTAATTAATAGCATGGGTTCTCATGTAATAGGTTATTACTTTGGATATGGGTCTTCTTGTTGCTGGAACAAAATACCGTGGTGAATTTGAGGAAAGGCTCAAGAAGCTTATGGAGGAAATCAAGCAGAGTGATGAAATCATTCTTTTCATTGATGAGGTGCATACGTTAATTGGTGCTGGGGCTGCAGAAGGGGCTATCGATGCTGCTAATATCTTGAAACCCGCTCTTGCTAGGGGTGAATTACAGGTACTTTATGTTTTCAGTTCTAAATTAAATATTTTCATGAACAAATTTAATTATGTGGGTTTGTCCTGTTGGGGTCTTTTCAAAGGACATTCTGTATTGTAGTACCAAATGTGATGCCTTTCTAATTCTCATATATCGGAGTGATCTTCATTACTTCTCCTATTAATTTTTACAGTGCATTGGAGCTACAACACTTGATGAGTACAGAAAGCATATTGAGAAGGACCCGGCTTTAGAAAGGCGATTCCAGCCAGTCAAAGTACCTGAGCCTACGGTGGATGAAACAATCCAGATATTGAAAGGTCTACGTGAACGATATGAGATCCACCATAAGCTTCGGTACACTGACGAGTCTCTAGTTGCTGCTGCACAGCTATCATACCAGTATATCAGGTGCGAAGTCCATGGAAGTTAACTTTTTTCCCCAGTTCTTCTGTTCATGTCTGCACTGTTTAATGGTGTCCTGAAAAGAGGCAGGACTTCTACATTGGCTTCTATTTCTTGAGCTGGATTGTGGGCTTCATGGTTGTTTGTTTTGTGAGCGTCGTAGTGGCAGGTGTTGGGTAGAAGTGGAAAATTTTGTCCACTTTTTATATGGGAAATCTGTAATCTGCATTCATTCTCCATTTTTCTCTCTGCATTCCTGCAGTGACCGTTTCTTGCCTGATAAGGCAATTGACTTGATTGATGAAGCTGGCTCTCGGGTTCGTCTTCGTCATGCACAGGTTTGGGCTCTTTCCAATTCTTTGTACCATATGGTTATAGGTTCTATTTCTCAAGTTGTATTTCCCACAGGTCCCTGAGGAAGCTAAGGAGCTTGAGAAAGAGGTCAGACAGATTATAAAGGAGAAGGATGAGGCTGTCCGCAATCAAGACTTTGAAAAGGTAACCACCGTCACTATCCTTCTCAAATTTGCTGTCTTTTGGTATAACTGTTTTATTGTTATTATTATTATTGAAACTGTGGTGTGATGATAGGCTGGGGAATTGCGTGACCGAGAAATGGACCTAAAGGCACAGATCTCAGCCATAGTGGAGAAAGGTAAGGAAATGAGCAAAGCTGAGACGGAAGCTGGGGATGAAGGCCCCACTGTGAATGAGTCAGACATTCAGCACATTGTCTCTTCATGGACTGGAATCCCTGTTGAGAAGGTGTCGACAGATGAGTCTGATCGCCTACTGAAGATGGAAGAAACCTTGCACAAACGAGTCATTGGTCAGGATGAAGCTGTCAAGGCAATCAGCCGTGCTATTCGCAGGGCCCGAGTTGGTCTCAAGAACCCTAACAGGCCAATTGCGAGCTTCATCTTTTCCGGTCCAACTGGTGTTGGAAAGTCTGAACTGGCCAAAGCACTTGCTGCCTACTACTTTGGGTCAGAAGAAGCCATGATCAGGCTCGACATGAGTGAGTTCATGGAGAGACACACAGTCTCCAAGCTCATTGGTTCGCCTCCCGGGTATGTTGGATACACGGAAGGTGGGCAGCTGACTGAAGCTGTTAGACGTCGCCCTTACACCGTGGTGCTCTTTGATGAGATTGAGAAAGCCCACCCTGATGTCTTCAACATGATGCTTCAAATCCTTGAAGATGGAAGATTGACAGATAGCAAAGGTAGAACTGTGGACTTCAAGAACACCCTTTTGATCATGACTTCTAATGTTGGCAGCAGCGTTATCGAGAAGGGAGGAAGGAGGATAGGGTTTGACCTTGATTATGATGAGAAGGACAGCAGTTATAACAGGATCAAGAGTCTGGTGACTGAGGAACTGAAACAGTATTTCAGGCCGGAATTCTTGAACAGATTGGATGAGATGATTGTGTTCAGACAACTGACTAAGCTGGAGGTGAAGGACATTGCTGATATCATGTTGAGGGAGGTGTTTGATCGGCTGAAGGGGAAAGAGATCGAGCTTCAAGTGACTGAGAGGTTCAGAGAAAGAGTTGTGGATGAAGGGTACAACCCTAGCTACGGAGCAAGACCTCTGAGGAGAGCAATAATGAGACTCCTGGAGGATAGCATGGCCGAGAAGATGCTTGCAGGAGAGATCAAAGAGGGTGACTCGGTTATCGTGGATGTCAACTCTGAGGGCAACGTTATTGTTCTCAATGGCAGCAGTGGCACCCCTGATGCCTTGCCAGATGTGTTGTCTGTTGCTTAGAGGCAGTTGTTTGCACTTATGCCAAGGTGCTGTCATGTAGCTTTGGTTGTTTGAAAAACTATTTGTACTGGCTAGAACAGTAGAAACTTGGGGTCTGGCTGGCTGGTGGACAGGCTACTCGGCCAAGGGGAAGATGGGGGCGCGAGGATCGGAGGGTTCAAGTTCACAACACCATGGATGCTGATCCATAGGCTGGGAATCGATTGCTTCGTGGTGGAAAATTAGGTAGCCTGCTGGTTTTAGCTATAGCTCTCATAGTGCAAGGATGTAGTGATGGATAAGTTATACATTGGTACCCTTCCGAATGCTCCTTTAGCCCCTCCTTTGGTGGGATATAATTGTGGATTTTATGATTTTATAATTGCAATTCTAGCTTTCTGCCAAGTGATAGGTGATATTGAAATGCTTCAGGGCGAAGGGTTTTGAAGCTTCAGCTGTCCATATATTGAATTGTAAACGTAGAGGATTGACAAATAAAGAAGCACGCAGAGCCACCTGGAACAAGCAAACTGGTTGCCAACCTTGCAAGACTTCGAGGCAATTGATTTGTTGATCAAACAAAAATACGCAGATAAATACGTTATGGTTCTTTACAGCTGCAACACAAGACAAATCAGGGAACTGCCATTCAAGGCGGGCCACAAGAAACGGAGAAAAACGAATGATGATTGCTTGTGGGACGAGAACTGTTTACTATGCACGGAAACTATCCTCCTAACCGTGTAGAGATTTGTGTAATTTTGTTCATTTCAAATTTTTTGCAACGAGAGTGAAGTAGAAAAGATATTTTGTCTTTACAATTAATTATTTATTTTCAATAAAAAAATATAAACATTAAGATTTGAACTCGAATCTCCTCAAACAAAAACAACAATCATAACCAATTACACTAAATGAATTTGTTGTTTTTGTTTTAATACAAAACATACACAAAGTTAAACACTGGAAAGTGAATGACTTTTACATTATGATCAACAAACCCACTAAGTCTACCGTACCTCGATTCCAAAGTAATGGTTTTGCGAGAGGCCTGAGAGAATACGATCCTGGCCTTAGGGCTAGGTAAATTTTGTAGCGACACTAAAATCGACATTAGAGTACCCCAAAAATAAGGAATCTGAGCATGTCATCAACACAATGTATATTATATAAGTATATTATTTAGTTTTTAGTTTTTACCGGTGTGAGCCCCATCTCTCAAACACCAATTCCCCAATTGCACTCCCGTCTCAACGGCATACAGGTTTCCACACATGTGAGGTACAAACGGGAGCTGAGGTCTCCCGACTATCTCCTCTCATACAAGTCTCATGAGGAGGAGAGGTGTAAGAGGAATGGAAATTAGAAAAGGAAGATGGTTGGACGCTTAAAAGCTATCTGATCCCCAGCCACATCCTCAAATGTCACTCTGGACCAAGAGAAAAGCCTTTTGACGGCTTACCTTTAACACTATGCATGGTTGCCTCCCATGTGAGAGCACTCACTTTTCAAAATTGGAGCACCTTTTGCAAAATGTTTTGGAGTCCAAACTTTTGGGAGATAGTCCCGCACACATGTCCTAACCTCGATAATAAAAAATATCAACACATCCAAGAGGAAATAGAAGTAAAACCACTCATGATCAATCATCTCCGTAGCATCACACTACTCCCTATAATCAACACCATCACAACATTAAACTTTTCCAAGCACAATAAGTAGGAATCATACATGAGACAATGTGTTTGGACCCCAAAAAGTTTAATTTTTGAGCATTCATTCTAGGTACTAAAACATTCTCAATGTAGGCCAACATTCAATTATTCATACATAAGTGCTTGGAGCCCTCAAATTGTAGGAATTTGGCAATAACAAGGCTGCAAAGCATTCAAGGTAAATGTCACTCATCACATTAGCATTAGCATTCACTCGCCATACATATTCAATGCCCCCCCACACACACACTTAAGCACGATATTGTCTCCAATGGAAACAAGAATAAGGGTGGAAAGAAGTTACCGAATCATTGGCAAGTGAAAGCTGGGCTAGATTTGGACCAGTTTTGAGGGAGAGGAAGAGCTTCACACACACAAAAACACACACACACACACAAACACAAATACATGCTCGCCAAAGTTGAGGTTATTTCACAAACACAATATTCAAAGTCACAAGAAAATAAAATCACAATAGTACGAATTCAACACACAAAACCAAAAAATAAAGAGCTTAGAGTCAAAGTGGGCAGAAGTGAAATGGTGGTACTATGGTGCCAACATGGCCCTCAAAACTGATAATGGTCATCCTAGGGAGGCGGCTCTTGGCGAGGAGGTGAAGGATGTTGTAGGAATCCTGAAACTGGATAACCTGGGCACATAGGAGCTCCTCCTCCATACAATGTGAATGACGTCGGGCATCACGCTCTTTGGAAAGCTGAGAGGAGAATCCAACAACTTGGCCCTCTAGTGCAGTGACTCAGGCCTCAATGTTTACCGAGGAAGAAGGACCAGCTCCAATGATGATGAAGCGTAGATATTACCACATCGGCTGACTGGTGGATGAGGGCTGAAGGTCAGAGGCCATCAATACACTCGATGCCTCTCTCAGTCCGGACAAGTCCCATGTGGTGAAGTGTCGCCACTAGAAAGATATGCGTCCACCCGAACATCATGTAGATGGCGGTGTCCACACTGTAGTACCTCACCAGGCGAGTGATGATGGGCCCCATGTGCATCGTGTAGATGCGCACCCAGCCCAAGAACCTCAAAGATGATGTCGCCACAAACCCTTCCAGATGGAGGGCCTCCCGAAGTCTACTCATAGTGCGAAGCACCACGATCCCACTAAGGGTCACCGGCCACTGAGCTAGTAGACTTGGGATCACATATTGTGTTAGTCACATGTGGAGGATCCTCCACTAGGGTCGGAAATGAGTCTCCCTCTTCTTGTACACCCACTCCACAAATCGCGTGTACGCGAGCTCCATCATGGTCATGATTGCTATGTGAGGCCCAAAGCCTGGGGTTTCATACCAATGGTGTGGATGACGCCACTCATACTGAACTCTACATATGGTTGAGCTCGCCTCCCTCTTGGCTTCTCATTTCGGAACGTGAAGAACTCCAAGCAGAGCTCTCGATAGATTGGCTCGTCGAAGCTTGCAAATTGTACAACTTTGGATGAGAAATGGCTTCGAAGATCGCAACTTGGCATTGGAGGTACTCAAACATATCCAAGTTTAGGCGTCAGTGGGGTCCAATATCCCTGTTCCTTCATGACTCATAGTGGTCCCCATAAGTGGGGCGATTCACCAACAGCTAGATACATGGGTGCATCGGGTCAACCATCCTACAAAAATACCAAACATCAGACAAAGCACAATGGAGGATCCCACCACTACCCACACTTAATTTTCAAACATAGGTGACAAGCCGACATAGGCATTACACAAGGTCGGATGGCCAACATTTAAGCACAATCATCCCAAAAGCACAACGAGGCAAACTAGGTGTTTCATAGATAAAAAATGTTGCAAATGTAAGCCTAGATCTTGCCTCGACGGCCAACATTCGACATGCACAAAAGTGTATCGAGGCTAGACATTTTAGCATAAACTTGGTGGGCGTTTTCAATCCAAACATCATAACATATAAAAAAAAAATTCCACCCACCCACAAACATCCCATAAATCACTTAAGTAACATGCACACAATCATAATTCGACAAATCCCTCACCCAATTTCATCTTTCATGCAAAAATTCCCAAATCTCCTCACCTAAGAACCCTAGATGCGATTCTCCACAATAAACAAGGTAAAAGTTCAAAACGCCTAGAGACTCATGTAAGATTGAAGAAGAATATGAGGAGGAAGTGAGGGAGTCAAAATCCGCCTGAAAAATTGACCGAAAAGGTCGCCCGACTGTCACTGGAGAAAGGTTGCCGACGATAAAAACAAGCCCTAAAAACTCATCGAAAGAGCGCCGAGTCAGGGAAGAACGGGTATGTGCTTGGTTTCAATTTGGGTGGCCGGAAGTAGATAAAATCATCGAAAAACCTTCGGAGGTGACTTATTCTGGTGAGAATTCAAAATTTTCCAGCAAAGGTGAAGTTCACATTTGAGGTAATCTTCACGGCTCTTTTATATTGTCCAATGGTCATGATCACGATTTTGGTGTTATTTTCACGGTCTTGGACCATGATCTTAACACACAAATTGTGATCTCTTCACAAAACGGTGAGTCTTGTTCTTATATCATTGTGCATTTAATTATCATGGGCTTTACCCGTGAAAATTACATGCAACCCATGATGTTTACGAATTGGCTGAAATCCCTTCTTTTTTCACGTGTTATGGTTAATCTTCATTGTCTAAGACCGTGACATTCCACCAAAACCATGATGTGTGCAAAAATAGGGGGGATTTTGTCCATTTTTTACCCTAATCAACTCGACCGTACCCCAAACTCAAACACTACACATTCATTGACCAACACACATCAACTATGGGAATAGTGATCATTCACAACTCACACACTTGTCTCTATCATGCACACAAAAAGAGAAAATTAAGGAAAAGAAATACAAACCAAAATTGGGTTGCCTCCCAACAATTGCTATATTTATGTCATAAGCTAGATTATTGCTCTTTAAGCTTCAGTCATTCCCAAAACTTCTTTGAATTTGAGGTTCTTGTCGGTGAAGTAGGGTCTCAAGTACCTATCATGTGGTATGGAATGTGATGATGGCTCGTGTACTTGCTTGATAGGAAGTCTCCACATTCGAGACCTCTCATTCGCTTATTCTTTCTCGTCTTTACCCCAAACCAGATGAGGCATCATGAACTCTCCACCCTTGCCAAGCAATTCCTCAAAGTTTGGTAGAGATTTCACAATGAAACATGGCCGATGCTAGCGTCTTCCACCATAACTTCATCCTTAGCATGAAAACCAATTGCTTCATCCACCACCTTTTCTTCTTCATAAATCGATTCCTCCCCTTGTGAAGTTTCAAGAAATTCCTCCTCGTAGATTTCTTCCTCCTCCACAACTTCTCTTCTTATCCTTTCTCACTCCTCCTCAAGCATATGTTGGATATCAAGTTTCCAAGCGATGTCTTTGATAGGATCAGCTCGCATCTCCTCACTAGTGACAATCTCTTTAAAGTTTAAAGTGAAGTGAGGGATGATGGCTACCTCAAAAGGACATTCCAGATCTCGAGTATCACAGTGGCTCTTCGTGACAACTTTTTGCTCCAAATCGTCATTGGGGTTTGCCTTTTCTTCTTCCTCTTCTTCACAAATAGTTAAGAGTTGTTCCTGAGTCAATTGTGCACAAGCTTTCTCGACCATCGTGCTCAACTTCTCGGTGTGCTTGAGAATTTACTCTACTTCATAGAGAAAATCTGAGTATGGTGGATCCATGGTTTGGAAGGCCGATGTGGAGCATGATCTTTCATTATCTCGCACAAACTGCTCTACCAATAGCTCCAATTGGCTCTTCGTCTTTTTTTGTGTGGGGAGGGTAGTCTTCATGGAATGGTTGGAACTCTTGAACACCCGGGGGTACGGTTGTTCAACAATGGGAAAGGGTTGATATTCGAACCCGAATCCGTAGTCTTCTTCTTCTTGATTCCTCCAAGATGTCCTGAGGTAACACCATTCAGGTGATACACCCATGTATAGGAGAAGCTACTCGGATCCATGTTTTATATTTGCATCAACAAAAGGGGTAGAATACATAATAAAACAAAAGATAGAAAAGTTAAAAGTAGTTTACTTTTACTGAATAACGAATCGTTGTCCCTGGCAATGGCGCCAAGAAAACTTGACTCGCGACCTAATACACACTCCCACCGTAGGCCAAGTATAATCCTACAGTGGGTGTAGTATGAGGCAAGTATATTTTTAATTATCAACCTAGGCGGTTTGTCTACCCTTACTTTAGTAGACCAAAAATTATCTAGCAATCAAAACGTTGTTTAAACTATCAAGCAAACAAACAACTAAAAATGATGTTGAAGTTAAGATGATAAGGCTCCACTCAGATGATATTCCCCCTAGTCCCGTGTTGAGAGGAAATTGTGACACTCTAGTTCGATTGGTAAGTTCTATATATCATTAGGAGAACAAATATAGTTAGGCCCCCTATTCGAGATCATCCTAACCCGCCTAATCAATATAATCAGAGGGGCGTACCACGCTACCGCAATAGACGACTAGGGAAACCAAATCCACTCCCTTAGGTTTTAACCCGGAACGACATGAAGATACCAATCATCATAATTCATGGCTCTCTATGATGATTGAATAGTCACCCAAATTTTCATAATGAGATCTTCTCTCTTAGGTCAATTTGTCCCTAAATTGAGGGAATTGATCAAGGACACTCAAATTTCATGATAAGTACTCAATCAGTACTCAAATTTCATGATAAGTATTCAATCTCCCTTGTTTGTATCTTTCTCTCTCTAGGTTAAGGAACAAGAAACTCAATCTCACTCTAAACTCTCCTCCCTTTAAAATAGGATCTTCTCCTTATATAGATCGATTGTGCATGTTTCGTAGTTTCATGTCATGCCTGTGAACTGTGCAACAAAACTGTGATCTCAACACAAAAAGCGTTGTTTCATTTACACACTTCACGATTTCCAATTTGGCTTCACAGTCTGAGACCGTGATCATTGCTTTGCCTGTGAGACACACGAAAACTCTTGGAAATCTACGAACTTCACGATTTCATTTTAATCTTCAGTCTGTTGCCCGTGATAATCCCCTCCAACCCGTGATTTGTGCACTTTTCTCCGTTTTGCTCCATTTTTGAACCCTTTCGTTTGACTTTCAGTCCTTTCGCCCATTTCACCTGCCATGGCCGGAATCATAGTAAAGCATTCCAAAATCCAGTGTAAAATAGCTCCAAGGACGATGCTAAACATGTCAAACAACCAAGTCTAAGGGGTCAAAATATGCATAGAATGGAGCGTATCAAGAATGTTTATTCGAAGTTCAAAAGTTTTTTTTAGAGGGACATGACCATTTTGGAGGAGCTAAACATATATATTTATATTCGGTTAGTTGTTGGCTAACCATTAGCCGGCTATTCGATTATCGAATACACCAGAAGCCATTTCAACCTACTGATAACCGCACCGCTAACTTATGATTGGTTAACAATATAATCGTTAACCGTCGATTATCAGTTAGTTTATCGATGTAATCGCTAATCGCCTAACCGAGTGTCAACCTATGACCTCTATACTCCTTGATTAATATGGTAGTTGGAAGTTGCAATTTGCTAAAACTCATAGATCTTGAACATTGACGGTCATTGAAGGGTAAGATTAGATTTGGTCTTTCTCGTGACAATTATAAATGGAGAGTTTGCATGAAGTTATTGGGAAAGGAAAGGAAAGGAAGAGGCCCCCACAGCGTATTGAGTGCTCAAGTCCAAATACAGACAAAAGTGAATTGCTTGCTGCAGTCATTGCTGTAACGTTCGAAGAGGCAACAGCCAGCCAAGCCAGCTCAAACGTGAATTGAAAATGAACAAGGAATAGCCATTGTAGATTTGTAGTATTATTGTGATTATGCTAAATTATAATACACAGGAATTCCCAACAGATAGAAAAAAGCCAATTCCCTTTTCCCTCTGCAAACGTCCTCTTCATTCTCTCTCTTTATTTTGGCTGGTCCTTTAAAGAAAGCTCTGGTTTCCTTCCGTCTTTCTCTCTCAGCCATTTTCTAAACAAACAAACTGCTTTGGCTCATTGGTGCTTAGCTTTCGTCATTGTGTTGTTTGTGGTTTTTTGTTTTCCCTCGCAGAAAGAAACAGAGAACAAGTGAAAGCTAAACTAGGCAGCCCCCAAGAAAAGAATGTTGTCCGAGCTGAATGGTAGTCCCTGGATGGATGACAACACTAACAAGGAGCACCAGCAAAACACTTCAACACCAACACTCGACACTACAAACAACAACTTAATTATTGAAAGCAGCACCTGTGAATTGGTGATGGAGACAAAAGAAGAGATGGGTTTCAAATCCATGCTTGAAGTAGGCGAAGAGGATTGGTACGCTGTGGGTAACAACAACCAGAACAACAACGTCGTCAAAGAGATGAGCTTTTCCACAGATGGGCTATTGCTTCATCACCACCACCACAACCAAGTCGATTCCTCGTCGTCTTGCTCACCTTCCTCCTCGGTTTTCAACAACATGGACCCTTCTCAGGTACACTACCTTATGCAACCCATCAACAAGCAGCAGCCACTCCACCACTCTTCCTTATCTTCCTTGCTAGCCAATGTAGTCTCCAACAACAACCCTTTAGACCATGGGTTCGATTTGGGGGAAATTGGGTTCCTCGACAATCATCAAGTTGCAACAGCAACTGGTAACGTTCTAAACAGGGGGAATGGTGGGTTGTTATTGGGGGGTTGTGCTGATTTTGGCTCAGTGAACAACCAGATGGGGGGCGGTGCTCACAATTTGCCCCAGTTTGGGAGTAATCCTCATCAAATGCATCAATTTCCTGAAACAGGGTTCACTGGGTTTAGAGGGTTTGAGGAGGGGAATGGGAATAATGGGCTGATTTTGAATAGGTCTAAGCTGTTGAGGCCACTAGAGAGTTACCCTTCAGTGGGTGCACAACCAACTTTGTTTCAGAAAAGGGCTGCCTTGAGAAAGAATCTGGGCGGTGGTGAGGCAGGCAATTTGGGAGTTTTGGGGGGTGTGATTGAGAGGGACAAAGGGAAGAAGGAAATGATTCAAACTAGTGATGAAGATAATCATGAGAAGAACAAGAGGATGATGTTGAGCTCAAATGGTGGTGATTCCTTTTTGGATGATTTGAGCATTGATGGGTCAGTAGGGTTGAATTATGACTCCGATGAGTTCACTGAGAATACCACTAAGTTGGACGAGATTTGCAAAGCCGGCGGTGGAGGGTTGAGCTCCAATGCTAACAGTGGTGTCACCGGCGGTGCTCCAGATCAGAAGGGGAAGAAGAAGGGACTTCCTGCTAAGAATTTGATGGCCGAAAGGAGGCGCAGGAAGAAGCTCAATGATAGGCTGTACATGCTGAGGTCTGTTGTTCCAAAGATCAGCAAAGTAAGGAATTTTTCTTTCTTCTCTTGTACCATCTTTTCTCAGCATTTCCCTGTGATTTCTATCCGTGGTTTACTTTATTATTACTAGTAACGATGATGTTCTTCTCATTAAAAAAAATGAAAACATGATTGGGATTACAATGATTCAGAGAGTTCGTGTTCTTGGTGCTTTGCGATTTTTGGGTTGGTCCCTTATGTCTGAAATGCATGCTGTACACAAGAGAATCGCATTCATTCCTGTCACATGATTTTTGCCTTCACTCACATGATTTTAGCCTTTCTTGGGCCAACCAAATTGTGGGGAAAGGTAATTTATTGTTCTTATTGTTCAAAGCTGCTAGAGAGATTCATGATTAATTCCTCCTTTTCCACGGTAAATGAGACTGTATGAGTTCCGTTTCAATTGTCTGCCTCTTTGAGCTTTTCATGTTCCTCAGCTATCTTTTTTGTCTTTTCTTTTAAAGAAAGTAAACCGTTGAGAATAGAGTACTGAATTCATTCTCTGTACCCATCTGTGAGTGCAATTTTTGTTTCGTTTGCAGCTTTTTTCAGACAAAACAGTACGTACTAACTAGACCCTTCTTTCTCTCGTGTTCACTCACTGCCAGTGGTGCCAGCCATGGTGCTGCAACTTTCATGCAATTAATATCTGTTGTCCTGTTATGCCCGGAAGAAAATGGACCACTAAGCATAAGCATACACTTGCATATAGATGGTTTGACTAGCTAATTGAATCCTGATTTTTTGTGCAATAACTTGAAAAGCTTTGGCTCTCTCCTCCTTAGCCAGAGTTTCAATATGTGAAGTTCCATGTTACATGCTCTTCATATTCTCCAAACTTTCGTTCTTTCAGTCAGTTAGTCATAGATTGTGAATTGGGGGATGAGATGTTTTAGTAAGCATGCCATCAATCTTTTCAGAGTTAAGTAAATTTATTGGGATAATGACATTTGATACAATGGCAAACTTGTGTTGGAGCAGATGGACAGAGCTTCGATCCTTGGCGATGCGATTGAGTATCTGAAGGAACTTCTGCAAAGAATCAATGACCTTCACAATGAACTGGAATCAACTCCTCCAGGGTCTTCAACTTTGACACCCACAGCCACAACTGCATTTCATCCGTTGACCCCGACCCCGTCGGCGCTGTCCAGCCACATGAAAGACAAACTCTGCCCGAGCCCTCTGCCAAGTCCGAATGGACAAGCTGCGAGGGTAAACATCTCGTGAACTCTCTCTCTTCCTATTCAAGGAAAAAGGCAGTATGGTCCACGCTAATAAAGTGGTTAGCCTTCAATGAATGATATGTTTCATTGTTTCATTTGTTTGGTGCTGTTGCTCCCTGTAGGTTGAAGTGAGAGTGAGAGAAGGGAGAGCTGTGAACATCCACATGTTCTGTGGGCGGAGGCCGGGGCTTCTGCTGTCCTCAATGAAGGCCTTGGACGACCTTGGGCTGGACATCCAGCAAGCAGTGATTAGCTGCTTCAACGGCTTTGCCATGGACATCTTCCGGGCCGAGGTATGTCTGCTAAAACTGAACTGAACCCATGCACCCACCTCTTCTGCTCTCAAACGTTAATAATAATATGCTGACTTTGTTGGTGGATACGTTTTGCAGCAATGCAAAGAAGGTCAGGACGTGCACCCAGAGGAAATCAAAGCCGTTCTTCTGGATTCGGCCGGTGGGTTCCAAGGAATGATTTAGGTTCTTTTGCTTTTGGCGTAGTAGGTGGTCAGCCATAGATTTGGCTCCAGTTAACAAAGAAAGAAAAGAGGGAAAATAGCACCTGTTGGATGGATGAGGTAGAACTAGGCAATTGGAGTTTTAGGGGGTATGTATGTTATGGTTTCAGGAAGTATTGGATTCAGAGATCCCAGCTTTGGTTCGGAGAAGTCTCGAGTTAGTCAAGTTTCTCTTTTTATAACTTTCCCTCCTCAGATTTCATTATAATGCTGACGTGACCGCAAAGTGCCATGCAAATGATGCACTCATGCTAAGTTAATCGGTAAACTCTGTTCTTTATTACTATTTTATTATTATTTTCCCGCGGAGGTGGAAAATAGTGAGGTCCGGACTAGAAAGGATCATATGTGCGGTATGCGGACTGCGGTCTAGACTGAGAGGGTAGAAGACAAATCATAAATTATATGATTCAAATTAGACCACGCATGTATGTTGTAGTCCAGTACAATCTGGAAATAGAAAACTTTAGTGGTGAATATCCTAGTAAAATAAAATTTTAGTGATTGTAACTAACCCACGAGATAATATGAGGACTTTTTTTATTTCTTACTCCCAAGTCCCACTCTAGTCTTCACTACTCTATTTAGTATCCACTTAAAATAAACACATATGACACAACAAACAACTTTTGTCTCCCTCTTCCTCTTTGTGTTATCGCTTCTCTCAGTCTCCAGGTGGTCCGAAAGGTTCTCCCACTCAATCCCCACTGCAAGTATGCAACGACGTATGCAACGACGTTGAGACTGTTTTGAACCACTTGATTGGTCGCTTCGCGCGCTAGAATTTCTCTTATTTCACCTAACGTAAATAATTTTTGTTCTATATTTCTATATAATCAACTCCAGAGTCTAGACATGGCTAGTCGAGATTATTTTCCCATCCTTTTCTTGTTTTTGTGTGGTTCTTTCACTATGAGATAACACAAAAGTGATGGCTTGAGCAATTTATTGATTTTCATTCGGATGAAGAATCAATAGATTTGTTGTGTTTGTACTGAAATCTATAATAAGATCATATTGTTTACTCCCCATGGCCAGATTGATCAGGCTCGGATTGTTCTTCCAAATGCATAAACAAAGGTCGGGGTGTTATGTTGGTTTGGATTAGAAAGTACTGGGTCACATTCTCCTCTCATGGTTAATCGCAATTTATAACAGTCAAAATCAGGTCAGAACGCACACTAAATGAGGAGATAACAAGCCAGACCAGACCATGATTCGAGTCTCGCGATCAAACCAAACCCTGTGATTTTCCCGGATGGTTTGACCTGGATTCTCAGCCCTACTAAAAAGGTAGTAAAGTAAAAAAGAGAAATATCTAGGCAATCACAGTTGTATGCAGTTGACGTGAACAAAGGGTAAATAAAAAAATATTGATTGCATGCAGCAATCCATACTACTTACTCCTACGGTCCTACCCACCCTACCTAATACGACGACGCTCCTTGAGCAATAAATAATACAAAATTTCCCAATGTCATCCCGCCTATATTACATCCTCCTACCACTAGTATGAGCACTTCTACTGTACTATAAAGTATTGGTGTTTTAATGTACAATTTAAAATTGTACTATAAGGTTAAATATATAAGTTCAGGTTATACCATAAAGGAATTTGTACTATTATGTTATGGTACAACTTTACAATTTGAAGTTGTACCATCACATAAAGGTACAAGTTCAAGTTGTACCATAAAAGAATTTGTACAAAAAATATATGTATCATCTGAAGTTGTACCGTAACATTAAAAGTACAATTTCAAATTGTATCATAAAGGCAAAATCCTATAACACCAAACAACATTGTAAAATTCCTCCTAGTACTATTACTATATACCCTCGGCTCCAACTAGTGCAAAATCAAAATGGCTTACTACAGCCACACAGGCAGAATGGAGAAAGAGAGTGATACTAGGCCGCAGCTGCTGCAGCAGCAGACGAAGGAACAAAGGTGTGTGTGTTTTTATGACCGTTCAGATTCAGAGATAGGTCCATCCCAACCCAACCCAACCCTACCACCCATCAATATTCACACGCCCCATACCATACCAGATTAGGACCACCCAGTCCCAGCATTCCCACATGCTTATGCCTCTGCCTCTGTCTGATGTCACACACACACACAGAGACACTACTACTTGCTCTCTGCTACTGTCCAGTTGCAGTAAGGGGACCATCCCTTTACCATTCCAACCAACCAACCACTCCCTATCCTTTAGGGGATAGAATTGGGAACGAACGCACATCATCATCATCATCAAATAAAACCCACTCTACACTACTACACCCATGTTATGTTATGTATTATGTATACACTATTTATTTATTACACCTTTACATCCATTCCAGGCAGGAGATGGGACCAAGGAAAACCCATTCTCTATTTACAGGAGATATTGGATTACATAAAAACAGCAATGCAATGCTACTACCTAATAATCATCGCTTTTAATCAACCCTACTATCATAGCAGCGGGCCGGCAAGAGAGGGAGGCCATTGCACAATCATATTTCTTCCTTCTTTGCTTATCTACTATCATCTCATACTATAGAGAGACACCATTTGATATGGTCCCGTCTAATCCTGAGAATCAGAATACCCACCGCCACCCGCTTTCCCCTCCTCGCATGCTCCTCCGCCAACTAACACCGTCAATCAATACTATTCATATATATATATCAGCAGCCCCAAAAATCTGCAACAACTGCCTCGCATTAATGATGCCTTTGTGATATATCAACCCACCACCCACCTATCAGTTATCCGACCCAGACGGTAACGCGCATCCCCCCGAGTGATTCGTGTCGCCGCCGCCTTCTCCATCGGAATTGTTGCTGCACTTCGGGTTCAGAGTCCCTGGATTCATCTTCTGTACTTCTTCCCTGGTGTAGATGAAAATCTTACGGACCATCCCAACAAATTCCCTGATTAATCACAACATCTCAGCATAAGTTCCTTAACCACAAACAAAAAGGTGTACACAAAACTAGTAAATCTCTTCCACACATGCATGCGATGCCGAACAATATACAGCAGGTGTAAGAAATACTTACTGCCAAGGGTCATCTCCAACAAGCATCATGTCTCCCTCATCGTCGGTGTACACAATCATCCAATTCTGCTTGGGGTCGTTAAGATCGCCGCCAAATTCAAACAAGCGGTCCAGTTCAGCTATCAGTTCTTTGTAGTTGCTGAACTTGCTCAGATCAACTGATCTACCTAGGGCAATCCCCTGCTTGTGAACCTGACGCAACCAACGCATCTTGGATTCAGCTTCACTTTCAAGCAAATACTGCGACACAAAGGAAAATTTATATTATATATTTATTAACATACGATACCTTGGTGCAACTCCTAGTTGAACCGCTTTGAGACTTCCCAACATTGTCTCGTGAATGGCCCTGTTGAAATCGTTTCTCATGCTCGCTGTCATCAGTTATTTTGCAATTCCTTGATTCCAGCTGATCAGTCTCAAGTGGATGATAATGTTGGCTGGCACCGTTTCCATTTGAATGGCTTACCGAGTCATTCATAACTTTCTTATTAGGCGATAGGACTGCCTCATGAACCAAAGAGTTGCCAGTAAGAGGAATACCAAACAGCTTGCAGTTCCCATCAGTGGATTTGCCAGGCTCCAGCGCCAGAATATTCTTTGACATCAATTCTCTTGATTGGGAATGATGATGCTCAAACTGGGATGATGATGGTGGAGGCATCAACCAGTTGAGATGCGACTGGTCGGCCCCCCTAGCATACTCACTAAATGCACTGTATCTAAGATTTGACCCCACTGAATGACGACCTAAATAATCACTACCTTCTCCTGAAGCTTTTGTGTTGGTATCCGACACCTTGAGTGAAAGGCCAGATGAAATAGAGGACCATGGATCTCCAAGCAAATTGAATTTCCCATCCTGATCTATTATTGAACGCTTCCTTGCAGGAACAGAACTTCGATCAGCAAAGGATGAAGAAAAATATCCATGTTGGGAGGAACCAGCAGCATTTCCAGCAAAGCCAGACAACAAATCTGTGTAAGTCGGCTCGAGCCTCACAGAGGGCATCCAGCTCTCTTGTCCTGTTTTTCTACCAGTAGAAACCACTTCAACCTTTTCATCATCCACAGACAGTGGCCACATAATAGACTTTTCGGCTGTTACCGATTCATTGCTCTCAGCAGTGAAATTGCCTCTCAAGGTCGCGAATTCTTGACCTTGCAAGACCCTCGCATATCCACCAGCTGGCGGAGGGTCTGCAGTAACTTTGGATGAAACTGTCAATTTCAATAAAAACAGCACTTTTATAACCCCAAGTTGAGAGATGCACTGAAAACAAAGAAAAAGTTGACAACAATGATATGAAGTGGAGAATCAGTTAAGTCTAGGTTGCATGACCAGACCTTCTCTGGTGAGCACAGAAGAATCAGGTGATGAGGGGACAATATTTGTTCTGGGTCTTTTTGGCCTCGGCATTGGGAGTTGACTCAGAGCAGGAGGAGCCAAAGCAGGTTCTATTTGCCAGGGAGAAACTCTTTCCGGACGAGGTATGGTCGAAGTCTCATCCCATCTCACCTGGAATTACACCATCATGTGAGCACCTTTTCAAGTATGATAAACAGAAGAATCAGCCAAAAAGTCAGCAATCCTACTTTCAGGCATCTCCATTTCGACTCTTGCCATCTATTTGAATCAGCATCTTCAATCCCAACTATTGTTCCTGTAAATCTGTAATGAAAAAAGAGCCACAAGAATAAGCTATACGTCCTCCTTAGACTTGCAACCAACCACCATTAGGTCAATCATTAATAAAACTCATGGTTAACATAACAAAGAAAGAATGAAGGAGCAGCATTATACCTCTGCTCGGGAGCTTCTTCTCCTTCAAACCTCATTTTAAACCTCATGCCAATGGTATAGTTATTTTTCACTGAATCCATGTACTGATCAAATGGGACTATGAACTCTGCTGGACTTGTCCTGAAAGAAGACATTCTATTTAGCACATCAATATAAAGCATATCACTGTCAAGATCAGAAAACCATTACCGAGAACAGAAAATGAACACATACACTCAACTCACAAGTCACAACCTCTCAATGACTACCACAAGAATAAAGTCACCCACATACCTTGGTTTATAATATACAGTGAACAAGGTTCCTGTAGAAATTGCATGCCAGGCTGTGGCTAAAACGCCCAAATGCATGCTGTGACTGGAGATAACAGAAGAGGGGACATTTCCCTGCTGTCTCATTGCTCGCCTAACACCAACACGGAGCTCTCCATTCTCACCTCTAGAAGAAAATTCCCAAGTAATAGAACAGTATATTAATTGCAATTACGGAGCAAGCTGAATGAAGACATAATTGATGGATGAAGAAGATTCCAGACCTTAGAAATATAAAGGCATCGCCAGCAACCAGTCTTTTAGAGCTAACAAACACACTCCATCCACTTTGAAGCAAATGCCTACGAGGTTGACCTAGCATACATGTTTGAAGTTAGATTAAGAAACTAGAAATTTTATTAATGCAAAAGCAATCCAACAATTCACAACATTTGCAAAGGAGTAAGGAATTTTCCAAATATGATGGCATGTGTCTGGCAACAAGTGTCACTTTCTGGCAAACGCTGGTCTACAGATACGCAATAATGCATGGAACAGCAACTACCGAGGGAAATTTCAGCGTATACCTAATATAATTGTAGCTCAGTGTCAAAAGGTACCTCGAAAAATATGACGGAAACGCCATTCAATGCCATGTAGATCTTTGGCAACCAACTCCTGGGTTGGAGGTTGTCTTGACATATCCTGCATTTAGCAAAGGTAAAAATGTAGACTGATGCAGTTTAAATCAAATACAAGCGCACCAGGCCCTGCAAGGCAAAACGTACCAGTAGTATCGATAAATAAATAAAAGCATACCAGTGGTGGCAGACACTCATCAGCATGCCTCCTAAGCACTGAAAACCCACCATGAGTGCTGGTATCGGATGCAGTCAGGGTCTTGCAAAACGAGTGTACATGAAATCTCGGAGGAGGAGGCGGTGGTGACTCCTTCTTCACTGCATTCTCATCTTGCTAAAATAACAATGAACAAATATCAAGGGCACTTACAATACAATCTCAAACAGGTAGGAGTTATCAAAAATGGCAATGCGTAAAAATCTAAAATCACTTACATTAGCCTCCGGCAACAAGGTCAATTGTGCAAACACCTCATCAGTGTCTGCTTCCGCCTAATTTCATGAAGCGTATCGTTAGCAGAACGAAAACAAGACAAATCCAGACTTGGAAAAAGCAACTTGTTCCACAATCATAGAGTTAATGGCCTTACCTTGAGCTCAACATTAAGCACGCGACATAGGATCTTTGACGGAAGATTATACAGTGGCATCTGCTGGTCTGCCCCCTGGTTGGTGGATGCCTCAACCTAAAGCCATCATTGGATCGGCAAATTTCAGCAACTCATGGAATAGAGAAAGTAGCAAGCGAGGAAACTAACTGAATTTGCAAGAGGAAGAGTAAAGAGAGTTTCAGAGAGGGCTATAGAGAGTATGTGAAATCAACCTGCTCGATGTGTCCCTGAGGGAAGTAGAAAACAAGCTCTCCCTTACGAGGAACCGTCACCAAAGGACCAGCACATGCATGCCATAGCTCCTTGTACAGCGCAGCTTCAGCGTCTAAAACACGATGAACAGAATAAGAAAAAAGAGAGAACAACGAACAGCAAAACCAGATTCAATACGGAAATCGACACATCGATCAACGCAATTTTACAAGAAATAGAAAGAAACTCAAAAACAGGAATTTACCCATGGGAGCACTGGAATGAGCAACAGGAGCACCTTTCTGGCTATCCATAGCTTTCCTACCGTCGTTAGACTCGCTGTAAGCAGAAGAAAAGCTCTCTCCTCTGACGTTCCCACTGTTACCTTTCATCGAAATCTCGGAAGACGCCATAAACGAAAACCTATGACCTTCCACAGGATCAGATCCCTTGAAAACCAGCTGAAATTTCCACACTAATCCACCATCTCCGGCCTTTCGATGTCTCCAGTTTGCGATCGGAGCAAAGAAATCCCCCACCAAACAACAACACAATTACAGAGAAACCAAAAATCACTCTCAATTGCACGGAAAATCTACTCCACCTGTCTCTCTCTCTCTCTCTCCTCGCCCTCCTTGACCCTTTCTCACTTCTCCATCCTCTCTGCAACCACCACAGGTTTTTTTGTGTTGAGCTTAGCAATTCTCTTTCCCTTCTCTTGCTTCTTCTCTCTCTACCTCCTTGTCTCGCTCTGCTCTATCATTCTCTCTCTTTGTCTGGGGGAGTAGTCGAGACTTAACCAGAGTGGTCAAAACTACGGCAATCATTTCAACTGCGGTCAATTTTTAACCGGTCTCCTTGGGCGAACTGGCATTCACCGGTCGCATTGACTGCCTACAGCCGGTGGGTTGTGGCGTCAGAGGGGTCAGGGATAGATATATTATTTAATAAAGGAGGCTTTCGGTTCCGGAGGGTGAGACCACAAACGGCGCTAGTTTTGCCGTTAGTGTATCTGTCGACTGACCATTGGTTGATACTTAAGAGCCATCAGTAGTGTTTATATCAACAGTAACGCCATCTGTTTCCCGACGGCTTTAGTCGGGTGGAAAAGCTGTTCTGTTTTACGGGGAAAATTGGCTTTGTCGTCCTTACCGAAAAATGAAAAAAAAAATGCTTTGTCAATTGTCGTGTTTTGTAGGTGAAATGACAGAAATATTGTTTTTTTTTTAATTTACCACGAATATGGCCAATTAAAAACTATTTACAGAGATATTGTGGTTTTTAGTAAGGATTGGGGCGGGACCACCTGAGACTCAGGCGGGACTAAATTTTTACCCAGTCCTGGGCGCCGGCGCCCCAGTCTCAAGCGGTCCCGCCTCAGAAAAATTTTTTTAATTAGTCTGAGGCGCTGGCGCCCGAGACTCAGGCGGGAGCGCCCCGGACTAATTTTTTTTAAATTTTGGACGGGCCCCTCCCACCTTATCCCCCTCCCACCTTATCCCCTCCCCACCACCACACATATCCTCCCTTCTTCTTCCTCCCCCCAACCCCGAACCAGCAGACCCAACCTCCTCCTCCCTCCTTTTTCTTCCTCCACCCCAACCCCGAACCACCGCCCGCAGCACCGCCCCAGACTCAGGCGTCGCCGCCGCACACTCGGGCGCCGCCGCCGAAGAGAGGAGCGCCGCCGCCGCAGACAGAAGCGCCGCCGCCTTGGACTGAACCGCCGCCGCCCGAGATGTCCTCCGATGAAGAACCAGTCGCCGCCGGCAGAGGCAGAGGTAGAGGTAGAGGTCGGCGAGGTCGTGGTGGAGCCGGCGGCCGTTTGCGCGGTGAGACTCTCGTCGGCAACTTGATTTTTTTTTAATGTTTTGTGTTTTTTTTAATGTTTTGTTGCTTTGGTTTTGCAGTTCCGAGGCTTATGGATCCTTATTCGATGAGATTACCGCCGGCGACAATTGATCCAAGTCCGGTCGATCCGACACTTCTTTGGGGACACGGCCAACATCGTATCGACTCTGTTTGGACAAACGAGGTAAGTATTTGATAATTATTCATGTAAAGTTAATTAGCTAATTAGATTATTTTAGGTAGTGAACTGAACTGAACTGTTAGGTGAAATTAGTATAATTTTATGTTAGATAAGACAGATTAGAATTTATTAGGTGAAATTAGAATTATTACGAATGAAAATGAATTAATATAAGTTTTGTGCACTATAGGCTGGTGATCGACCGTACCATGTTCGAGGTACGACCATTTTAGTACCTTACCATGAGCTTTATCGGCCATATCTCGAAGCGGCAGGCTTGTTTAGTGTCATGCCCCTAGTCCCTATGAACCCCGATGCTAGTTTGATTACTGCGCTCGTAGAGCGGTGGCGCCCCGAGACGTCGACCTTCCATCTACCGTGTGGTGAGATGACGATCACGTTAGAGGACGTTGTTACACTGTCCGGTCTGGCGATCGACGGTGATGCCGTCGTAGTTGATATACCGGATGAGGAGTGGTCGGCGATCATAGTCATGATCAGATGGCACGCTCCATGTATCATCTTCTTCCTCTCCACCCTGATCATCACTGAGCTCAACATGTATCTCAGCACCCAAACAATAAGGATTTTGTGCCATAAAATTCCAAAGCACATCCAAGCTATCATCATCCACAATAGGTAACGCATAATGAAATAAAACATCATTCTGCCATTCTGGAAGACGGTAAGTGAAACCTGTGATCACATCACTATCTTTTACTGCTTCGTCTCTGCGCCGTATTCTCGGAATTAGAGTCTCACAAAGTTTGTGATATGTGACTCTGGATGGAACCGTCAACTGAAAACTACTACCACCAACGAATTTGACGCCCAAATTATCCTCTACTTTCTCCGATTTCCACCGAACAACTAGTTCAAATCTTCTAAAATCACTACAAAAAAACAAACTCACTAATTAAAAACTAAACACAATCATAATAGCATTTGAATAATATAATTACAAAAATAAATGTGTCTCTTACCTATTAGCCATTTTTGCAGCAGCAACCAGAGCTCTCTCCTCTATTTTGGACGATTTTTTTTGTGGTGTGAATCTGAAACGAAAAGTCTGTCTGGGTTTTATAGGGTGGGTGGCCAATCCACCTACTCGCCTCAGTCTCGGGCGCCACCGCCGGAGTCTTGATTTCCCACCTACTCGCTTCAGTCTCGGGCGCCGCCGCCTGAGTCTTGGGCGCCGCCTCCTGAGTCTAATAAAACGGTCCAAAAACCAAGTCTTAAGCGGCAGCGCCAGAGTCTCAGGTGTACCCGCCGATTCTTATCTCTAAAACACAATATCTTTGTCAATAGTTTTTAATTGGCCATATTCGTGATAAATTAAAAAAAAAAACAATATTTCTGTCATTAACCCTGTTTTGTACCATTAACGAGATGGGGTCAGGGTACGACGGCAAATGAGTCGAGCCGAGTTGAGTTTTATCTCAATTTGAGTTTGGCCCGTTAATAAACGAGTTGAATTCGAGTTCGACTTGTTTATTAACGAGCCGAGTCGAGTCAAAGTCGAGTTAGCTTGCTTAATAAAATCTTGACTCGTATTTGATATATTCGGGATTTTTTCAGAAATAGCACCTTTAAAAAAAATTACAAAAATAACACTCAGTCGAAAATATTTACAAAAATAGCACATTTTTTATGGACCGCACCATCCTGGTGCGTTTTATATATAAACCGCACCTCTAAGGTGCGGTCCATAATCCTGGGCCAAAACCGCATCTTGGCCAAGCGGTTTCAGGTCTGACCTACACAAACCGCTTGGCCGAGGTGCGTTTTTTGCTCAGCCTACCAAAACCGCACCTTGGAGATGCGGTTTGTTTCTCTAAAGCAAAACCGCAACCCCAAGGTGCGGTTTTGCCACACAAACCGCAACCCCCAAGTGCGGTTTGTGTGTCAATTATTTTTCGACGCCAGACAAGCAGCCATGCAGATTCAGAGACGTGAGGTTGCATGGCAGATGAAAAACGCACCTCTAAGGTGCGGTTTTCATTGATGATTTTGCCTATAAAAGGCAGCCGGGAAATCTTCTTCTCTTCACACCTCTCCTTCTCCCTTTTCAATTTTCTATTGTTGTTCCATATTTCTCTAGTGTTTTTACGGTTAACGTTAACTCGTTAGTTTTTTTTTGTATTACTTTTTATTGTGAATTGTGATTTGTGATTTTTATGATATTAGTTGTTAGTTGAACTGCTGTTTTTTTGCGGATGGCATTCCAAAAGTTCACGCTTGGGTTACGGTGGAATGGTTACACGGAAGAGAGCGGAAAGGGGGTCACCTACGTCGGTGGCAATTTTCAGAAAATAAAGGTCGTTACCATACCGATGCTTGAAGACCTCTATCAAATGTGTACTAACGTTACTTGCATGGATGGCACGAGAAGAGTTGATCGTATGGTGTACCGATATCCAAACAGAGAAGGCGGGTCGTTGTGGCACGAGGAATATCTCATAACCACTCAGGATGAGGTAATGCCATGCTCGAATTCTTGAGGTCCAACAAACTTTCCAAAGCCGAGATGTTCGTTTACACCGAGCCGGTCGTAGGTGTTGGAGGTCATTCTGGAGACTGTCAAACATCTGGTATCCATGTTGGAGGTGATGAGTATGGAGATCATCCCTACCAAAGTTACCATGATCCTCATTGTTATTTTCAGTACCAAGAGCAAGGTGAAGGTCATCATTAATCTTACCTGTCATATAAGAAGAAGTTCAACCGGACCATACCAACCAACCCCAATACAACTTTCACTCAGGCAGTGGTAGTTTTCACAACTACCATTATGGAGCTGATGAATGTGTCTTTCATGAGCTGGATCAGATGGAAGATGCCCTGCCAGCACCAGTCAGTGACCCCTCCGATGAAGAAGGAGAGAACAATGTCAGTGCAGACAGCTCCTACTGATGACTCGATATTTGCACATGTTTTCCCCTTTGTTTCTTGATCGTTTGAGATTTAATTATCGCGTCTTTGCCTATTTTACGCTAGGTTGTGTTCCTTTGTCACATTTCAGGTCCTAGCACATAAAGTGAAGCATAGGCGCAAGTTTCAAGTCAATCAGAGATCAATTGGCGATTCGGGAGAAGAAACTCGGGCATGACCTGAAGAAGAATGGATTTCTACCTCACTTTATGGACAAAGAATCATGCAAGCTTGTCATGAAAAGAAAGAGGACGAGAATACAAGCGTCTGGGATCAAACAGAGACTGATTCGGAGTCCGGACGAGGGAGAAACGAAGCATTGAATATAGGGGAACAGGTTCGGCAGTAAAAACACGGGCACGCCTAAATCAAAACACGGTCGTGCCCATATTTAGGCACGACCGTGTTTTGGCCGACGCGCGCGGGCATGTTTTTAACACAGGGCAAAACACGGGCGGGCAAAAGCAAAGCACGCCCGTGCCCTCGACCGTGTTTTGCCCAGAATCGGGTTTTTTAGGCAGATTTCAGCCAAAAGAGAAGGGGATTCGAGTTTGAGAGAGACAGAGCGATTCCTAGAGAGAGAAAGCGACGAACAAGAGTTCCCAAGTGCCCTAGCTTGATATTCATCACCATTGGAGCTTGGCTTGAGCTTGGAGAAGTGCCGATCAACGTCCAGGAGCAGGAATCCATCCTTCACAGTATGAATTCCGCGTCTGATTCTGCTTTTGCTTCTTTCTCCATGGAGTAGTTCTCCCATTCATCTGGGTATGGAGAACCCTAGATTTGTATGTTAGGTTTGATTGTATGAACCCAAGTACTGATTCTATGATTTGATTATATTCAATTGAGGTTTGAATGATTGAATGGCATGAATCCTGATCAAATTCCTGTTGTTTCTGCTTTAACCTAGAATGAGAATATCTGCCTAGGTTGATAGAGCATCCTTGATTGAAGGTAGGGAGTTGGTGACTTTAGTCGAGGAGCCAACTCACTATTCTGTACCGAATTCACTTCGGTAGTGGAGGTTTTGTTCGTTAGGGCCTCAATCTGTTTACTCCGGTGGAGGT